ATCTTACTATTATACAGAAGTGGATACGATTTGGCAATATAGCTTATAAAGTATGCCGGCGGAAGCTGATAGAGGCAGCCTTGGAAATACCAACATGACTTATCTAAGTCAAGGACCCCGCTTGCGTTGTGGAAATATTATTATTAAGCCTTTGCGATATACAGCCTTCAGTTATTACTGGGGCTCTCTTAAAGATAATAATTTCTTCCTATATATAAAAATAACATTATATAGCTTAAGTCTTCTGTAGATATTAAAAAGCTCCCTTAGGTATTCCTCGATACTGTTACTATTATAAACAGCCCTGTATTAAGTACCTCTGGATTAACTTGCGATATACTATCTAAGATAATAAAAAAGACTGGGAAAATAAATCAGCTAACATAGAATACATCTTAAGCTCTGTATATATCACAATAAAAACCAGCTCAGCTAGATTATCTCTTAAGCGCTTTCTTGTTCACTGTGCTCTCCGTCTACTTATTCAAGTAGAAATTGAGAACGCGGAAGTTATCCACAGCTATAGATAACTTCTATTATAATATTAAGCTTGGCAAGTTTAAGAGGTATAGATAGATCCTATAATAAAAAGTACTATTATATTAGTCGATTTACTTTATATTAATCTAGGTATACTGGTAAGATAGTGCCGGCCTGCAATATAAGATACCGGGTTTATTCCAAAGTAGGTTTACCCTCTGCTATTTAAGACTTTGCATTTTACTGATGATATTAAATATACCAATCAAGCTGCCTTTCTTAGTAATCCCGACTTTCCGAAGCTTATACTAAACTACTACCAGAATAGACGCTGAGTAGTAATTCTAGGTCTCCAGAAGTATTTAGAAGGGCCCGTTAAACTCAGGCTGTATTTGGTTACTTCGCCAAGTACTTTATACGAGATTTGCTCTGGAAATACAACAAGCCTTAACGTCTTAAGCCTATTGTTCAACCTACTAGTTAATTTATATCTAGCTGGTTGTGGTTGTCGAGGAAAGGCTCTATCAGGTATATGGAGCTTGAGTTTAAAAGATCAGCTGGGCGACAGTGAAAGATTTCAGGAGTCCCTTTGGCTAAAGCGAAACCGTGGGGGCCAGAAGGCACTCGGTAGACATAACAGTCTTGCGCGGACTTGCAAGGAAGCTCTGCATGACAGAGGAGGAGCTGCGATGCGTGATATTTAACACAGAGCAAGCCCTGGGAGTCGCTGGACTTTAGTGTGTGTTAGTTGGGCGGGTTCCAGCCGGGATGGACGCCGAGAATAAGTAGCTTCATACTCTCATCATTAGTCAAGCCAGCAACAAATCGGGGGCAGCAGTTTTTAAAAGGGTGGGAGTGGCGTCTCGACGAGAAAATTATATAGATAACAAAGGGCAATGGATCGACATCTTGTAATTGCTACATATTTTAAGTGTTCCCAGAGCTGTCCCAGTTCGAAGTCAGTTATTTTGTATGCAAAAGCTTTGGCACGTTGCACATGTATAATATAGATGTTTCTCAGCAGTACAATCTTGACACTGTTCTCACCGTACTCAGTGAGGCACTCGTCGGACAATGCGCGAGGGTGGATGTGGTCCGGATGCTGGGTACAGACAACCACATCTGAATCCTCGCGGACAACCGGAAATCTGTGAATGGTTAGATACGAAGTACAGTGGTAATACTTTGGGCAAGGAAATAGTAAAGATCAATGAGTGGCCTTGAAGATGTTGCGTCAACGACGGGCGATGATGTCTGGGACTATGGGTGTGGGGGGAGGAGGGAGGCTACGCATACTGCTAGGACATATAACAAAATGCTGCTAGAAATGCTTTTCAAATTGCGCATTAGATTAGAGCAATCCTTTGGCTCGGTAATTCCTAACTCAGGGAGAAATTTATTTGGGGGCTACGCACGTTGTGCCACCTTCAGCTGAGGCCGAGCAAATATGCCTCACTTGTAGAACCTAGGAGGCCTATCCTTGCTCTTTATGAAAACGCCCAACGCCGAGGCAGAGTCATGTCCCCCCTCCAACTCATGTAACGGCCTATCATGATTGCAGAATCAGTTCCTTCGCAGTGTTGGCTGATGATTGCTACCCGCCGTCATTAGGCGGTTGGACTGCACTCTCGAGGCATGCGTTAATCTTAAGGAGTGGAGCAATGCATGTGCAATAAGCCAAGCTCGTGTATGCACCCTCAGTCACCCCTCTAACCATCATATCATTATTCCACTGGCTTTCCCAATTTCCGTCGAATGGGGCCCAAGGAGGCTGAATCATTTCCACTCATGCCCCGAGACCCGATGGCGCGTGTCCCGGAACACCAACCACAGAGTGGTAAGGGCAATCAGGATCTATCCCAATCGCCTCCCCTGAATGCCACCGAGCCTTCAGAAACTGGGGCAACCGTGGACAGTCAGCTCGAGAGTCGTGCCTCGTTCTCTCATCGAGGATATTCTCTGATTCGCATTAATTTCCGGGCGGCCCAGCCATTTACGTACCTGATCGCGATGTCAATGACGGTCAAGGCGAGGGAGGCAGCCCCGGCGCATGTACCCAAAAAAGAGAACATATGCCTGTCTTAGAGTATGGGGGCAGTGTCATTTCGGCATATGATATGGAGATTTCCGCTATTGCAAATGATACTACACGGCCACCCATCAGACCTGGCAGACTGAGGTCTCAAGAACTTCGCGCTTTATTTCAACTGAAAGATCTGGATCCAGGCTCGGAATAGACCGTTGAACGAGCATGTCTGACAAGATTCAAGCTAGTTTTATAAGGCCGAGTCAGACGAACGCAGCCGACCCATACTTGCCTATCCACGCTCTCAAGAACATCCTCAGTCTCAATGCCATGACCTGTCTTTTGCATGAAAAATTCAACAACATCACCGATGACGAGCTACAACAAAAATTCAAACAAATCGTTGGAACGGATGGCATTGGGAGCCGAAAGCGCATTCTAGGAATTCTGTTCAGCATTGAACTCTTCCACACCATTGACAGCTTCGTTGAAAAGAGCATAGGTATGCAACCTTGATTTCCCATTGACACGCGCAACTGAGTCCAAGGCATTCATGACAAAAAGGCATCCTAACAAAACCAACACCACGCTCCTACGTTCTTGGAGATGACGCATGACTGAAAGTCTACACAGTTTCCAACGAGAACTCTTCGTCCTTTTCTTCAACATTGAGAGAGGGAAGGTATATTCGTATGTGCTGGATCGAAGCAACATTTTGCCATGCAAGCTCCTCAATGCAAGACTAGCGGTGGGAATGCGTTGATATACCAGGTGCGAATACATCCCAGTCATCATAACTCCTTCCAATCTCAGGTCGGAACTCAGCGTCATTCTCCTACGTTCCCGTATTAACTAGGGTATAAAATACCCAGCCCACAGGGCCCCCTGGATACCTATAAGCACTGATTTTTGAAAATGGGTATCTATGGGTACCCATAAAGTAGGTAGAATTTTAACAAAATAGAAACATAAAAGATTGTATTATAAATTATGAAAAAATTAATAAAATTAAATAAAATTATTTTATAAGAGGCATATAAAATCTTCATTATAAAATATTTTTATTTTATTATATACATTCAATTTTAATTCTGCTGGGTAGTAATAGGCTCAAAATTGCTACCTGTAGCTGTCTGTGAGTAGCTGCGGGTAGTAATTTGGAGCCCATCAGTACCCATGGATAGGTACAGCCCTATTATTAACCATTCAAAGGCTCCTGACAAAAGTAGCCTTTTCGCGCTCAAGCAGATCAAAGCAGAACACGAGGTTCGAGATCACCGGCAAGATTTTCGTAACAAGGGGAGAGCCCTGGAGAAATACCACTCCGTGGCGCAAAAGGAAAAGCATCTAATCACAGTCCGTCCATCCTGTAGGGTAACTCTGTCACTTAACACGTACAGCCTGGTAGTGTGATGAATTCGGGGCATTATTGACTACTTTTTATATGTCCGCTCCTGAACCGCGAGTCTCCAGGCATCCTACGGCATTTCTGTACTATATGATGACTGTTGCATACTCTTATTAGCTGCCGCTGCGGGCACGGGCTGCAGCAGGCTGTGCGTGCCCTCGACTGTACTATAGGATGACTGGGCTGCAGCTAATGGGAAGAACATGGGATAAATAGAGAGAAAGAGGAGGAGGAGAAGGAAAGTCTCTTGAGGTTACCTGTCTTCAATCACTTCGTTAAGCAACACAATAATGGCACATAGACATTCTCGAGACTAGCTCCCAAACTAACCAGATTGTCTGCAACGAGCCGAGCGACTTTTTAAGTGAATCCAGGTTGACACGACAAGCTGCCAGCGCTCGGGCAATCTTATGTACCAAGACAACGCCAGCGATGCCACGTCTCCCTACTTAACCAGCCTTTGCGCGGCCAACGCCAACATTATCGCCAACAACAACCACCTCGACGTTGCGACCGGCAGTCCGAGCTAGCATAAAAGGCTCTGCACCACACACCCTCCAAAGGATGCCTCGTGGCCTGAACTACCGCCCATGATGAGGTTGAATTGAGAGCGGGTATCGCTCTGGTCGGCAACAGGGTGAAGATGGAGGGTCTTGTTGGCTAAATTGAGGGTGACAGGGATTGGTGAGCGGGATGGCTTGAGCGCAACTATTCACGGAATCTCATTGATAATTTCCTGGGCGGCTTGGTTCGGCATTTAGCCGATTGTGAGCCTCAGTCTCAAGATGGAAGTTCAAAAGAAAGGCCTAAACCGAAGGCAATTGCTCTCTTCTATTGCATAAGTTCCTCTACTTTTCACCTAGCTTCCAAGGTGGAGCCCGGCCGGAATAGGCATTGCGGATGGTTTCCGTCCGTATCTACAGGAGACGGATGGTGTCTGTCCGCGCCTACAAGAGACATCAGGAGACATGTGAAATCACATAAAATAAAGTGATGCTCTTGTAGGACGGAGGAAGGCGACCGCGCTCGAATTTACAGTTGATCACTCCCGCCCTCTACGGCTTCTGGGTATTAATTGCGTCCAACATGAAGGTGATTGCATTGATCGTCTGGTTAACCGCAGTCACGGCCGCCTCACTGCCTCGGGACTTCACCAAGGCAAATGAACCGGTAAGTCTAGTCGCCACTTTACTGATTCAACACTTGCGCCTCTGACTCATGTGGGTAGATCTATAGATTTGTCGGAAGAGTCAACCCGGCGACAAAGGAGCTCACATGGCCGAGCGCCGGCGTCGCTTTTACCTTCAGAGGGAGGGCGGCCTCGATCAACATCAGCAGTGTTAGCGGAAACTCGAGCGCTGACCTGATTATTGATGGAGGAGAGCCGATTCTCATCGGCAATGTAGACGGAACATTAATCTCGACACCTAAGCTGTCAAAGGGAACACATACTGTTGAGCTGCGCAAACGATCGGAGAGTTCTCTAGGCACCTTCCGCATCACGGGTGTCACTACCGACGGCACTCTACTTGCGAGTACGGTCCCAAAGCGCAAGATTGAGATCATTGGGGACTCCATCACCGTCGGTTACGGTCTCGATGGCGTCCTGCCCTGTACGAACTCGGCCGTTTTGCAGAACAACGGAAAGACGTATGGCGCCGTGGCGGCTCGAGCTTTAAACGCAGACTACAGTGTTGTCGCCTGGAGTGGCAAAGGCCTGATCCGCAACTATGCCTCCACGCCCCCTGATCCAATGCCACCGATGCCAGTTCTCTACACGCGCTACGGTGCTGATGACGCCAACGGAAGCTTCACGTTCCCAAAATCGTGGATACCAGACGCAGTGGTGATCAACCTCGGCACAAACGACTTCAGCTACCTTGGTGTGCGGGACCCCGTTAACCCGGCAGACCTCACGCAGGCCATGGTTAAGCTGGTAGAGGGCATACACTCTTACTACAAGAAAGCCCAGTTCTTCTTGGTGTCTTCACCCATGCTCAGCGATAGCTATCCCTCTGAGGCCGATGCTCAGAAATCCACCCATGTTCAGGTGCTCAAGGATGCAATTCAACAGCTTCATGGGGTGAAAACTCATTTGGTGGATTGGCCCTCGCAGGGTTCAGAAGTTGGCTGTGATTACCATCCGAATGCAGCTACCCAGGCCCAAGGCGGTGAACTTCTCGAGGAGTCTATTAGGTTGGCCCTGGGATGGTAGACTGTATAAATTGCGGCCGTAGACTTGTGCACAACGACATGCAACTTGCACCTGATAGAATCCGTACCGCCCTGTAGCAAGGTTTACTTACAGACGGCCGGTGTAAGAATTGAGGTGCTATTTTGACAAGTGAGAAGCAAATGCCGACTTCCATGAACGCAACTAGCATGATTCTGATATAAATCCATCTGGCTAATTGAAACTAAATGAAGGTCTGGTAAGATCATAGTCGACAGGTACTAGACTTGAACAATTTCCATTCACATCAACACTTCCACCCAGTAGCTCACTTTCCGAGGTTACGTCTGAAAAATTGGGTGGCATATTGGCGCTTGTATTCAACTCCAGTTAGCACAGAATGTCTCAGTCTTCAGGCAGGGGTCTTCAGCCGGCATAAGATTATCAGCATCGCCACTGCGAGACATAAATTCACCACAGCCAGCCCTTACATGTTTTGTGAAGATTCCCCTTGCCGAATAGATATTCGTTTTACAGGGGTTTACTCACCCCCAATAGAAAATTATTTCATTTCTCCTCCTAAAATATACCGATCAACACAATAAGCCGAGTTGTAACATTTGTGTTTACTATGTCATGGCTTTATTAACCTCAGGCATTTCCTCATATGTCAGCCGATTGCAACATTTGCCTATAGGGTGTGGATATTTTCGATAGTTATTAAGAGAAGGGTGTTGATTTTATGTTTAGAGCAAAGTTCCATCTACGATTCTTTATAATAGTTTTATGCACAGGCAATAACTCGCTGAGAGTCTATGTCGGTCAATATACTGCATTGAATGCGGGTTCAATGGGTATCTTCACAGATCCAGGTCACTGACATCGTACGAATACTCTCCAGGGTGGCGGAAATTACAGTTGTTGGAATCCATCGCTTTAGTAGTGAGAGAGGATGGATTGGTTCAAAATTATGGGTAGTAATCAGAAAGCTCCCATCGATGTTCTTTGGCAATTAATTGGTGGCTATTGAGTGAGGACGTTCCTCCAATCTGTCTGCGAGTATGCTAGGTTATTCCAGTATCATGAACGTAGAACTATCAGGCGTGCTTAGCCTAATTAATAGACTAGGGGTGATAGAGAGGATCGATGAACGGAGGAGAGAGAAAACTACCCCGCTTGACTTACATGCATGTTTCCGGGAAAGCTCAGAGGGACAACCCACCAAGATAGCGGCCGCTGGGATGATTTTCCGCGGTGGGAAGTTAAGCTAAATGCGAAAGTACGGCGCATTTCTACGTATGGGGTGCTAAGTTCCGTCGTCTCACGCTATTCGTAGCTGAGCCTAGGAACCCCTGACCTTCCAGTCGAATCATGATATGGTTGCCTTTAGGATTGCGAAGCAAATTTCTCCGACCTTGTGGGCACACCTTGTTGATGATAAGTTAAACTGTATGCTTAAAATGTAATTGGTCATTCTGCAGTCGTATCATTCTCAACGTTGCGGCACGGTGGAAGTTGATTGGTGGAAGAATTACAACAGCTTGTTACGCGTATTTCCCATTCAGTGCTTGCTTCCGTATTGCTGAATTGGGGACCTGAAGACAGTTTAATTCCATGTTAAACATCCGGTGTTGTTGAGAGAAACAGCTATCATATTAGCCTGAGAAGTACATAAAGCAGCGTAACTCGCTCCCATCCAAACTTCCTGGAACTCTCATTACAACACCCTTTCTAAACCAGATCATCACCGAATCCAACATGAGGAGTTTTTTTGCCGTCTTAGCTCTTCTCCCAGCTGCATTTGGCTGTTTGGATCCAGACACCAACAGCTGTGCTAGCTTTATCAAGTCTCAATCAGCTACTGCGTCGGCGTTTTGTGCAACGTTTACCACGGCTGTTGTCACCGCAACCTCTGCTCTTCCATCATGGGCCACCAACTGTTCCCAAAAGCCAAGCCTGATCTCCAAGGAGTGCTCGTGCTACTACACTGGTACTAGCACGGGGGCTACGAAAACCTCAGCAGGTAGTGGAGGTACTGCACCAACGGGTGTTACAACTACGCTTCCTGCCTCTTCTGGAGTGGTTACAAGCGCCACACCAATTACTGTTACTGGCTCACTTGATGGCGGCATGAAGAGATACGATCGCAGCAGTTAGTTTATGAGAAATCCTTTCTACCGATGAGCTACGAGGGGCTAATGGTGTCAACATTAGCCAAGGTTTGCCAAGAGCAAACTGAGACGGGAGAGGATGACACTATTTTCATTCTAGAAGATGGTGCTACACTCTCTAATGTCATTATTGGACCCAATCAAGCAGAGGGAGTTCACTGTCGAGGAACTTGGTGCGTCGCCAAAAATTCTGGAGAAGGCGATGTGATGCTAACTGTTTCATCAAAGTACCTTGAATAACGTTTGGTGGTCTGATGTTTGCGAGGATGCTTTGTGTGTCCCCCCTGCACCACACCTTGAATACTAGCTAACAAGGGCATTTATTAGAACTCTTAAGCAGTCTAGTGGAACCTCATACATCAATGGAGGTGGCGCCTTCCACGCCTCGGATAAGATCATCCAATTCAATGGCCGCGGTACCGTTCAGATAACTAACTTCTATGCAAATGATTATGGCAAGGTGGTTCGAAGCTGTGGCAATTGTTCCGGTAATGGGGGCCCCAGAAATATCATCATGACAAACGTTATTGCGGTCGATGGAGGAGTTTTGTGTGGTATTAACACAAACTACGGAGACACTTGTACTATGACGAACTGTTGCCAAGACGACGGCAAAACTTGCGATCGTTACACGGGCAACTCAAGCGGCTCCGAGCCAACTAAGATTGGCTCCGGCCCTGACGGAACATATTGCGTTGCCTCTGGAGCCAGTACTAACTGCTGAAAACATTGATGCATTGTATCTTACTTAGGTGGCTTGGAGACCCCAGATTCGGGCCTCACCGACCTCTCACCGATGCAAGACTCATGGCTTGACTAGTGAATCAACATGGAAATCTGTTCCTAGATAAATGGATCCATTACGGATTATATCTCCTGCGTTGTTGTGGGGTTTCGTCTCAGAAGTCCACTCATTCTCATATGACTGATCCAGAAAGTTCCGAGTGACTCACTTCGTGTAATGACTTGCCTTTCTCAGTTCACCGAATTTAAAAGAATGTACAAGCAGCACAGAATCCCCTCAGAGTCGTCGTATCAACGCAGATGGTATCTTCAATGGTGTTTAATATTGTCAATCTGTGCCTCCATGCCCAAGACCGTTTAACTTAAGAGAGCGTCCTGAGCATGATGTCACATCACTGCAACCTCTCGTGAATAATCGTTGAATCATAGCCGATTCATTCCAGTGGAACACCTTGTAAGGCGTGGAAAACACTGGCAATTTGACAGATGCCTTATATTCCACAGCCGAGTCGATAGGCACCTTGTTGCATACCATGGTACTTTAATCTGCCACCGGGTCAAGCCAACCGTCTTCGGTGTATTGCTTCCATGTCGTACAAGTGGGAACTGTTGCAGAGGTAATCCAGTTTCTGCGAAGTCCTGCGACCTTCGCTCAAGGCAAGAAAAACTATAGGTGGTAAGGCTAGGAGCTAAACGCTAATGTACATAGCTTCACCGATTTGTATTGAAAGTGGCCATGTAGTTTTCTGGGCTAAGCGAGTGGCTTTAGAAATGCGTGCTTAGTAGTAAAAATAACAAAAAGGCCCTGAGGTTGTATCGATAACATCTCTAATTGTCGCTGAATTTCCAGCGTATCCCATGTCCAATACGTCATCAAGGCTCACTTTTCTTGATTCCGGCTTGTTATCCCAGGTTATGTGACTATAATTTCCGCTGCCCAAGTCAAACTTGCGCGTGTTGGGGTTTGAAGCTTGCCTATAAGCACTGTTAGACACGAAAGTACGGTTCTCTGCTCCAAGGCCTTACCATAATGCCCACATCCGATCCATCATACCATGGTGCACCCAGAACGCGGGGTCACCAGGGGAGGTAAATAGATCAGCTCCAGGGTCTCCACTATAATGATGTTAATTTAAGTATGAAAGAAGATGGAATCAAGACTAACCCGATAGTAAAGTGCATGCCGCCGTGAGGCCCCAAATCTGCGGTGCCTGGCACGCCTTCAGATAGTAGTCGATACTCGTCGAAGTTGGGTTTCTTCAGAAGTTCTGTGACCTTGATTAGCTTTGCATCTATATCGACGTGCTTTTCTGATGTCACCTAATACAGTCGTGTAGTTTCCATAAATCTGGTTCAGGGCGGGGCCAACGTCCCTCTTCAGGCGACGCGGGTTATACCCAAGATTCTCACCTGGTCCAAGGTTGACGGACATGTTGGCAAATGGACCTGTGGTGACGTAACCACCCCCAAGACCTGCGGGCAGCTGAAGCTGGCTACCAGCTATGCCTTCTGGAGGCGAAATAACAGGTCCATTGTGAGGGACGTAATCTCCATTGCCTCCCAAGCTATAGGGATCACCGTTGAATATGGGAGACTTCTCGGGGGCTGAAGCGTATTTGGGCCAGTCCCAGTACTTTTTGCTGTTACTTCGAGACTCTTCGGGGGCGATCGGATTGACATACTGGCTGATAACCCTTGTAACCGCATTCCTCTCGAAGGGCCTTCTCGTAGGTGTACAGAAACCACCGATGCCAGGGCATAAAGTTACCAGTAAAATGAATTGTTCTCGTCTGCTGAATGTGAACCACAACGAAGTCGTCGAACTAAACGAGCGTCAGTCTAGGAGCCATTGATGGGGACATGGTGTAGTGGCTCACTCGAGACTGAGCACCCAGCGAGACGTTGGCTGGCGTCCGAGCAGGCAGGCGCTGCAAGCACTTGACGGCGTTTACGTAGGCCAGCCTTTCTTTCACGGAGAGTGAGCCGCTGTGGGAGAGTCAGTCACTCTGGCAGTGTAACGGGAAAGAGTCGTCGTCATACTATTCACGTCGGAGGACCAAGCTCTTAGCTGTACAAGACGATTGAATGCTTCGCCTTTTTACCCTCTCCTCACGGTGGCCTAGAGCATTAGCCACCTTGGCTCTGATATCATTCGTGACTTGCAGGACCTGAGACTTCAAGTCATCTGTGTCATCTGCGAATCGATTCGGGGGCTTGATGGTAAGGATGCCCGACGCAATGGAAGCCAAGAGAGATGAAAGAATGAGAAAATCGAGCCTCATTTTGAACAAGGTTAAATTATGTTGAATTGCGAAAGGACCTAGGTCGTAAGACCGGAATGAACGGTGAATTTAAAGCGTCATAAACAGCCAAGACAACCAGGTCTGACCACAGCACATTCGCCACATTTGCCGTGTATCCATCTCAGTGGGATATTCGCCTCGGTATCTAAACAAGACCTGACGTCTAAGCTCGAGATACGATGGCCCACAAGTAACAGGCTCTGAAAGGCTAGGCTTAAAGCCATATCTAAGGATTGGCTAATTCAGGGCTAGGTCAGACTACTTTGTTCGTGGCATTTTCGATCCGGGTGGAGTGCCACGGAGATGTTTCTCTTTCGTCTCGTCTACAATAAGCCAAGTGTGAGGCAAAATGGGGCCAGTTACACGACAATGCTACTATCGTTTCCTGAAACACACATTACAGTTATACTGGGCTGATCGCCGGGCAGTGCCAACCATTAAAGTTTGAAGTAGAAGGCCGGTTTAAGCTGCCAGTGCGCATCGGTTCGCGGAATATCCATTTCCGTACTCAATTTCTGAAGGGCCAAGCTCATTTGGGAAGTTGTTCCGTTACAGTGCAAGGATACCATGTGCTTAGACAAGCATTACTCTTGCTGAAGGTTTATCTAGAACAGAATTCGCCGTCTCAATTCCACTTTATTAAGTTGAGATCGCTCGCTGCAAGAGATTGTCATAGTCTTGATTACCGCGGCATGTCGATCGGCAATTGAACCCGGGATTCACTGTGGATGATACATAGCCAGGCCTGACCTTTTCTTCTCTAGCAGCTAGCCATTTTCACCAAAGCCAGCTATATGCACAAAATAATAGCGCAATATGTCCTTGAAACAAATCAACTCTACCTCAATCATGGCGCCGACGTCTTGCTATCGGTTTTACACTTCAGGAGAGTGTGAAGTCGGGGACAAAGATTCACTGCAATGAAGCGGGACGAAGGGTTGACAAAGCAAGGCTATGATTCAAAGACCATGCCCTTGTCACAGCACAGTCACCGAGGTAGTGCGCTCCGTGCAAGATGGACTGCAGCTGGTAGAGTTCAGAATACGAGACTAAAGACGACCCATATGAGCAATCCCTTGTCATGGTGAAACGGCCCTCCAAACTACGTTTAATTTCCGAACTCCTTTAGGGTCCAAGTTCGAACTCCGTCAATGCCACGCGATTAGCCCTGGTTGAGACTTTCGGGCCGCGACTAGTGACATGCAACATCCTTCCAGAAGCAATTCTTAAACCACGGTTAACAGATTTAAAACACTCGTGGCATCAACTTGTCAGACTGCCTACGTCTATCTATTGGCGTTGTCTCGTTCTATACTATCAAATTTATTTAACGAATGGAGTACTCCGTCAATTTGACCCTCGATGAGCAATGGTACCAGTCTATGATTATCACCAAGCTTTGAGAAGATCTTCGTTTTACAACAGTGCAAAGATATATACTCAAACACGGATTTCTGCGGCTTTTCTTTCAACAGCGGCCAAAGCAACGAATATAAAATATGTGAGACGGAACAACAGAGCACCTCAGACGGTTGATGTTGCATCTTCAAGTAACCGAGCTACCCTGCACATCGACCTCGAGTATTGATTGGCAATCTTTGGATAGCAGGCCAAGCGTGTGAGAAAACGCCTTGGTAAGGCTCAGGAAATATAGGACATGCAATGAAAATAACAACATATTTGCGCGGCGGCACCTTAACATAGAGCCTTTCTCCGAACTGTGGGACAAGTTCGTCTTTATCAACCCGAGAGGCTGGCCACACAAAATAAACTGATATTTCACTCAAACTATATATCTAGTGGAAATACGGGGACGATGCTAGGACCTGATGAATTGTATGATAATGATGAATAGGCTAGCTATGTGACAGGCGGTGCGCCGCAGGGGCGATCACCTCTGTCCCGTATGCCTAGCATCTCAGGGGTAAAACGGGACGAGTCGGAACAAGAGTCCGACTTTGGGTCCACCAACAAATGGGTAGGTACATATCCCTCCACCTAGACTAATGGTTTTATTTACAATTTGCAAAGTTAGTCAATCGGTCACCCTGCACTTTGCACTCTGGAATAGGCCATAGCTACTGCACAGGAGTTGCAGGGCGGGAACAATATGCCAGCCCCCTCTTTAGTTAGGCCTATCACGCTATCTTGCCCCGTCGGAGGATTGGCGGGACGTTGTGCCCGCATGCTGTTAACAACATCATTTTCATCACCGTACTGCGCGCTAATTTCATTTTTTATTCCTAGAATGTAACGTTCCATGCATTCATAAACCACTTACAAGAAGTGTCTATTCGCCGACGCTAAGAGTAAAAGCCTAGGTGGCGGTGTGAAATCTGGGCGGGCGTGCATGGCTTGACAACAGGTAAGGCTCTGCTCTCCGACCACATATATGACGACAATAGATCGTCATATCTAGCTTTCAGCTGCCCCCGATTGGCCGATCCATGCAAAGGTGGGAAGCGGTTCTCTAAAGTAAGGCTACAGCGCGTTCTGATGCATGATGACTGAGTAAATCACAGCCCGCTGGGCCTGGAAAGGTCTAATACCGCTGTCCTTGCATAGAGCCCCCGCCAGAAAGCCGTCATAGGCTAATTTGAGCTGAGGGGAATTTATTATTGGCAACTAGATAACTACCTATGTATGTATGCGCCTTGCTCACTGTGGGTCGACGCCTCATATGCAGCCGCGTCACAAAACTGGAATTTATCACACTCGATGCCTAATGGAAACAGGATGGGATTGGTCAGAGACTCGTATCTGCAGGCAAATCCATACCAAGTAAGTACATACAGTCCCTTGCCTACTACTAGTTCAGCTTACCGTAGTTGCCAAGCTACCATAGAGACTCATTAAATTGGCCCACAATCTTTCCCGCAAAATGACCTGTACTTAACCATATCCTATCATTGCCCATCAAGGAGAGACATGCGTCGCACTATTTGGCGCCATTTAATCTCAGCCCGAATCCAAGACACCAGCCAACTAACCCATTACCCTGGCCATCTAGCGTTCCTCAAGCTCCAGCCCAGCTAGACCACCCTTATCCTCGTCACCGATAGTTGAGACAATCGACTGAAGATCAGTAGGCTGCATGATTTGGAACAGGGTGGTCTCAATGGCGTTGTAGAGGAAGAACAGGCTACTTCCGGCCTCGAAGACGGCCTCGAAGAGAACTATAGTCTGTCCTGTCCAGGACTGCGTGGCGAAAAGAGGCTTGACGTTTCCTTCAATCCCGTAAGCTAGGGCTCTCGAGGTTGCGTCGCCGGATAGACCCCATTGAATCTCTCCGCCCATCTCGATGTAATCATTCGTCCATCCTTTTGGGGGGTTGACCTGTGTTCAGCTGGTAAGTGGCACCGTCTGGAGAGGGGCAGAATGGGACGAGAAATACATCAGTGACAGTGACTTGTCTACCGTCCACAATCTGCAAGTTGTCGGGCATTTTGGGACGCTTTGACTTTGCCGAGAGACGAATGTGATGAGTCAAAGATTTAAGTTGGGATGGTGACCAGAGAGGACAATGGCTGGCAAGAGAAGGGAATATACACGTGGCCTGCTCAGTGACGTAGGAGAGGGTCTAGAGCCCAGGCAGTGCGACTAGGTACACAAGTACATTGCTTGGCGCAATCTTTGGGGGCCGACCCAATAGCTGACTTCCTGGAGGATGTCGAGGACCATCCCGAAACATTCCATGTCCACGACGCGAAGACCCAGGCGGCATTGAAAGTGATATACGATGAATTCTTGACTTTGGTGTGAGTATCTTGCTAAATGAAATTTGCAACCCATTTGCCAAACTGTGACATAGAACGTCTCCTGACACAATTTCAGCGGATTCGCCTTTACCCTGGGAGGATGCCACCATTCCTTCAGGATCCAGACGGGTGGCCACATCCGCCATGCTTGGTCAGCAGAAGAGTGTAACGGCAGAGGCTGTGGCAGTTGGAGACAACGCTGCTGCGGGCGGGCTGTAGGTTGCACAGCAGACTCCGTTACCGTCCACGGATGGTAGGCCGCGATCTGTCTGTGGTGTGTGCTGGCGCGAGAGGCGTCGTCATCGCGAGTGGTGTTGAAGCAAAGAATTAAAGGGATTTTTGACACTTATCACTGACAACTTATCGATTAGATTAATATCCAGTTTTAAAAGATAAAATAAATAACTAGAAATTATACATTGGATATTATTTGCTATTCAGAAAATACGGCTATAACTTACCCTATACAACTACCACATGAAGGTATATTGCGCGCTCCAAAATTTTCATGTAGATTCAGGTCTGCGACTAGAAGACGAACGTCCCCTTTGGGACTGCATAGTCTCCTTCTTCCGTCCTTGACAACAAGGTACCTGGATTTCAACAGTCACTACCCTTCTGTCTAGTTGCTCCCCCTCCGTCCGGAAGGAGTAGGGGGTTGAGTAAAAGTGAAATAACAAGGCCCCCCAGTGGTCGTTCTCATATTTTCCAGCGCCTACTCAAGCACGCTGATTCAGTGATGCAAAGCAAAGACCCACAGGTATTGGAATCAGTCCCGGTCTACTGGCCCGCGGGGTCTCATCGCTCGTCTGGTAAATGTTGATCAACCTGAGAATCGGCCTCGGTCAACGACTGGTCCGCCGTATTCTCTGCTATAATATGGCGGACGTTACCCTAATAGCTCTAAGAAACCCAAAGAGTCGAATCCAGATCCTGAGGCATCTTGGAAGAGTCCTTAGAGATAGAGAGTATGTTAAGAGAAGCTCCATCAGGATGTCGATAAAACAGCAAATTTTCCACAACATCGGATATAGCACGCCGCTATGGTATCAACCTTGCATAGACAGCTTGGATTTACTTAACAAACCTTACAGTCTTGTAAATACCGATTCGGTTGTACCTGGAATATTAACGACCACCAAGGCTGGTAAAGGGACAGATGCAAACATACTCCCCAGTCGTCGAATATAAGCCTGGCACAATTACTGCGGCGCCCCCCAGCTAAATAACAATTTCTGATATTTAGCTACACTGGTTTTCTAGGGTTATGCCTAGCTAGGAATGTTTTTTTTTTTTAACTAGGTGAGCAAGAAATTTATTCATGAGGGATTTCTTATATCTTCTCTTTTCTGGGGTTCGAACCCAAAGGCTTTAAGATTGTATTACTGTTCGAAATATTGGTTATCAGTAGTCATGTGAGTTCTGTGCGACATATCAGTGGTTCGCATGCGGAATGCTGCCTCGTCATTCCATCAGGCTTTCAGGCAAACTTGAACCGAATTTTAACCAGTGACACAAGAAGCGTTATTTCTTTTCCCAACTTCAACTCACGGAGACGCATTGCTCAACTTCAGGGATATTTGTCTCATTCTTTCTCTCAGCTGACGCCCGCGAAGCTGCATCTCGGTTTCGACGTTTCCAGATGACATCCTCTAGCAGGAGAGCGTACGTCGAAGATGCGGAGAGCTCAGAGGACGCTTTTTCCACATCATCCTCATCTGGATCTGGTGGCAGCTCCAGCCCATCTCAATATCCCAAAAGGGGAAAGACTCGAATTCCGGCCAAGATCGTTTCGAAACGCGCCCTCATTGACCTAGGGTATCCTTTTTTTGAGGAAGGTAATACCGTCATTGTCCAGAAAGCCCTTGGACAAGACAATATCGATGAGCTACTTAAGTTGAGTGAAGAATACAAAAGGATAGAGCAAGACATTGCAAGGGCACCCGGCAGCACCCTCCAAGAGCCCATCGAGATAATTAGTGTCGATGTGGAAAAAGCTCAAGGCGACACATCTGCTCCCACCCCAGCCCCAATGATGCCGCATCCAAATCCAGCAGGGATTCCCGCAGCGAACAACCTCGTTCCCGATCGATTGACCCCTGACAGTCTTGGACATTCACGAAGGTCACGCTGGGGCGACCAGGTTCTACTTTCCGGGGTCCTCACTCTTAATGGCTCCGTGCAGCAATTAGGCACAGAGTTGGGGAGTCCCGAAATGTTGGCCGCCCGTGACGCTTGGCGTGACTCAAAATCATTCATTGAAGACAGCACTATTGCTACGGAGCTGTTCGAAATTCATGCGGCGGAATGTTACGTGGACCAAGCAGGGGCGCACAAGGTCACCCTATCCTGTCCAAAACGGCCTCAGCGCTCGAAGGATGAATCATCTCTAGTGAGGATACGGTGGTTGTAAGTGAGAAACACTCATGACAAGGTCAAGCCCTCTTATGTTAACCACGGCGTCGTTGTTCGGTCACAGGCATTTGAAAGGATCTCCCTCGAAGCTACGGACCTTTGAGGTGAGTTTCTGAAACTCGTCAAATCCGCTCGCAGGCGACCGATGATATCCAACTAACGTTCACTGTTGCTACAGAACCTTGTTACCGACTGCCCTTTCATATCACAACCCCTTAAGTCGGTTGCGCTCAACGTGTTGAAGGAGGTTGACCGACGATGTCTGAGGCGATCCGAATCCGGATCGGAGATTGAGCCAGGAACTGTAATTAGGTATATTGGGAGGTACCGAAGCTACCTTGGGAGATACGCGGGTGACCCAGCCTATGACACGGAACCAGTGGTATTCCTCTCGACACCTTTTCTACTTCTACCAGAGGAACACTCGACAAGGGGACTCAAGCGAGGGGGCCACTCTAGGACCCTTCTAGAGTTTCTGTATGGGTACGAGGCTGGAAGTGTGCGAGAAAAGTCCTTTGGCGCCCCCAGGATCAAAATGGAAGGAGACAAGGCGATGCGGACCCTACGTGTGCCTCAAACATGGTTTTTGACAATCGGCTCTGGTATGTGGAAGTATATGGCATTGCATCACAAGTTCAGCTGGCTAATAGTCCATCAGCTGTTATCATAAGTTTCTCGGAGTTGTCTTCAAAGGAAATGGCATGCAACAACATACAGCTCGACCGAATGGCCCCAGGATCTACGCCCGGAATCTATACCGTCCGCGTGGTAGATAATGCCTCCATGTGCAGGTATCACATTGTAATTGACCGAGATTGCAATTATGTGGTACGTATTACCCTTTTCAACAGAACTTGGCGTAATAACTAGTTATTTGGTAGAACTTTCTAAAACGCGCCACGGCCCTTGCTCGATCTGGGGAAGCTCATCTCAACACATACGAGTTGTTTGACGAACAAGGTGGTCTGGTTGATCCTCGAACCTGGCTCAGCTTGCTTTCTTCGGGAGATGTAGAAAGCCACATCTTCGGATTAAGATCTAAGGATGTGGACGAGACTGAGCAAGAGTCGAATGACTTTCGTGCTCTTTCGATGAAGTTGCTTGAGGCTGGAAGAGGAGAGAGCAATGACTCTGGGTATGTCTTCAGCCACCAATATTTCTTTCGAGTCTAGTCTGATGATTCTGAAAGATTTCACCCGCCCATTCGTTCGAATGATTCACTTCGGAACCAAGGAGAGATGCAGTTGATAAGGCATCCAATGAAAGAATCGAGACCTGCTTTCGGGGTTAGTTCTCGTGAAAAATCTTCAACGATTCGCGGAAGTCTTCCTGGGCCCTTGATTCCAGCCACGAGACGTCTAAGTTTGGCAAAAATACCGGAGCTGTACGAAGTTGGCGCCAGTACTTCGATGGTAAACTATGGGTACCAGAACGAGGTAATTCCGCACTGGTCTACAATGATGACATCTGCTAATTTCATCTTTTCTCAAAGACCCCATACGGCAAGCATATCGCTAGACCAGAGACTGGTCGAGCCGGAATAGTGCCTAGGATTACCAACACCGTCAATGGCAAGCTGCTTCTCGGCCCATCACCCGCCCTGTCTGGAAAAGACTCTCCAGTCCACCAGGAATGGGGCTTTGTGCACTTAACCGCGCCGTCCAGATACAAGTCCGTAAGTTCATTGGAGGTTGAAAACGACCGGCAATCTTGGTCGAGTGGTCCCAAGCCGGCTCCGCCATTGCCCTTTGACGATGAAGATATGGATTCACTCCATGACTTTGGACCTGGACAAGACGCGGACCACGAAGATCCTGGCTTGCCTCCTGAACAATTTCAGAGACATCAGTCCTTGACTCACTCGATGGCCTCAAGTATTGTGGAAGACAGACTTGTGCCATTCCTTACATGGAGACTCAGCCGGGATACCGACGATCGGTCTGCAGAAGAGACAGATAAGACTTTGGTTCAGCTGTTAAATAAGATACACGGGTCTCTTGCTTCCGGTAGCTATGGGAAACTATACCTGGAAGCGTTTCAGTGTACTAGACAAGATGTTGTTGAGAGGTCTCAGACGCTCTGTTCAATTCTTGGCGAACAATCAGCAGCATCCACTTCTCGAGAAGCCGGTACAGCTGAAGATACGAACCCATACCAGCAGCAGATCAATATTTCAGCCGCGCACACAAAATCAACACTCTTTCGAACTCTTTTGGAAGTGTCTGAGGAAATATTTGCAGCCTTTCTTCCTACCTCGGGGAGCTCTTCTGCTCATTCCCTATGTGGGCGTTTTTGGGGCACATTGGATTTAATTCTAAGGGTAGGCAAGGCATCCCCTGTTGTAGGATGATGATTGACCACGGACTTCAAATTAGCAAATCTATCTGTCTTCAACAACCTCCCGGCAGTTTCACGAGCCAAATTGGGTCGAAATCCCACCATTCCTTTCTCCTATCCAGGGCGAGGGCAGGACAGAAAGTTCCACAAAGAAGACGTCATCTCAAGAATGTTCAGCATGCCGCCAAAATACAATGTACTCATCAATAGAATCTGCAATCGGCCACATTCACAGCGAACATATTCAGTGTCAACACGCTTTTCAAGGGACCAAAATCTTCGACGATCCCTGTCTGGGATGGGTTCGCCGCCAAGGGCTAGATGTAGAGGCAGATGGAGAGGTGCTAACAACGGCATCTGCACTTGTCGCTACTCTGGTCAACATTCGAGACAAGACTCGAGACCTCCATTGTTCTGTGAGCGGATCGTCGGAGAGCAACAAAAGCACGGATTGTCGGCCGCATCTCCTAAGCAATCTGGTTTATTCGTTTGAGGAAATCGTGTGGAAGTATGTTCTCACAGCAAAGGAACTCTCATGGGCAAACCGAGCACGCTTACGAAACTCGGAACATGGCTTGGTCCTGCCCATGCCGAAACCGCTAACGATGATCCGTGACTGGAGCAAGTCAACAGAAGGGAAGATTCAGGAGTATCTTGGCTTGGCCAAGCGGGACATCATCATCCTAGGCACCACCCGAGGTGATGTTGACAGGCTCATTATTGCGCCGGTAGGACCTGAATTCATCGTGGCTTCTCTGATTAGCAACATTCAGAACCACACAATCCTGCAAGGGACAGGACAGAAGATGGAGATTGCAAAGCACTATCGAAAGGTCTCTCTCGGACTCCGTTTTGGTGCGACACGGGACCCAAAACGTCGAAGGTTTCTCGAGATTTCCGCTCTCGAAGAAGAACTAGAGGCTTTACGAACTGTGGCTCAGGTACAGACACAGCTAATCAGAGCGTATCGAAAAGTCCTGGAACCCACAGCTTTTCAGTCCGCGACCACTGACTGGGCCTATCTCAAGGACCGACAAGCTATGTATCCACTTGAGAAGAAACGTCTCGACTTACAACATCAGAAGCTTGCCGATGACAGTGATGCTCTGGCTACGTTGGAACGGATTTCTCAGGTTACAAGACACGACATGAAACAGAGCATAGAAGTGCTTGAGGAAGGGCACGGGAAAGCTATCCGGGTGTTCACATTCGTCACCTTATTTTTCCTTCCACTGTAAGTGTTCTTCCTATCCAAACCAATCCGCGCTTCAATCTCTATCTCTTGGTGCAAGGCAGGAGTGGTAGAGTGTTCTTACAGGAAGACTAACAGCTCGCCGTAGATCGTTTGTTACGAGTTTCTTTGGAATGAACACGACAGACGTTAGGGATACCGATTGGGATCAGAGGATATTCTGGTCTTCCGCTGTGCCTGTAACAGTGTTCGTACTAACGCTGGCAATTATCTATGGCTACAAGTGGGACGTGGTTGTGGACGCATTCTCTAATGCGCTCGCCTCACAGAAGTCACCTGAGCTTTGTGACGTTCTGGAGGACAGTGTCACGCCACTAGTAGGAGACAAGCCCTCTGGTAATGAAAAGCCTGCTATCCCTCACTCCGCGCAGATTCCCTTTGCCACACTGGCTAAGGGCTTTGGACAGGCAATGAAGAGGCGTCAGGCGCCTGAGAATAACGAAGCGGTACTGCGGCGACAGACAAACGACAGCCTTTTAGTTTAGGGAGTTTGTCTTAAGGGTATATCAGTATAGCTCTAGATTACGCTGTCACTCTCACATTACTTTCTTACCCTTTCCAGAGCTTCCAACTGTCGTCGCAGTGCATTTCCTCATCAATACAGGAGGGCCGCTTAGGACTTTTGTAGGGATGTTTGACCATATTTCCATCTCCGTTTCGCGCCTCTATCCACATATCTCAAAGCTAACAACCCGACGATCTCGTATTTTGGAACCCATCCATCGCGGAAGATGATCAGTTTTCGAACGAGCTTTGTGGTTGGGTTGATGGCTTGGAGGCCACTGCCTCATTGAGCGGAACCGCAACCGCAACCACAAGCCTTGACTCTGGGTATTCCTGTACACTGGCAACGAGTTATCGTACCATATTCACTTGAAGGAACCTACAGAAGGTTCGTTGTGAGTCTTGTGACCGTTGAATCGCCCTATCGGCCACACCGTTAACCCACAGCTTGACAGCATCGGACTTTGTCGAAACAGTTACTCCCCCTAGCCCTCGTGCGGCTGAAAAAAAATAGAAATGAACCTGGTGGTATGCGCAGAGCGATGACGATACATGTGAAAATATCCTGAAGGCGTGGTATTTTACCTTCGACAAGTTATATACCATGAACCCGTCTGTCGGCCAAGATTGCTCAAAAATGTCACTCGGCACATAGTACTGCCATTCTACCTACGTTGACGGTACATTGGTCCACATAGTAAAACAGTACTGTAGTGTAATTAGGACCATACAACGTTTGGACATCTACTGGCTGCAACCTTGGTCCCCACCTGTTCGGGCGAGTCTCTCACCTCGCTCTCGCATTGGCGTCGGACCTGAGGGTATATGGGGGTTGACACGATTCGGGTCAGTCCAAGATGGGCGATTGGTTTGGGTAGATTGCCATCCTCGTCTGACATGGCGCGAGCTCGTTTCTGGTTTACCATTTTGGATTATGCTGTATCAACTGGCTGAGCTAAACGATAGAGTGTACACCTAACATTGCTTTACACAGGGTTAATTGGATTCATGTTCCAACAGATTGTCGAAATTGCGAATGCCGCCTTTACATGTCACCGAACTGAGAGAGTACTGCGTAAATTAGTAACGTCTCAAGTTGCACTGAGGTGGGCCCCTGTCAAGCGTCCGTCCTATAATAGCACCCTGGTGCATATTTTCACTGGCAGGTTGATTAACCGCTGGTTGTTCCTTGCATTTTCCGGCGGCTACTCAAGCACGCTGATTGAGTGATGCGAGCCAAAGACCCGGACGTGTTTGATTCCCTCACCTCTTCATTCTACCACCTTCAATTCATCACAACTCCACGCAATGACTTCCTCGCCCACAGACCAGCCAGGACCTCTTGTGCGTCTCCCTGCTGAGCTTTTGAATGCGATTCTGTCCCAGCTGCCCAACCGCGATCTGAAGCATCTTCGGTTAACATGCGGGTTCCTCCAGGACAGGGCGCACCTCCGCATCGACCGAGTTTTCATATCAGCCAACTCACGAAATGTTGAAGTGTTCCGCGCCATTGCGGATCACGAGACATTCCGCATGGGTGTCACCGAGGTCATCTGGGACGACGCCCGCCTGAAGACCTGGGAACTGGAGGATCCCGAGCTCGATGACGACTGGGATGAGGATTCGGGTGGATGCCCGGACTGGTTTGAGAGGACATGCGAGGCCAACGCTGAGGGGATGATAGGCCGTGCTATCGATGAGGGAGACCCCATTGGCGATATTGCAAGAGAGAAGCAGCTTGAGGCACAGCTACCATACAAGGCATCATGGGCCTACTACCAGAAGTTGATACAACAGCAGGACGAAGTGTTGGCGTCTGGCGCCGATATTGATGCCTTTCGGTACGGGCTGGAGCGGTTTCCCTCGCTCATAAGAGTCACAATTACACCGGCAACCCATGGTTTCCTATTTTCGCCGCTATATCAGACGCCCATGATTCGGAGCTTCCCCTACGGCTTCAACTACCTTATCCCACGCAACACCTGGCCTACTATAGAACATGACGAGCCGGAGGCACATCTCTGGAATGATGGAGGACCCGGCGACGAGGAGATGAAAAACCAGTGGCGAGGATTTCGCGTCATCACGCGCATACTAGCACAGGAGCCGCACCATAACATTTCGGAATTTGTTGTTAATGTTCACCGTCTCAACACGGGGCTGAACTGTCACATCTTTGACCAACCGAACGAAGAGCATGACAATTTCGTCAAAATCCTTCAACGCCCTGGTTTTCGCCACCTCCATCTCTCTCTTCTTGTCGGCGGGCTGGAGGATCAGGGCTGGTCGTCCTATCGCAACGGTTACTTACAACTTGCCCTGGCCGAGGCAAAAGACCTGGAACATATGAGCCTACACACAAATGTCTGTCGCGACCCAGGCGGCCGCCGTATAGACCGGCTAAGTAGTAGGCCCATTGAGGACTTCATCCCACTGCGCACTATTTTCCCAATCGACAAGTGGCCGCGGCTTCAACATTTGGGTCTCGCGGGCTTCCTGGTAATGCAGTCCGATGTGATGTCCCTACTTTCTGGGCTGCCATCGACTGTGCGGTCAATCGATCTAAGCTTCCTCAAGTTCTTAGATACCGGCGGCCATTACAAGGGTCTACTTTGGGAGATGCGCGACAAGTTGGACTGGCGTTATTGACCTGTCGAGGAGAGGCCCAAGATCACCCTCCGTATTGACTTGTTCGTCCGGAGGCCTGGGAAATGCATATGCCTGAGTCGAGCAGCTGAAGAGGTTATCTACGGCTATGGGCGAAATCCGTTTGGGCAAGAAAACGACGACAGGTCTCCGCATTTGGTCCGGGAAGCGACAGGGATTGAAATAGATGAATTTAATCCTGCCTATCAACGACCCAATTCCGGGATATAGAAGATAAATCAATGTATAGTGTATATACTCTAATCTAACTTCTGTCTGCTCCCTCAAGGTGAGCAAGTTGCCGGCACAAGGTCAAAAAAACACAGTTTTATCCACAATTCAAGCATTTGTTACCCAATGCTGCCACGATGACCAAATATCAAGCTTTTCAGCTTGGAAAAGTTAAACCTGTATGAACATATTAGTAGTCGGCTCAAGAAGCGTATATACTCTAAGTTACAGAACTATATAGGGTGTTGCAATTTCTGTATGATTATACTGGTCTATTTAACTCTGTATATTATCTAGGTTTTATTAGTGATGAAACGATATTTCAGTATTTCTCTTATTATATGCAAGTTTATTTAGCTAGTATAATTAAATATAAGAATGGCATGAGGTATTAAAAGTAGTAAATAAAATAAACCTCTTTACATACATGTAAAAATGAATATTTAGCGTCATGTTGAATATTAAAAGAAATAATAGCTAGGTCATAGAATTGTTATAGAGGCAAACCATACTAGCATTCTGTAACCACTGTTACCAACAGCCGTGGTATCTGAAATAGCCCCTCCCTCGTATTCGAGTTTTATACTTTGCCGCGGTATATTAGAGTTTCCTTCGGATATAGCCATGGGTTAGTCACTTATCTCGCTGAGCAAGAAGTACGCTATAGCAATAAATCCCGCAAGCTGGTTCAAGTTTTCGATCCGAAATATCCTCTGAGTACCATCTTGTCATAACCCAACGCATCAGCACCCTAGCCTATATCAACATGTTCCTCATTCAATCGGCCTGCAGCTTTCTGGTTCTGGCTTCAATAGCTAGTTGTACCTCCGTCTGTCACTACAAACCCTCAATCAATGCCACAGCCTGGAATTACCCCGACTCTGCCGGCAACCCAACAGCGGGGAAATATCCTTACTACCTCAACGCTCTCTCAAATGTGCCCGTGGCCAACATCTGCAACTCTGGCAACGGCACCGAAGAACTAGCCTGCGCTCGAAAATACATCGACGCCATCGACGAACAGCTGGCATTCCTGTACTCCCGCCGTCTCGGATACGCAGCTGTGGCAGGATACTCCAAGTTCAGAGCTGGCAATAGTCTCAACGACCCCAGCAGAAACAAGGTCGTGGCGGACGGCATGGCGCAGCGAGTTCTGAAGTATGGGGGAAGTCAGGACGCGGGGAGAGTCATGGGAGGAGAAGGCTGTCAGATTTATGCCAGCTTGGAGTTTGAGAAGAGCAGCATTCAGCAAGCTTGCGATCCGAACTTCAACGAAGATATTGAGAGACTGTGTAACTGAGTGGACAAGGAGTTCTTTGTGGACGAATATCTAGGTCTAACGAATAAGAGAAATGCAACCTCTTGGAGACGATTATTGTGCCATCTCAAGCGTCTTGCGGTTCATTCCACATATAAAGTCAAACAGCGCGGCACCTCGATTGGACGAGCCATAGCTGCTAGGTCTCGGGATAAGCAGATCTACAGCCACGACACCGGCTGGTTTCAGCCCGATCGATGGCTCAGCTCCGGCTCAGCCAAACGTATGAACATGTTTCACGCCAACAAGATGCTGCTCAATCACGACAAAGTCCAGTGCCTGGCAAAGACGATTATTAAGATGAAACCTGGCAAGACTCTGTTCGAGGTTTACGGAGAGCTTCCACGTCCATTTTCGCTTCAATATTATGTCCGAGATCAGCTACTATAGTAAGTCCAACCAGGCCCTCCGATGTAACTGAATCCTTGACCGTCGCTTCCGCCATAGTGTCCCTGCCTTGTACTCCAAGTGTGAGAACCACCGTTGGAACCGCCGCCTCCCCAACCTCCTCCAGCACCTGGGCGAGCCATTGCTTGTATTCTCAAGTTCCCTAGCGTAATTGGGCTCCCCTCCATTCCATAACTGCCATCGGCATTAAGCCACCACCTCCCCTGTCTCACCCATACTCCCATAGCCTGTAAACCCGCAACGTCTATGGCGTGTATCTCACGTCCATTGATGAAGACTCCTGTGCCCGTGTTTCCAGAGGCATGCGGGTGAAGCTCCCCATTACCGAGAGCCAGCCCGGCGACCATAACACCGGTACATGGACCGCCAGCTGAGCCGTAACCTCCACTGCGACGGTCATACCTATTTTGAACTCGGAGGTTACCAGTTGATTATAATTATCAGGGCCGTGGAGCTTACCAGTAGTTCCCGGGAATCACAGTTCCTAAAACTCCCCGGAGCGTGAGCAGATCTGCTTGCCCGAGCTCCACGCCATTGACTATGACACTGCTAGGGAACGAGGGTGCCGGTGGAGAGGCCATGGGCGCGGCGTTGGTGAAGCTCTGCGCAACCTGTCCAAGCGCAGAACGCCACGAGAAATGCCGGGGAGGCGTGGCTGTAGGTTCTTGGTAGGGGTTCCCCCGTTGATGGGGAGCATATGAGCTCGCTGTTGGAGGAACCGGAGGCTGCAGGAATTGAGGCGGTTGCGAGGCTTGGGGTTGTGAGAACTGAGGCTGTGAGAACTGAGGCTGCGAGAATTGTGGCGTGAACGTGTTCGGACGTGGAGGAAGAGGCGGCGCGCTCTCGTCAATCTCGGCGGTTTCGGGGCTCGTTGGAGATCTTGGCCCAAACTGTGAGCGGTATGGATATGACATGGCGGCAGGTCTAGTCGTAATTATTTGACCTCTTGCAGCTACAATTCTCTTGGCATGGACGAAACCTGGAGGACAGAGGGGTTTGTTTATATTGTCATGTGGTCCAGTCCAGCTCGAAAACGCCATGCCGCTCTTATTTGCCCACTTGACTGGAGAAGTCCTACGCCACTCGAACAAGTCCTACGCCACTTGCGAGTATTATTGGCACACGTTCACCCTGACATCATTTCCGGCAAGTCTCGCGTCCCCTGGGCTGTGTTAAGATCACACGATACGAGCTAGTCTCAGCAAGGCTCAATCTAGTCACGTAACACGTCACACTGACGCCAAGGTCCTAGCTTCGAAAGACGATGTGTATTGATACTACTGAAAACCAAGCATAGATAGTGTGGTTATCCCGATGCATGCAAACTGGTGTGAGACAGGAAGGTCAGCGGTTGGTAAACGTTTCTTGTCCGCCAGAAACTGCATGCGCAGCAGGCCGAACGTATATTCGAGTGTAGGCGGACTCGCAATCGACGGCAGCCCCCAGAAAATCCGACATCTTGCCCTTAGTAGAGTGTAACAGGTAGCGCCTTAACCGCGGTGTTACAGCTTGGCTTATTGAGCAGCGGAGATGTATTACGACCTGAAGGACCATCCATCTCGGTCAGGCTGCGCTGCTCACTGTGGCGGGCTGGGCTTGTGCCATAGCTCTCAAGCCCGGTGGCCCATAATCCAGCTCGACATCATGATTATAATATCTTCCAATTATTATTTGTCTGTGGGCTTTATCCGGTAAGGCATTTGTCATCTATCTGCCGGATCCTCCCAATCCCTGCATCTTCCCTCCTTTTCAGATTGCAAACATAAGGCTGGATAGTATGGCAACGCCGACGAATACTATGGTGACACTAGCGAATGTTTGCCAACTAGCTACGGGGGCCATGCCGAGGCAATTGCAATGAAATTAAGCGCCAGATATCAAAAAGCATTTGGCATGGGGGCAATATCACGACCTAGACAGGCATCCCTGTCTCGAATCTGCCCCAGAGGATACTGGTAAGTCTTAGACGAAAATACCATGGTGTCTTCATTTTCCATCATCCTCTGGAGCGTCTGCCTCTCACTGTGACGAGTCACTTGCTTAGGATCCACCTCGCCACTCCTCATTTTTGGGAAACCGATGCCCAGCCATATTGAAACATCCTCGATTGTTTCAATCACCAGCAGCGGCCGGAACATCAAGGGATTCTCAGTCAAACGCCTCATGCATATCTGCTATTTGCAACTATTCAACACTTGGACATGTAAAAACTAATATACCTAAACACAAGGCGCCTGTTTCTATACGAACATGATAGAGCAGGATAAAAGAAAAAGTATACAAGTAAAATCACAAGGCTGAGACACGGACAACAATCTTCCCTACTGTGCGTCCCGACCTAATCATCGCATATGCCTTCGGCACATCCTCCCACTTGAATATCTGGACAACAGGTTTCACCTTGCCTTCCTCCAGCCATTGCCCAATCCGTGATAGGTCTTCCATCTTGGTCTTGACCCCAACAATAATAAACTGCCTCGATCCACCCCCCAACCATGCTGGCTGTAGCTTCCGTCGAATGGCCAGAAGATTGAAATTGACCTGTACGAATTTCCCGTCGGGTTTGAGGAAGTGGTGGCTGGTCTCGTATAAATCCGGGATTCCAACGTTATCGATTGCAACATCGAAAACCTGCCCCAACTTCTCCAGTTCCGAGATGACGTTGACTTCCTTGTAGTCCAGTACGCTGTCCGCACCCAGCTGACGACACAGACCCGTATTTGCCGTAGAGCAGGTCGTGGTTACATGGGCGCCCATGGCCTTCGCTAGTTGTATACCGAAGGTGCCCGTTCCTCCGCTACCTCCATTAATGAAAACTCTAGATCCCTCCTTTGTTTTTCCCAGTAGTAGGGACTGATAAGCAGTCAAGCCGGCCACACCCACCGCCGCGGCGTGGTTCGGATCGACGCCATCTGGCAGTATGGTGCACTGGGAGGTAGGGGCGACAATGAGTTCGCTGAGGGTGCCGTACTTTAATAATGGCGAGACCGCTCCGAAAACAAGTTGTCCTTCGCGCATGTCCTGGTCGGAATCATGGGTGGCCACAACGCGTCCGCAGAAGTCGAGCCCTGGTGTCGCGGGATTTTGGAGCACGAGCATTCTTATTAGGCCGACCTCCGGGAGCTTGTAGTCGACGGGATTCAGGGCGGCCGAGATGACTTGCACGAGGATTTGGCCCTTCGAGAGCGATGCTTTGGATGGCGCCGGTGCAGATACGTTTATGTGGAGAGAATTTTCGAGGCCGTCACGAATATTCGTATACTGCCATGCCTTGGTTGTTGCCATTGCTAGGATATTGGATGAGATGCGGCTCATTGACCGGCCAAGACGGTTTTTATTATGAATAGCAAATAAAATTGGCTAGAAATTACTGTAACAATCTCAACAGGATGTGGGCGCCGGCCTTAGGGGGTTATATAAACAAACTACTGGCATCTTTTGGCATCGCCTCTGTGACTTCAGGTCCCTGGCTGCGGAGTTTGTTAGAAACAAGCTGCGGGGTTTGGTAGAAACGAGCAGCGGAGTCCGCCAGCACTGCGCCACGCTGATCGAACCGGTGCAACATTACCCCGGCGAACTTGTATGCCATTCGCAAATTACTTATAACGAGGGCCGTGCCATGCGTTAGTGGAGCAGATAAGCATCCCTTTCCTTTAACAAAGACTTACTCTGGCCTTCGGGAAATTCCAGACAATTCGGTCCTTCGTAGGCGTCAAGGATATCTGCCAGAGAGCAGTACTTCGTGTCAAGATAGTACATATAGTCACATGGCGGCGCAATCCAAAGGGTGTTATATAGTTCACCCCTGGTTCTAGTTCGTCCCCCTGCTCGTATTCCTTGCCAACGCGTCACCGCGTTATGTCACGGTACACCACTAACTATTACGCCACAGGGAAAAAGATTGGGCCCTGATTGCAATTGTAGCAATCAATAAGGTGCACTAGTCGCCTTATAACGTGAGAGGATGAGTTTCCTATCGTTGGAAATCCCAAACCTGTTAACAATTAAAAAATATATTAGTTTTTAATAATTTAAAATAGTGGTATTCTTTTTATTTCTCTGTTTCATGTACTAGATGAAATATGATAAATAATAAAAGTAAAAGAAATAAAAAGTAAAGTAATTAATTAACACTAAAAAGTATTACTTGAGATTATATTCTAATTTCCTACAATAATAATCCTTTCAATATTTCCTATAAGAGGCTTAAGAAGGTAAGATAAATAGACTTACAGTTATATAATAGGGCCTAGGAAGTTAAGTATATAACTTATAAATAATAAGCCCGAGGAGCAAGCTTTTACATCTGAAACAAAAGTAAAAGAAAGTGCAACATACACAGGCACACTTGTCTTATAATGGCTAAGAAAAGAAGTCAAAGGATGTGAAGGGACTCAGGGCGGGAACCTGGCGCACTCCCGACGACGATTCGCGATTTGGGCTCTTTCTTCCCAGCGATTTACTCCGATCGCCAAATTGAGACATCACTATAATAGATCGGAGCATGGTTAGTCTAGTACATGTGAAAACGTAGCGATGCAGGAACATAGTCCAATGTAGTAGGGTGTGAGGATTGGAGTATGTCACATACATTACCGATAGATTGCAACCAGTCATGGGTGTGCTCAAACACGACAGCGGCTCTATAGTGTAGATTGACATCATGACCAAGGTTGGCGGGAATGAAGTACGAAAACTTCGAAGCCCGAGGGAAAAGCTCTGTGGACCTGGCAGGAAGTGTTGTTGGGCCTTGTCCACACGCGCCGCGTTCTGTGGAGTTATCGAAGCAGAAAACAGTGTCCTGTTCGCCGGTGACAACAAGCACTGGTCGGGTGAAGTTGCTAGCCACAACGGGGCTCGTTGTCAACATCTCACCAACAGTGAACGTCGTCATTTGAGCCCAATCAACATCCAGGACACTCGTGTCATAAGTCCCTGCCAGTCCGTATAGCGCCTGGGCCCTGCCCGTCTTGGATGAGGTTACCAGATAGCCGTTGGCTAAACCAGAAAGTGCGGCGTGTTGGCGTGACTTTTTCGGTAGAGAGAGAGCCGCAAACCGAGCTGCTGGAATTGGTTGCATTAGAGCGGCTGACCCAAATCCGATTTCCCTCCCATAGCCAGTCAGAACCAGCGAGTCTAGAGTCTTTGGGAACGAGGCCGCCACATGATTTCCGATAATAGAACCCAGAGAATGGCCCACGTAGTGGACTTTGCGGAAACGGCGACCGCCGATTTTGCCAGTCCTCAATTTTGTGGCAATTTTGTCCAAGATGGCAGCTTGGAGAGGAACTTGAACGACATTCACAGGATCAGGGTGCGACGAGCTCCCCATCCCCAGTCTGTCGATGGACAAAGTGGCGTAGCCACGGCGGGAAGCGTAGGAAGCCCAGGAGTATAGCACGCTGTCTTGGCCCAAAGTGTCTAGTGCGGACCAGTACGTCCTGTCGTAGGATAGACCAGAGACGAGCATCTGAACTTCTTCGTGCTGGGGAAAGATGCGGACCTCTGGCTCGCAAAACCTGACTGTGAGATTGTAGTCCCCTGAAACGTCGACAGAAGTGAGTTTTTGGGTAGAAAGCGAGGCGAGGCGATCAAGCACCGAGGTGGCATCAGTCAAATCCGGAAAAGGCGGAACTTTGATGTTGGAAGCCTTGGCGGATATTTCGATGGAGAAGTCGGAGCATTTTGGGCCTGTGGCGATTGCAGAGCCAAACGGTACTAAAAGCAATACAGCCGTGAAGCTTCTCAAGAATGGCTGCATGTTGTAAACAAACTCGGGTGTAGCAGATGAAAGATGGAGTGGGATTGTTTTATTCCGGTACGTACAAGGACAAAGAGGCGTGACAAGACTCCTAAATAATATTCTGCTACCCTCGATACGAAGGGGCCTGCTTTGGTCATTGCTTCTCGGCAGCTTAAATTCAACGCCCCTAAAAACCCATCTAACTATTTTGCTAGTTGGAAAATAAACTTTGACAATTTCAGCAAGGGTTGCATATGCGGAATTGTGAACGTTTCTCCCAGCCGAATGGTAACCTCATCGGAATTATGAGCTTTCCCAAGTAAAGAGAAATCTACATAGTAATACCAGGCCAAAAGTTTTCACACCCCTGTCAGGTACTCTTTTGACCTAAGTGGCGAAGTTAATACGAAAGCCAAAGCGAAGCGCGCGCGATATGAAGGTAGTAGGGGAATACTCCCTCATATCGCGCGCGCTTCGCTTGAGCTTTCGTATTTGTATATGAATATTCGCAAGGGGGGTTGTAGGGAGAAGATGAACTGTTTTGGACCACTACCATCGAAAGAGCCTTAAGTGCTGTGTCCCCCGTCACGGCACGACCGGAAGCTACTAACTCTTTGTCGCCTTACAACGACTATTAAAGCGGTATTAATAAGCGGCCGGACATGGAGAAAACGCTTGACCGAGCGCTAACCCCTGGTATTCGTGGCCAAACTGCGACCCCGGCTTCCCCACGAGCAAACAATCCCTGCCCGTGTACAGTTGTAAAGCTCTATCCTTACTCAGGCTAGCGTTCCGGTTGCGTCACTATGATGGCGTGAAATTGCGAGCCAGGAGCTATGAAAGTGATATCAGCAACGGCGGTCAAAACCACTGCTAGAATGGAAGAACCGCCGACACGGGGCACCGAGAACAGTATCAACTCCGCAAAGTCAGGCGATCCGATATTATACTGCTCAAAGTACGCTATCCGAACTTCTACTAGGGGGGTCTCGTTATTTCACTACAGCTCAACCCCCCGTTCGTCCCTCACGGGGGGTTGAGCTGTAGTGAAATAACGAGACCCCCCTAGTACTACAAGCGTGGTTGCTCGCTCACTCGGCGAGACCTTGTCGCATCGGCTAAGTTAAGCCCTTCTTGATCTGGTTAGTATTCCGGACTGTGCACCGTCTCCACTGATCTATTGCGCAATTCTATTTTTGCTACTCCGTACTGTCATTGTTATCGTTGTGGCTGGCCATTACTACGCTTAAATGTCCATCTGGAACCGCACTTGATGTCAGACGGAGATATGGACCACAATAACGCTACCGGCAAGAGGAGTGATCATAACTGTCGCAATCCCGCTACGGCAAAAGGGAATGATCACTCCTCTTGCCGGCAGCGTTATTGTAGTCCATATCTCCGTCTGACACTTGAAATTTCAACAAGTCCCATGCGACACAACATGAGGTACCTAATAATTGACGAGTCTAGCACCTATTTGGAGGCATCTAGATGTTTGATATCACCTTAGCAGCTAGGTCGGTTAGCTATTGTCAAATTGACGGCGGAGGCTGTAGCAGGCAGTATATTCGGTACTGGTACCTAGTATCTAAACTAACGTGAGAGGTCACCACAATACATTTTGAACAGAATCAATTCAATTTGACAAATACGCAAGTACTTCAGCTAAACAGAGGAAAACAGTCCAACGAAATCAAAACCTCTCTTGCTACTAGTAGAAACACACCCGCAAACTCCCCCACCAAGAACCATCATTGACCTGCTCCCCGAGCTCGCACATAATCCTCAAAACTCGTTGCTTTGCGTCCAGTGTACTGCTCGACATTTGCTACGCATTGACTGAAGAAGGGCTCCGGATAGTAGATGGAGCGGTCGGCGTTCTTCTTCAGGTCATCGGCAAGAAAGTCGGCGAGGAATGCAGGGACACCCCGCTTCTTGAGAGACTCGCCGTACTCGTCGGCGGAATACTCAGTAACCTTAATCTCCCTGCCCAGGACCCTCCCCATGATCTCATACATCTCCGGGTGCGACAGGAACTTGGGTCCAGTCAGATACACAACGTTCTTCTGTACCGAGCGAACTGGGTTGACTAGAATAGCACCTGCGACCTCGCCAATGTCGATAGGGGAGATACAGTCGCCACCGCCAACGTTTGGGACATGGGCTTCCCAGGGTGTCTGGGATTGGTCGAGATTCAGCTTGAAGGCGTTGCTAGCAAACATGGCAGGCCGCAAGGCCGTGAACGGCAGTCCGATATCCTCCAATGAGTTTTCGGCTTGGGCATGTGGGTAGGAGATGAAATGCTCGGGTTTGATTTCCCGCGTATTCTCGCCTGGTAGAATGCTGTACACAGAAAGGAACACGACATACTCGATGCCAGCATCCTTGATGGCTTCGAATGTGCCCCTCATGAAATCCTGGGTTTGAACGTTGTAAACAGATGCCGCTTTGGCCCCTGATTTCGCAACTGCCTCCTTGACAGACGCGGCGTCCGAGAGATCAGCTCGGATACGGCTGAAGGAGTCACGGTGCTGCTGCTCCGCTCTGGTGATGGCGGGAATCTCCTTGCTGGGATCTCTGAGGGCGAGCCAGACCTTAGCCCCTCGCTTGGCCGCTCTAATGGCCGCCGCCGAACCGACATCGCCAGAGGCTCCAAAGATGATTACTGTTGCCATGCTGTGTTGAATTTTGTCGGAAATTTGCTTTCCCGTCTTCTCAAGCATGACATCTGTGGTTATATTAGGCTGCTCTACACAATCCGCGTAGATGCATTACTCAGCTCGACACGGTGCGGCTCAACCCCATTGCCGTCAGTGGAGAAGACATGCATCGTGAAAAGGCATTTGTCCGAGGTCTATGTGCAGTCTCGGCAAGATATCACGGACACCCTTGAAACAGGGAAATAAGTGGGATTACAAGCCCATGCAATGAACTGGTGACGGATCAGCGCATCAAACTCCGCAACCGCGAGGGTCGCGGGCGGAACCCCCGAGAAAGCGGACAGCTCTCTAACGTAACGGGCCCAGCGGCTTACTACCTTCGTTCGAGTCAACTGGAACTTGCCCATCCGGCGAACTCTTGCCCTTTTGAGGTTATCCACCTTCGGCACTTCCGGCGAGTTTTTGCCTTTTTGAGAATGCCTGAATTTCCCCAGTCAAGCTCGAAGTACAGAGTATGTGATATCTCTGAAAAGTGATCCAGTCCGACCAGGACAAACTTGGTTAAGACCTCAGTAGTACAGTGTCATGCGATAATTAGCTGTTAGGCTTATAAATCAAGAAAAGCATCGCCAACATGCAGCTTTCGAAACCATCCGGGTTCACATACCGGCATTGGCACCGAACACCCAGTCACTGACCCGCAAACCGAGTCTGAATGTGTCGAACGGCCCGACTGTTGAGCTTCAGAGCCTGGAACATTCTCAGACATGTGCAGGCAGGGATGATTTGTCAAGCGGCATAAGCTGTGGCGCTTTCGGCGTTAAACAACTAAGTCGCGCCGTGATGATTTGGACTTGGATCCATCAGAGGAAGCAATCAAGGGGTTGGGATACAAAGAAAGCTGAGCATACGTCGAGGCAGGCCAAGAAATCGTGTTCACAATCGAATCCAATCAGTTCAACTCTCTTCAGGCCATCATTCACTCTACTAAAATGTCACGAAAGCTCTTGGTTGTCTTTGGTGCCACTGGCTCCTAGGGCGGCTCGGTCGCCAACATTGTCCTTGACACCCCCGATCTCTCCAGACAATATGCTGTTCGAGCAATTACTCGCTCCGCTTTGAGCCACAAAGCCCAAGCCCTTTTGCAGAGAGGTGCTGAAGTCGTGGAGGCCGACTTAGATAACCCTTCCTCGCTAAAGGCCGCTCTCGCCGGTGCACATACTGTCTTCGCCATGACAAACACTCAACAGGGTGGCAACACGGTTGAGATCGAGACCCGGCAGGCGGGTGCGCTATGTGAAGAATTGGTCAATGCTGGAGCGAAATATGTCATCTGGAGCTCTCTCCCGTTTGTCCGCGAGTTTTCGAACGGCAAGCTCAAGGTCAACCACTTCGACGTGAAGGCGGAAATCGAGCAGCGCATCCGCGCCCTGCCGATCAAATCGTCCTTCTTTGTTCCAGCATTTTTCATGCAAAACTTCTCCAACGTCATGGCACCAACTCCGGCAAACGACGGGACGTATGTGTTCGCAAACTCCTGCACTGAGAGGACTCTGATGCCACTCATTGACCCTACTGATACTGGAAAATGGGTCGCGGCTATCCTCGCAGAGCCGGACAAGTACGAAGGGAAATCCATTGCTGCCGCCCAAGGCCTTTACACCTGGAGCGAGATTGCCGAGGCAGTTTCTGCCGCTTCCGGAAAAGTTGTCAAGTTTCAGGCGGTGCCGGAGGAGACATTCAGGGGTTGGCTGCCGGAAGGACTGAGAGACGATTTGCTTGATATGTATTCACTGTTCAGGGACTATGGATACTACGGGCCGACGATGAAGGAGGACATTGAGTGGGGAGTGAAGCAGGCAAAGGGCAATCTTACGTCGTTGGAGGAGTTTTTGAGGCGGGAACACTTTCAACTGAAATAGCAGGACAATAGCAGAGTAGATCTACGCATACACCTATGGTTTTTATATGTTTTTGATCTTTACTTGTGGCGACGGATCCTTAAACACACGAGTAGACTTTCCAGCTATCCAGCTAATATGTAGACTACGGTAGAGCCTGCTAGGAAGACGTGAGGGAGCTGAAATCAGAGTCGCAAGACGGCTAAAGCATCATCACAATGCTACGGGCCGACATTCCGCAACCATGAATGATTGACCTTCAACCGTTTCCAAATACGGCGGAGTTCAGTGCGGTATCTGGTTTTTCTGACTCCGCCCTTGTTCTCAAGCTCGCCGAGCTCGACCGATTTATCCACTCTGTGAAGCCCACCAAGGCAGCCAAGCTTACGCACATCTGGCCACTGATCTACATGCAGGATAGATACCTTGCCGGCCACTAAGTAAGTTACGTTCTCCGGAAAGGTTTCCTATTGTAGATTAGCGTTGGAGTCCCAATGACAACACAGCGGCCAAGACAACCCAGCAAGGTTGATTGCATACGGGAGAGAAATGCACAAATCATACGACATCGAACATTGATAACAAATTTGGCAAGACGCCCAGGTGCGTACCACTAAAGCGTGCAACTAACGCGTGGACTTGGTATGTTCGTGCCTGCATGACAAATGAGGATTGCTTCACATGAATCCGCGCCTGGCAGGGTTAGAACCGAGCGGTGCACACAACTCGAAATGGCCCACTCTTACTGATAAAGGCAATACAATGCGAGTCAGGGATTGCGGTCCATGGGTCTTATCAGGCGGAAAGGTTATCGGGAGAAATCGGTTTATATATATTAACTCAATATACCGTCCCGAAAGATGTGATATCTTGTCTTCCTCGCCGCCAGACAAACGTGGCATCTTCATCACATCACCCTGAAGCCCCACTCAACAAGACGAAGGAGAAACGATACAACCTCGCACGGCAACAGTCAACATGGCATTTGCACCAATCCAAGAGCCCAAAACTGAGCTTGGCCACTATCGCATCCTCTCGAGCAATGCCGGAGTTCGTGTCTCTCCGCTGGCCCTGGGAGCCATGTCTCTGGGGACAGCATGGTCCGCATTTCTAGGGTCTGTCGACGAAGAGAAATCATTCGAAGTCTTGGATTACTATGTGGATGCTGGTGGCAATTTTGTTGACACTGCGAACAATTATCAGAATGAGGAGTCTGAGATTTTTATCGGCAAATGGATGGCTTCCCGGGAAAACCGTGATATAATGTTCGTTGCAACCAAGTTCAGCAACTCGTTTCGGACACATGATCTTGGTACGGGCAAGATAGTTAATTATGGTGGTAACAACAAAAAGTCCCTCATGCTCTCGGTCAACGCTTCACTTCAAAAGCTGCAGACGACATATATCGACCTACTCTATGTTCACTGGTGGGATTGATCTACCTCGATCGAGGAGCTGATGGACTCGCTTCACATTCTGGTTGAGCAGGGAAAAGTCCTTTACTTGGGAATTTCCGACACACCTGCCTGGGTGGTTGCGGCTGCCAATACCTATGCCAAAGCGCATGCGAAGACCCCCTTCTCCGTCTACCAAGGCCGCTGGAATGTTATGGACCGTGATTTCGAAAGAGAAATCATCCCAATGGCCCGCCACTTTGGCATGGCTTTGTGTCCCTGGATGGTGCTCGGAGGAGGAGAACTGCAGAGCAAGAAGCAGCTTGAAGCTCGCAAAGGTACAAACGAGAGTAGCCGGTTCAGCGAGCAGAGCGAGGATGCGGCCAAGGTCAGCGAGGCGTTGGAAAAGGTGGTTGCGGAGCACGGCACCGACAGCATCCAGCAGATTGCCTTGGCCTACGTGATGAAGAAGGCTCGAAACGTCTTCCCGTTGATAGGATGTCGCAAACCTTCTCACTTGGAAGATAACATCAAGGCGTTGAGCATTCGCTTGACAGACAGCCAAGTCAAGTACATCGAAAGTGTCAAGTCGTTTGATATTGGCTTCCCGTTGAACTTTATTGGCGACGACCCCAAGGAAACCGGCGGCTATGCGCATATGATGGAGCTTCTTGTCAGGGCCAAGATCGCTTTCCCAAGTCCGCCTAAGCCAGTCGGCTATGAGTAAGAAATAGAAGGTCGACGAAGACACTTACAATGCGGTGTATTCAAAGATATACTCAAGTTACGAATATAGCGACGATTGGGATAGACCTTACTTATCGGTCTGTCCTGTAAGACGGAAAGGAAAAGCAGACATCTCAATAAGCTGCAGTAACATCTGCGTCTTGAAAAAGCTGCATCTATTGAACGTTATATATTGAATGTCATCTAGGCCGAACACTGGTAAACCTTCTCTATTACTCCCTGAAACGTCCCCTGCGCCGTCGACGTAATGAATGATGTTAGAGTCCAACTGCCTCTATTCAGGGCCCTCTATGATCCGCCACCCATGCGTGAAGCATGTCGAGCGCCACTTCTGGCTGATCGCCCAGTGTCATATGGCCCGCCTGTGTTATTTCAATGAAGCTGGAGTTCTCATAGGCCTTTTGATATCCTACAACGCACCGTCGAGCACGGTAGGAAACGGACCGGCCCCGCCAGCAGGGTTCCAGAACCTCATGATATGACAGAGATATGAAGACGGCACTGCCAGTCCATGCCAGATTGTCCACGAAGTACCGCATTCCCCGTGAAGTACATAGCCAGTCGGTGTCGCCGGCGTAAATGAGCACCTCGACTCCGTGCTCTAGAAGCTCCGTTACCCACTGATGTGAGGGTTTCCCAATCTCCCCACTCTCCTGGATATCGGCACTCAGGTCCCAATTAAGAGATTTGAACGGGAGCGCAGCGTCGTCAATGCCCAGGCCGGCGACGACCTCGGGGCTATTGAACCACTCAAGATGACCCTCGGGTGGATCTAAGCACCTGTCCGGGTCCTCAACACAAACAATGCGAACGTCGTACCCCAAGACTGACTGCTATCGTTTCCTATCAATCTTTGCAGACAGCAAGTGGCAACGCACTATCAAACGCCTCCAAGTGGAATATCTCCTCAACACAGCACACACGAGATTAGGAGATAAGGCGATGATAGCCCGCGCTAAGCAGGGGCCGAGATCCTGGTCTAGGAATGACTTGCCTAAATAGTTGGGAGATTCCGGTGTGGACCAGGATCAAGCGGCCGAAGCTTAATCCGGCTGTTGGCTGTTGGCTGTTTGCCCAGTACTTTCCAGTATATGTATCCAGACTTTGTTTCCAGCGTTGTAATGGGGGCAAGCCTTGATAACATTGCTCCCACACAATTGGACAACTGTTGCCAGGAAAGTCGATTCACCTGACCTTGACCGATGCGGGAGCAAAGCCAATGGGCAGCCAGGCCTGTTTCACCAGAAGCGGACAAGGCCAGCCCTTCAGGTCAGTATCCTGAACTATCGCCGTCATGCGAAGCGAACAAGGCAATGCGCATCTCGCCCGACCGCGACCAACATAGACAGTTGCTGCCGCTCAATATTCCCTCCCGATGGCGGTTTCTTGCACTATGCCTCGCATCCATCGCTATCTGGTGGCTCTTCCGACATAAAGATGTCGTGGGTGGTACCTCGGAAGGCTCGGATGTCAGAGTGCAGCTCGCCTGGAAGCGGTTCGAAGAGTCTCTCCATCAGTGCTCGGCTATCAAACAATTCCCCACGAAACTTGATCCTCAGAATCGGACGGCGAATCCACGATGGAACGATATCAGTGGTCAGCGAAGACCCATCATCTTGCGCAATGCAACACTCTTCGATGGCGAGTCCATACATCCTGGGCCAATGGACATCATGTTGGACAAAGGTCTGATAACCAAAGTCTCTTCGACTGCGTCTGCGTCACTAGCCAGGGGACCATACCAACAAGTCGAAGAATACAATGTTCATCTCCGCTTTGTCACCCCAGGCTTGGTGGACATGCATTCCCATCATTCCATCGGAGCGTGGCCATCGGCTGGGGGAACCAACGACGACACCAATGAGATGTTGACGGAATGGGGCCCAATGACCCCATTCCTGAGGTCATTGGACGGACTGAAAGCTTCCGACGAGGCGTTCAAGTTGGTAGCTTCTGGCGGTATCACCTCGTCCCTCATACTGCCAGGTTCGGCCAACATCATGGGCGGAGAAGGTTTCTCGGTAAAGAACGCTCGCAACTCTGGCAGATACAAAGAGTACGTTGTCGAGGAGACTCTGCTCGAGTACGGCATTCCCGAGGAGCAGCGTGTTCGCTACATGAAGCTGGCATGCGGCGAAAACCCAAAGCAGATATACCACCACAATCGCATGGGTAATGCCTGGATTCTCCGCGAACACCTAGCCAAAGCCAGAGACCTACTCACTGCGCAGGACGAGTATTGCATGCTGGCAAATGCTGTCTCCGCCTCTACAGACAAGGCAAAACAAGACTTCATCAAAGCAGAAGGGAGTATGCCTGTCAAACGTGAGCTTGAGTCTACCGTCGGGCTACTGCGGGGCCGAGTTGCCTTTCACAACCACTGTTATCTTCCAGAGGACATGGAGACCATGATGCGACTCACGGCGGAACACGATATTCGGATCAAAGCTTTCCACCACGCCATTGAAGCATGGCAGGTACCTCATATGTTGAAGTCCAGGACAGAGTGAGTTGTCCTCTCTCTTTTCTTATTGCTGGTATTTGTCCTGTGGCAGTTGTAACGCCCTTGACTCAACATCTTTTTCCAGTCAGACCTTCCATCTAACCCTGATAGAAACATCACGATTGCTACATTTGCCGAGTTCAGCCTGTACAAGTGGGAGTCATACTTTCCTAGTCTCGCTGCCGGCAAGATACTCAACGATCATGGCATTGCAGTCGCATACAAGTCCGACCATGGGCTGGCGGAGACAAACGCCAAGTATCTTGCCTACCAGGCGGGGGTCGCCCATGCCTTTTGTCTCCCCGAAGAGAAGTCACTACAGGCCATCACATCTGTCCCAGCGAAAGCCCTAGACCTGGATAATCGAATTGGATATGTTCGAGCTGGCTACGACGCCGATATCGTGATCTGGGACTCCCACCCACTGGCGATTGGCGCAACCCCTCTTCAGGTCTTCATCGACGGAAACCCTCAACTGGAATCATCTGATGTCAAACTTAGCATGGGCTTGACTTTTCAGGACCCTCTGCCCGACGATACTCACATACCTGTCGCGCCGCCAATGCGGAGTGAGCCTGCGGCTGCTGATCGAATCTCATTCTGTGCGAGGGCTCACCGGGCAAACTCGAGCTATGTTATCACGGGCATCACGAGGTCATTTCTTGATGGACATCCAGCAATGAGACATGTCACCGTGGGCATCCAAAGTAATAACATGACGCTGGTGATTGAAAACGGCAGGATAACATGTCTGAGTGGTGGTGATGATTGCGACCAAAGATTAATACAGCAAGACCAGGAGCAGGTGACTACTCTCCACCTTCGCTCGGGACATGTCCTACCTGGTCTGACAGCCGTTACGGCATCACTCGGTCTGACAGAGATCACCTTGAATTTCGACAGTGGAAACGGCATGGCTGATCCACGCCGTGACGTGTCGAGACCGGACAACATCGACTTTGCAAAGTACGGTGTCCAACTTGAGGGAAAAGCTTTTGCTCGTGCCCGCATGGGCGGAATTACAAGAGCAATCTCGCCGCCGCTAAGTCTAGGGGGGTTCCTGCATGGTGTGAGTGTTGGAATCAGTACAGACACCAGCCTGTCGCTGCACAATGGCGGTATTTTCCAGCCAGACGTCGGCCTCCATGTCACATTGGACAGCTCAGCTATGTTGACCTACGGCACCATCAGTAACTCTGTTGCCAAGATTCGGAGATTGATCATGGATGGGTTGGGTTCGTTTAACGCAACAGTGTTTGGGGATGTTGCTTCTGGAAGACTACCTCTCATTATCCACGCAAATAACCATGTGAGTAGATGAACACGATCTGCAACTCATTCCCAGATACCTGTTGCCAGATACTTGTTGAATAACGCTGACTCTGAGACAAGTGGGATATTCAACAAATTATTTCCATCAAACGGGACTTTCCGACGACAGGTATTGTCATTCTCGGTGGCGCTGAGGCACCATTGGTACGTTTCAACCTCCCCCGACAGCAATAGCCGTTGACTTGACAATCTTTTTTCAGGTTGCCTCAGAGATTAGTCAAGCAAACATCTCCATAATCCTTACTGAGAATCGTCCCGCGCCCGCCGAATTCCGCCATCGAGACGCCGTTGTCGGACCTCCTCTGACGCCCTGCATTGCCCGTTTGCTCAAAGAGGCAGGCGTGACTTTCGCGATATCTCTAGTTCCTACAAGTAAGTATAAGGTTTCTTGTGTCACTATCTCACGCGTTATAGAGGACTGACTTGTTTTCTACAGCTTTGCCGGGTGACTATCGCCTGCATGCACTGGCACTAGAAGCAGGGTGGACAGCTAAGTGTGCTGCACTTGGGAGCACAGAAGCAGTTAAGCTTGTGTCATCCAATGTGGAGGATATTCTTGGTTTGGAGCGGAGTAGCGATATTGTCATTTGGGAAGGTAACCCGTTGGAATTTGGTGCATCAGTCGTCTTTGCTTTTGCAGCTCAAGCTAGTGCTTTAGCAGGTGAGAACTATAGAGAAAGGGACTTAAGTACTAGTAAGCTACAACTTGCATCTTGCTGGCCGCAGGAAGGTAATTAGTATAAGAGACGGACTTTTGTGGTTCCTGCAGGGTCTGCGCCGTCCTCATGCCAGAGCTAACCAAGTTAGTGTCGTTGGTTGTTGAGATGTTTCTCTTTTCTTTAGCTAGGTCTCCTCTAGGGTGACTGGTATATAAAACTACGATATCTAGCCCTACTACTCGGTACACACACACACAGTGTATTTCCTTGCTGGCTTATAACCAATAGGGCACTAGTTGCTATTGTACACATCGATTTCCCAATTTTTGGCATAATCTCGTAAAGCCCTGTACAAAGATACTTGTAAGTATACATCCAGCTAAGCTGGAAAGTAATAATAATATCATATTCTGCCGTCCCCAACCAGTCAGTCAGATTTCGGCTGCTTTATATAGGTCGCGACACTTCTTCCGTGGCGAAAGACGCGATCTCGGTGAGGGTGTAGAAGTCTCTTTCCCGCGCCTCTACGTCGACAGAGGAGACACTCATTGCTAGGCTGACCACCACTTTCAAGACACGATGCAGTAGAAGACAGAAGGCCGTCCCAAAACGCCCTTTGGCGGCAGATATTCCCTCCATACCCTCGCGAACGGTTTGAGAATACATTTTCTCCCAGGACTCCAGGCAACTGAGGATCTGAGCCTTCGTCAACTTCAGCTCGGCTACTTGGCCATGGCCCTGTAAGTCTGTCACCCGACTCAGAAATTCCAGTGCGTGTACGGAGAGCACACACAGGTCGCTGCGCGCCTGGTCACATAGACGGGCCTTCGCGGCGGTCGTCATGGGGCCCATGTGCGCTCTTTCACCGGTAAACTTGTGCCTAGGACCCGGGTACCCCGAAGCAAAGAGCTTAATGGCGAATGCGTCTAGATGAGGAAAGTTGGGGTTGTGACAGGGAACGATGCGGTCGTCGTCGCTCACTCCTGGGCGGTTCCGATATTGGTACATGATGCGTAGCCCTTGGAGGAAGTGCTGGAAAGCAGTGCTGTAGTCGCCGAGCATAACCTCTATGCTGATGAATATCTGGCAGCACACAAGCGCAGCCTGGGCAGACTCTCGGCCAGGCTGCTCTCTTAACCGGGACGCCAGGCCGGAAACTGCCGCGTTGTATGCGTCCAAGCTGCGTTCGACGTTGATGAATGTTCTTCGGCCTTCAATAACGGCCGTGTATCTTGTATCCCCGAGACCGTGATGCAGATCTCTCAGAGAATTGAGCGCGTGGCGGATGGCTGGGTCTGGCAGATTGGCCAGTATTGCCCGGGCCTCTTTCTTGTAGCACACGCCGACTTGGCGCTTGCGGTGGAAGTAATGGGCCAGTTTGTTGATCTCATCGGCGGTTACTATGGAAGACCTCGGCTGGTACAGAGAGAGAGATGGCTCATAATTGGCGACAGGCGCTGGAGCAGACGGTTGAGAAGCCCCGGGGGCGAAGACTCGGAATACGGATGGATACCCGTCGCATACCCTGTCGGTGGAAATGCAACGATGGCAAGCCGGCCGCCCTTCATCGCACTTGACTCTGCGGATCCTGTTTTAATTGAAGCTGGGTCAGCATCGAGCCGGTACGATCTGGTAGGGGAACTTGGATCGACTCTCGCCATCGCCTCTTACCTGCAAGTGTGGCAGCCAGTCTTGGCCTTTGGCTTGAATTTGCGCCTGAACGGCGGTGGCTTGCAGTGTTTTTGTCCCTGTTGGTCATCTTGGCCAGCTAACAGCGCCATGTGTTCGAGTCTTGTAGCTCCGCGAATGGGATGGATCGGGTTGTTGTGCTCCCCAAGAGCCATAGCGAGCCCTATAGGGCTTAAATAGGAAACAGGAACGAACAGATCGACTTGGCCGCCGGGATAATCGCCAGCCGGTAATGCTGCGGCGTCTTGGCTGCGGGGAAACGGTCTACGGTGGGACCTTTATGCAGCTGTTATTGGGCACCGGTACATAGAAGGATTGACATCGACATGGTTGATATTTAATGACAAGGTCCGACTGGCCAGTCTATGCCCGCTTATGCCGCCTTTCCTGATTCAACTTCTGCGGAACCCCGAAATGTAACTCTGAGCCGCAACCTCACAGCTGTAGCAACTAGTCCAATACGGGGAATTTGTACGACATGCCCAATCGCCTCGGCTTACACGGCCGCTGCCTTCATCTCCATCCCGTTTACCATGGCGTGTCTTGCTGTCAGATGTGCTGCCGCCGCATCTACGCGTCGTTCGTTCAATCGGCGTAAACATGGTGTCGATGGCTATTTGAACAGAGCCGTCTCCGTCCAGCTCCCCAGAACTGCTACACCACCAAGCCCGACGTGCTCCCAGTCTCTTTGTTTCCTGAATCCCGCTCCTTCATCACGCGCTTCACTATGCGCCTCACGTTGATCCTGACGGCTCTGTTGACATGGCCGCACTCACTAGTACATGCAGCCAGCGCTGCGTCACAACCGAAGCTGCTCACTCAGTTCCCACCTTCAGTCCGGATTGAAAACCTTACTATTCTTCCAAATGGCACCGTCGTCGTGTGCAACGCGTACACTGGCGATCTCTACAGCATCAACCATCTCCATGGTCCATCAGGTGCCGTTCCCCATCGCTTCGCCTCGTTCGCGCCGTACTCGTCGGCCGTCTTTGGGCTTGCATCCCCGTCGCCACACACCATCGTTGCTACTGCGAGCAACTTCTCGTGGGATCAGGGGCTGGTAGAGCCGGGTTCCAACGCTGTCCAGCACGTCACGCTCACCAAGACTGGGGTCAAGACGAAGGCGTTCCCCATACCGTCGGCGGGATGGCTGAACGGCCTGACGCCTGTCCCTCGCTCGCCGCACTATCTGTTAGTTGCGGATTGTGTCGCCGGCTCTCTACTCCGGCTAGACACGCGCACAGGATCCGTTAAAACCGTCATCTCGGACCCTCTCTTTGCCCCTGTCCCCGAACCTGGGTCGAACCTACTTCTCGGCATCAACGGAGTTCATGCCCTGGGCGGATGGCTCTACTTCACCAACACTAATCAGGGATTGTACGGTCGCATTGCCATTACGCATGACGGTCTTGCCGTCGGGACCCCGGCAGAGGTCATCGCGCGGGGACTCAACGGGTCGACATTCGATGACTTTGCCCTGAGGCGTGACGGCGTTGCATTCCTTGCCACTGGCTTGGGAGGGCCCAACGGCATTGAGAAGATCACGGCCGCAGGCAAGGGGCGCCTAGTAGCTTCATGGGAGTATGGCTCCCCAGACATCAGCCAGCCAGTGTCGGCCGTATTTGGTCGAACGAAGCGGGATCAGGGCATTCTGTACTTTGCAACCGCGGGATCGTACCTGGGTCCCAACCCGAAGTCTACGGGGGGGCAACTGTTTTCGCTCAAGGTTGAGTGTTAGCGAAGGATGAAAGAAGGTGTCTCCCCGAGAATTCCTGTAACCGGCAAGACTCAACGGTATCAATCAGTAAATCTGCGTGTGGTCGTCGAATATACGGTGTTGTGTTTCTCGAGGTACCCTAGGATGAGTTGGTAGATACAAATGCTGCAGAGATGAGCAAGAGCAAAGTGCTTCAGCACCCGTAACACTTGGACAATAAAATCTTACCCGAATCATACATGCTGGCAGGTCCAAAATACGGTAGCCTAGATTGGTGTTTTGTGTCATTCATTGTAGGGTCGCTGCAGATGGCAATTCGCACCTCTTTGTCTGCTTGACTGTATGGGAAAATGTAGGATTAACCTTGATGCAGCGTCCTGCGTTGAACCAGCCCTGGAGATCACTCCCTCACACCCATCATTACTTGCTAGGTCTTAATCTAAGGCTGGGTCGGATGCATCTTCCACAATGTCAACGAATAGAGCTCTTCAGACTGACAACCGCTTGGAAAAGCTTCCAATCTCTTGTCGGCGATGCCGACAAAGCGGACAATATACGTTTTAGGTCACTTGCATGACTCGTGTGAGTAGTTTAGTGCATGCTGTCACAACCGTGAATGACTCTTATCGCAGCGCCTTATCTTGGGTAGGTCAAAAGCTGCAAATCAGACGGCTAGGATGACTCCTTATTGTGGCTCATATCACAGTGATCTCTTATCTTATCTGTGAATGCTGTATAATGGCGATATCTACTAATCTGCGGGGAAATGGATGATCGGATGCACCGACGGCACCTTGGAACATCAAATAACACATGAAGGCATTTTGTGGAAGTACATACAAGACTACAATTCTAACCATCTAACAATCACCAATTCACCAATTAATTTTGTTGACAATCCAAAAGAGCATGGTATTATCAGATAAAATCCCCGACTGGCCGTTCAGTCTGTGGCTGACCGTTGGAGTTCTGGCCACGGCTGGCTGGCTCGCCAAATGCATCTATCGCCTCTACATCCATCCCCTATCCGGGATCCCTGGCCCCCGTCTCGCCGCCTGCTCTTCGCTATGGCTCGCCTGGCATACCATGATCGGGGACGAGTGCACCACCATCTTCCAGCTGCATAAGCAGTACGGACCGGTGTTACGCGTCGGGCCGAACGACGTCGATATCGCCGACGGTGATGCTGTCGACCCCATCTACTTGGAACGCGGAGGATTCCAGAAGACCCAGGCATACTCCAAGTTCGATATTGACGGCCATCCGACCATCTTCTCGACACAGACGCTCGCTGAACGCGCCAACCGCGCCAAAGCAGTAGTGCCGCTCTTCTCAACTGCTTCGATCCGTAACTCGCAACATGTGCTCGGACGGGTCGTGGACGAGTTTGTGGCCCGGTTGCAGAGCGAGGCGCGCAAGGGGAAACCAGTCAACGTTCTGAACCTCTCGCGGGCCATGGCCATCGATGCAGTAACTGCGTACCTGTTCCATGAGCAGTATGGAGGTATCGGCGAAGACACATCCCACATGTCGGCATCGCCGTTCGTCGATGCCTACGTCGGCGTGGGTGCTTTTTTCAACTTCCTCCCCGGTCGTCTCGGAGACTTGTTGATGCCACTTATCGATATGATCATGTCAGACCCCGAGACAACCCGCTCTATGAGCCTCGTCGATCAGTATACTGGCCACATTTCCAAAACTGCATCTCCGGCTAGCGGAAGTTATGCGAGTCGCCTTCTGGCACGATCAGTGCCCCAGGACCAAGTCCAGGTTGAGTTGAAGGATGTGTGCTTCGCTGGTACCGACTCAACGAGTATCAACATGGCCACCATCTTGTGGAATTTGTCCAAGTATCCCGAAATGTTTGTCTCTTCTATTCCTATGCAATACGGCTACGGTACTAACGTTATTCTCCTGCCAGATATTCCAACCTTCGAGAGGAAGTACTCGACCGGACAGCCAAAGACGAGGATCCCATGGCTGGTCCATACCTCCGCGGTGTCGTTCGGGAGGGCTTGAGGCTATCCATGGCCAACCCAATCCGCCTCCCGCGCCTCGTCCCCGAGGGTGGCTGGCGATACCGCGACTACTTCTTTCCAGCTGGTACCAGTGTTGGCGTTGCATCCTTCCAACTACATCAGGATGAGGACGTCTTCCCCGATGCTCAGCGGTTCTCGCCGGAGCGGTGGCTGGAGCCGACGGACCGGATGCTAACCCATTTCTTTGCCTTTGGTAAAGGAAATCGCGCCTGTATCGCGCAGAATCTTGGCACCACTGAGTTGACACTCGCCACCACCAAGGTAGTACAGGCAGACTTGCTCAAGGGAGCTAGTGCTGTTCAGGATCGAGTTGAGATCTTGGAATGGTTCAATTCTCGAGTCAAGGGAGAGCAGATACTTGTTCAGTTTGACGCAAAAGCGCAATAAAAAAGGCTTAGATAGATAGTTGATAACCATTTTGAAGACATCCAATAATTTGCCCCCTATTCGTGCTTCGAACGTGGCCTGTTAGAAACTTAATGTGAAAAGCATGCTTCAGCTCGCATTAATAAGCTAATATACCGTTGAATCATACGTGTGGTGATCTTGATAATTATTCCTTTGTGGTACTAATTGGATATATGAACCTCTAGTCTAGACTAGGAAGCGTTATTTAATCACACTTAGACTCAGGAAAGTGCTTTTTATAACAAGAGATTTGTGTAATATTTAGGTCAGACTAAATGTACTTAGATGTATTGAACTACATCTCCTATGGCCATTTCAAGTCCATCGTCACCAGGTTGACTTAACGAACCAGACCAAAGCCCATTGCGCTTCTTCCAGCCTCTCCAATGATACCCTTTTCTCCAGTAAAGAGATTGAACTCGTGCTCCTTTGGACCTGCTCTGAAATCCTCCGGAGGGAGACCGTTGAGAAAATCCTCCAACTGCCCTTTGACGTAGCTGATGTTCTCCGCCGTCCGAGGCGTCGCCGCAATGTAAGCCACGCTGGAATCGTGGTCTCCCGTGTGTTCGACTTCAACGGCGTGACACATGTCGGCATGCCACCAGATGGTATCTCCCGCGTTCATGTGCGGGATACTGACGAGGCATTCCCGCATACGGAGGTGAGGATGCGAATATGGGCTCAGGAGCTGGCTATTATCTCGGAACGTCCCCGGAAACCAGGGCGTAGTGTCGTCAAACTCCCACTTTGTAGCATCCATAATGTCTTCTTCGGACTCGGGTTGTTTGAAGAAAGGCCGTAGAAGAACGTACGCGATTGTCCACTTCACGTGAGGGTAAAGCATCAGGCTACCTTCCCGGGGGCCCGTTGAGGTTAACGCCGTCCATCCCTGGAAGCTCCGGAAGACGCGAGAGTGAGCTGATCCTGGGAAAAGCGCCTGGTTCGCGCTCTTGCGATGGGTCAGGTCATAGTTGTCTAGCAGCTCCGGGTTACCAGAAAACACGGCCCCATATGCTAACTGATATGTAGCATCGGCCCAGCGGGACAACGACCCGGCGTCAATGTGCGGGCCAAGGCCGTAGAACTGGACACCTGGAGGTCGAATTCGAACCCCGTCGGCGTACGAAAGAGGCTCTGGGGAGCTCACTCCCGCATCGTCGTGCCACCACGTATTGAGCTGTTCGCTGAGCTTGAGTTGGTGCGGGTGCGAGCGAGCGGCAATCTGGGTGGGTGAGTAGTACAGATTGAGAATGAAGGGCGTTTCGACGGGCCAGCCTAAGACTCATTTTAGTCTTCGTTATTAGGTGCTATGTTTGGAAAGCTCTACCTCGGATGGATGGTCGGTTTGCCGCCACGTAGTCCTTCAAGTTCTTGAACCATTCATCAGCTTGCTCACGGGTATACACGTTCCGGACAATGAAACATCCCGTGTCTTTCAGCTTCTGTTTCTCCTCCGGGTCCAGGGTAAACATGTCACCGTACTGGACTTCGGGGATGATGCTGTTTCCGGCTGCCGAAATCTTGGCTGTGACCGACGCAAGTTCCTTGCACACCTTCAGCCAGCTCTTGACTAGGGACTCTTTGCCATATTTTTCGACGATAGCTGTCTTGTAACCAACGAGATCGTCCCCGCTTTCGGCAGTAGTTTTGACGAACTCTGGCCAATCGGGCCAAGTTGCCGCTTTTCCGGCCATTGTGAGAGTAGCTCGGTTGCAACTATGTTATCTCGACCATGCCGTTCAAGGACGCCAAAGCGAGCTATTTATCAGCGGCGTCACTTGAAAGACATACCAATCGTCGGACGGCCCGACACCTTATCATCGGCGATAACTAGCGCCTAGCGGAGCAACCTCTTATCACGAAATGATCGCCTATCTGCCGTGCAGCGAGATAACTTGGAGGTGAGCTACACCGAGGCCGTGATAGAGTCGGAGTGAGGCTGTTGCTCATTGAAGACCGAGGTTGATATAAGGGGCGCGCTGGGCTACTCTCCGACGACTTATACGAGTCTGCCAAGTTTCAATTTCGCACCACTCTCACAATTCAAACGTCTGCGATATCATGGCTCCCCTTCCCTGGGATCTTCCCGCATGGGTCCCCTCTCGCTCCGCGTTTGCCTGCGCCTTGATAGTAGCATCATCATGTGTGACTTCCACCGTATGTACTGTGTCCATATCCTCTAAGAGCACCAACTAACCCCATTTAGACACTCGGCTTCGATGGTTCGATGATGAATGCATTGAACATCCTGCCCTCTTACACTGATTACTTTGACCTGACCACTACCACTCTTGCTCTGAACACGGCTTCGGTCTGGATGGGAAGCACTCTAGCCGGTATCTTCTTCGCAAAGGTACCGGACCTGATCGGTCGTAAATGGGCGCTGCTTGTCGGCGCCATAATCACGGTGATCGGAGTTGTGCTTCAGGCAGCGGCTCAGGACATTGGCATGTTTGTTGCCTCTCGAATCATTATCGGTTTCGGAACGGGAGGCTCAACTGTTGCCGGACCAGTCTACCTTGCTGAGACACTCCCCGTTCACTACCGCTCCTGGGGCTTAGGTCTATTTGTGAGAAACCCCGGAATCCCGCCTCTTTCCACGGTCTACCTTGCTAATGATGATTTAGTATGACTTCTGGTACGTTGGTGGTCTCATCGCTGCCGGTGTCACCTACGGAACAGCCAAAATGGAGTCTACCTGGGCATGGCGCCTACCATCTGCCCTGCAGGGCCTGTTCAGCGTGATGTGCATCGCGTTACTGCCCTTTACGCCCGAGAGTCCTCGATGGTTGATCTCCCAGGGCCGGGACGCAGAGGCTCTACACGTACTGGCACAGACGCATTCAGATGGCAACATCGATGATGCAAGCGTCCAGGAACAATTCAGCCAAATGGCGGATGCGCTGAACTTTGAACGAACTCATGAAGCGCCACGATTCGTGAAAAAATTCATGAGCAGCGCCTCAACCCGAAAGCGAATCTTTCTTGCCAGCTCGGTCGCTGTCTTTTGCATGTTGTCTGGAAATAATGTGAGTACAAATATGGACAGGCAAACACGTCGAAATCATGAAGGGTGCAAAAAAAAAACCAGAATAAACGGAGAGGAACGTTTTAACTAAAGAATCAGACCTGCTGACGCTACGCAATCGATAGATCATTTCGTATTATTTCGGATCAATGCTTACTCAAGCCGGTGTCACCAACACAACCACGCAGCTAGAGATCAACATTATATTGAATGCTTGGTGCTTGGTCATCTCAATCATCGGTACTTCGATGGCCAACAAACTCGGTCGCAAGAAGCTCGCTGCCTTTTCTACTGCCCTTTTGACTATCTTCATCTTCCTTATCGGTGCCCTCACAAAGGTCTACGGGGACTCAGACAACAAATCAGGAATCTATGCCACAGTAGCTATGATCTTCCTTTTCCAAGGCTCGTATAGTTTTGGCTGGACACCCCTCACCGTCCTTTATCCGCCAGAAGTTCTCAACTACTCTATCCGAAGTGTGGGAATGGGAATTTACACATTCCTTGTTAATGGTGTGGGTCTGATGGTTACTTTCGCTTTCCCTTTCGCTCTGGAGAAGATCGGATGGAAGACTTACATGATCAATGGCGCCTGGGATGTTTTGGAGCTGCTTTTTGTGATTCTCTACTGGGTTGAAACTAATGGGCGAACGCTGGAGGATATCGATAATAATCTGGAACCCGATAGCTTCCCGGTTGTTGTCGGTGTTGGGGGTAAAGATGACGAGGTTACAGTTCAAGACCCTGATTCTAAAGGGAAGCAAGACATTTAAGTAGATAGTTAAGAGGAGGCAACTAGAACAGATACCGATATTGGGGTATCAAGAGTTGTTGTCGTTGAGCTATACCTCGGATTTTACCATGGCCTTTAAGCATACTGTTGTAGCCTACTTACTCGTTCATTAAAGTAAGGTTAAACCTCTGCTTGCTATCACTCACCTCTAAGCTGTGTCAAGTGACTGCAATATTTTAAGACTTTACCTGTGGCCACACATAATGCCATACTCGGCCATGCCTCCCTATCTCCAGGGCTGCAACCAGGAAGTGGGCAAACACGTCAAGCAGGCTTGGGCTGAGGCTGGCGAAACTGCTTGAAGGCATTTGCAATGGAGTCTTGGGGGCAAACAGCAGGACTCTATGGATATGTACCCGGGAACAGGAACACGGAAGGATGATATCGCTTGGGTGACTCTGGACCAATTAGACATGCGTTGTGACATAAAAACTGACAAATGAGAGACTACCGTATCAATTGGCCAAAAACACTATTAATTGAACAATTTGCTGAAAGTGGCTAATGATGATTGATCAATCCGATGACCCGAAATCTTGCCTTGAAGACCAAAAAACTGACTCATGGCGCCGAGCCAAGAGCCCTAGGTAACTCGGGATATCCTAAATGAAACAGCCGGCTATGGACCCCTTCCCAAAAATGCGGAAAAGCTTCAATTTCCCCCGGTTTCACCCAAAGACCTTGAGTCCCTAACACAAGGGCTTTTTATTCCGTCGCTAACAAGCAATGACAGTCTGCAAGGCCACTCTAGCTCAGATGGATATTATCATGCTTTCGGGAGACCCTAAAGCAAACTCGCTCACAGTTATAGACGAGCGCCTCACTAAGTCTGGCCTCAGTCGGCCTTGTCTAGTTCGGCCGATGGCTTGACTCAGCCAGACCAAGTTGCTGTTCTGGTGGATAGGAGCAGCTGCGTCACGCGTTTGAATCACGGAACGTGGGCGCATTAGCATAGATACAGACGCCACTTCCGGGAGTTTTGGTTGTGCAACACAAAAGCTACGAACTGTTGAGTTTGCAAGGGCTATCTCGGCGAAAGAACCATGCGTGAGTTAATGAGGGAGCGATCGACGAAAGGCAGTAGCAGGAGATTGAGCCGGTAATAGGCTAGTTGTCGGTGTTCTTCTGCTCATCTGAGGCTTTTCCGGCCTCGGAATGGTTTCGGATTTCTTCCCAGTTTCAACCCCTGCTGCGGTCGTTCGCAGCCACCCAAATTCGAAACGCCTCGCCGGTTTCACCTTTCCCCTTTTCATAAAATTTCTACCAAATATTATGACATAGATACGCGGACGTCGCGTATCTGGGTACCGGGTGCACAACTTAACTGCCGGATGTTGGGATGCAGCCCAAACGCTCTTGCGACGAGACCCGGGGTGGTTGGATTGCTTGGCAAAGAGGCGTCAACGGTGTAAAATCCACCGTCGCCGCAGTTTCTGTTTGGAATTCCTCGTTTTAGCCCGTTGCTGCGTTCAAACTTTTCCAATTATTGATCTATTCTCTTTCCGAATCGTGAACACGAAGCCTGGTCAAAATTATTCTGTACGTGTATTCAATTATGCTCAAAGGTGACACCATCATCCAGCAGAAATTAACCACTGTTACAGACGAGCAATGCGACTGCCAGAACTTAAGTTTTATAAACCTCGTCAAGAGGAACCAGATGACGATGAAGAGGAGGATGATCTTGAGGATGATCTTGATGATGAGGGCGAAGAATTGGATGACGACGATGATGACGGTGAGGACGAAGGCAGCAATGGGAACGGAAATGCCCCAGGACCTGGAGGTAATAGAAATGGGCCACCGGGACCCGAAGGAAACCCAAGACGTCCTTCCAGGCGTCCCGGCCCTCCCAACACGGTGACCAGTACAGAATTGTCACCATCTCCAAGCACTTCGGCCCTGCCACTCGAGACGGCACCGAGCGACATTCCTCCACCGAATACCAGCACCACTTCGTCCTCCAGCACAGCCATACCGAGTTCCACTTCACCGGCATCTACGTTTTCAACATCGATTGCTCTTCCTCCCTCAGAGACAACCTCATCGCCGGTTGTCTCGCAATCAGAGGATGCATCCTCGGCAAGTCCATCTACTTCTCCTCCCCCAGAGACAACCCCATCGCTTGTTGTCTCGCAATCAGAGGGCGCATCCTCGGCAAGTCCTTCTACTTCTACTTCCCCGGAGACAACCTCATCGCCTATCGTCTCGCAACCAGAGGACGCATCCTCCACAAGCCCTACTGCTTCGTCTCCTCCGACATCGTCAGGAACGACTGAGGCGTCACTTGGAGATACAACTATACCTGCAATTCGTACTGCTACCGGTTCTACTCCTTTCAGCAGCACCACTTTGCCACTGGCTATTGGCTTTGCCACACCGAATAATACCGCGATGGCGGAGAATGTCGGACCGAGACCCAGGACGCCAAGCCATATCGCAGGAATTGCGGTAGGGTCAATTGGTGAGCGTCAAGTCACCCAACTGGGGGATAAATAAACTAACGACCGATCAGCCGGATTTGCTTTCCTTTTGACATTTGTGGTATTATTCTACAAGTGGCACAAACGAAACTTGTTAAAAGCACCCTCGAGCTCTACCCGGCGTCTGACAGACAAATGGCGAGTCTCTACATGGACTCCTCGCCCCCGAAGCACCGACGCTATGGAGAATTCGCTCTTGGTATCGGAAGAGCGCTCAGGTGAGGGTATAGTCTCGAACTCTCAGCCAATATTCGAAAAACCTCCAGTCCCTCAGACACTGAGGCAATCCTTCCACAACTCTATCACACGACTTGTCCGTATGAACCCACTGGCTCTACACCCAGCAATGGCAGGCGCCCCAGGTTCGGCGTCACCGAGGCCAAGATCTTTCGTCTCCTCAATTTTCCGTCGGCATTCGGCTGCTTCAAGTTATACTGCCAGATCTCAGCATTCAATATTGCCAGACCAGCCGCAAGCAGATCCTTTACCCCCAATCCCATCCGCATATCTGAAACAAGGCCAGCATGAAGGATATACTTCTGTGCAGCATTAATTCCGCCAGAGGCTGTGGTTTGAAAACACTGATTCGTTGACTTTTTCTTTACTCGCATTACGGCTGAATTGCCATACAAGGCAATATTTCATTAGATCACAGATATATAATAGATGTCTGAAGACGTTCATGATTTTGCTAAAACCTTTACAGAGGTTTATAGTTATGCAAATAAATTGACTTCTTCGAGACTCCTAGAGTTGGCAAAAAGCTTTTGGTCGTAGATATTATATGAGAATGTGAATCAGCCAGTTCAATTGGTGTCGTTTATTAGCTAGGTTGAAGCTTGGGTAATATGGTCTTGGTTGACCTTTGTTAATTACTCTCACTGGCATCCTCTACAGCTATTCTCTTCATTAATGCTCAATTCAGAGAAATAGGATTGACCTACTAGAATCTAATAGCATCCTCTGATGATTATATAAGTTCTCAAGCCAGGTGTCTTCCGTACTATACCCTCCCGCGATAGATTTGGGTTGTTGAAACGTCACCAGCCCCCACAGACCATAATACCTATATATCCCGCATGCTGGCAAAGGAAACTTCTACCTCTTTCTAAGTAGGCGCCATTGGGGCTTTGCTTGCTAGGGTTATACCGCAGCTGCCGATCTTCGTTCGTAGCTAGTAACATATTCGGCTTAGTAGGCTTCATCTTGACCACGTCTTGACGAGGTCTAACTTGCGCTGACATAAAGAGCTGCCTGCAGCTACCTTCTGAATCGCCTCATTTCACTGTCATCAACAAAGTGGCATGATAACCCAAGCTAGATTAGCATTAGCTGTGCTCGCTTCCGATGTCGCATGCCTGGAACCACCCACAGCCTCGGCTATCAAAAGTCCTTCTGGTTACCACCTTATTCTTTTCCCATTTCCATGCGGTGTGGTCGCTGAAGCTACTGCAGTAGTCAATACCACAAAACTTCAAGTCGCGTACTATGAGATGGTCCTGCAGATGGCCAGGCGGTCCTGATCCTCCATAGGTAGCCATATGACATTCACAGCTACACTTGTATCGCGCCAGCCCTTGTTCAAAAAGGCGATGGCGATATCACCCCATACCCGCGTGGCCATGAACCAACAACTCTACTCCATACAGATTCTTTCCGAACTGATGAGCAGGCAGCTCTAGGTTATGACAATATCGATCTCTTGGATGCACTTGATATCGAACAGGCCATCTTTGCCGCTTACGACTGGGGCGGTCAGAGTGCGTGTGTGGTAATACTAGAGGACAGCAATCTTGCCCGAAGTTACGGCTTACTTGAAATATGGTTCGCTTTTTGTAGTCTAGGGTTAATCTGAGCCCTTGCCGTTGATCCGAACATTCTCGGGATCCACAGATATTAGGGGGCGGCTTGTTTCTAGGCTATGTCTGGTATAGAGCATCAATCGGAATATATATTCGCCGTGTACTTTTGCAATCTACCAATCATGATGGGCTTATTTGTTCCTTGCAGATTAGCCTACTACGTAACAGATGACATCTGTCTGCAATAAGAATACTTCAAGCTCCATTTTCGGGCGTGTACTTTTGTTCTTCACCAATCCTGCTCCCCAAGGTGCTTGGAAAGGAACTCCCTATCGTGGGTCACGGGGTTGAGCCGTGACAGACTCAAGACGTCTGATTCGTCGACAGATTCCCAACCAAGGGTTGCCGCCCTTCGGTCATCTCATGGAGCACCAACCAGCCATTGCAACGCTCCAGCAGATCAATTATGCCTCCCACGATCCATACAGAGAATGAATGGGCCCGTGTCCAGCCCTATATCACTAAGCTCTATTCGGATGAGGGGAAATCACTCAAAGAACTGATAGAGAGAATGAACCAGGACTATGATTTCCATGCCACGTGAGTGATGATCCAAACACTGTTTTAGAACGGGACAGGGGTGGGTGCTAAAGTACTTACAGAGCAAGAATGTACAAGCACCGCCTTCAAAAATGGGGCTTGGATAAAAACTTCAAAGAAAAGGAAGTGGTTCACATGTCTCTTGTCAAACGACAACGAGATACCCTCGGGAAACAATCCCTCTTCTATGTACGAGGCAAACAGGTCGACTGGGATCAGGTCGAAAAGTATCTCCATCGCAGGCCGGATCTGCAGACCAAGATCAATGCGGGCATGCTCAAGATGAGCAGCTCTAGCTCTAATGTCGTCTGCCGCTCTCCATCACCAGATCCGATCCTGCATGCATCTAGCACTCTTCAACATATGGATGAACTGCTGAGGTCGCTTGATGGCTACTATATTTCAAAGTTTGATGGAGTCACGAGCTCAGATCGTGCTGATCTAGTCAGCGATGATTATGTCACGATCCGATGCCTCAGAAAACTAGATCAAGCTCGCACCATGATATACGCGGACATGCTGGACTTTGGCTTTCGCATCCTAAACGAGGCTCTTGATGATCTGAGATTTGTGGTGAGGGGCGAATACGCCTCCCTCATGTTCCATCTCTTCGATGTGGTCACATTATTTGACCGGCGACACACATCCTTGATAACCGAATTACTACGTCACACGTATGGAATCCTGTTGATCACGTTTGGAGAGAGTCACCCTTTAGTGCGGCTACTGCGTCTATTTATTACTCTGTCGCAACAAGATCGATACGAGATTATTTCGAGCCTCATGAAAGCTGTTGTTGAGAGGTTCGAACGTCTCAACGTCGATGGCCGCATGCTTGAAAGGCTCAAATGTCACCAGTTTTTGCTATTGGACCACATGGGGATCAACGGGATCCAGGCAACGACTACGTTCCCAGAGATCGATGCGTCTTCTACGGATGCAGTCAGCACTGGCTATTTTGGCAGGTTTGCTGGTCGGTTGATCTTCAACGAGCAGTTCGAGGAAGCGGATCGCCATGTGGATTTCATGATCCCTTGGCTCGAGAACCCGGAAAATAAGCAAAACCCTGCATGGTCAGATATCCAAATGTTTTACTATCACGTCAAAGCACATGGCTCATTTTCGAGGGGCAATGATGCTTTAGGCGAGGTGTGGCTAGGAAAGGTCAAGGAGCATTCAAAACAGTATTTCTCGGAAATGTAACAAGTATTATTTGGCATAGCCCCGAGCGGAACCTGTTCTGCAGGTCAACAAGTCGGTTGGTCGTTTCTCAAATCCCATTACTTTTCCAAGGATTAGCCCGCGTCTCTTCATTTTATTCTATTTAAACCCACATGTAAGAGCACGAATCATGCACGCATAGTGGCAGAGTGACGGAGAAAGCGTCTCAGGGTTGTGCAAATGATGAAACCATGACTTCGAGTGCCCAGAGTGTCCTCTCTTACCTAGGCGAAAAAGCTTGGTTATGATTCTGAACATTTGAAGAGGTGACCACGTCATCCGGATATCCTGCCTCATTAAACTTTTCCCTTTCGTACTCCCTCTTTCGCATTCGACAAACCCTTCGTGTGAATTCTCCTGTGGCAAGTCCAATTAATCCCTCAACATCAAGGGAGCGGTAGCTAAGAAATACTGTCCAGAAATTTTCTAGTCATACGGCAATGCAAAGTGGAAGCTCGAGTCATGCCTGGGTGTGGGCTACGTGATTGCTTCATGCTCGCTCAATCCGAGCTTGTGGGGGGGCAATTTTGAGGGTCAGGTGTTAACTATGCTGACTTTGGGCTAGGACTGTGAGCACAATTGCCAAGGCAATCTACAATCGTCTTTGACATGTATCGCTCTCTTTGGGGGAGGCAATCCACTTTTCCTTGTGTATTAGAAGCTTTCTTCCTATTTCCACGTGTGCGAAGGCTCTCTTGCTTGTTCTTAGTGGCTTAGCATCTGGACTAGACGGAACATTTTTCTTAGTTGGTATTAATTGGCAACATTATCGAGGCTTCCATAGCCTCCTCTATGCTTTCTGCGAGGGGAACAGGGATCTTCGTGGCTTTGAAATGCGTTACCTAACTGCTTGACTCTCCTCTAGCGAAATCCTTGGGGCGGGGTGTTACAACGAAGCGTGATGAAGCCACATCCCATTTCAGTCTGCTAACACATAGCCCAGATAGGCTTTAATACCATAGTTCTCTCGCAGGTATCCCATACTCTTTGAGCATTTCGGTAGTTACCTTCCAATAGGGCTTGCAAAATTCGCCGCACCGACCCTACCCTACAGCCTAATATTTTTCTGGGGCTGCGGAGGGGTCTCAAGATGGAAAATAAAAAAAAAACCCTGACAGGAACTCATGCTTCTTGAGTCATGCCAAAACATCAGTCCCGTTGAGACTAGGTCTGAGTCTGAGTCGCCAATTTAACCATGGTAAACTACGCTTTTTGCAGAGCGAGGAATGGCCACCACACATGAGGAGACACTCAAATATAAGAGAACGCCACACCCAACAACCTGCCCCAGTCTACCATCTTGTCCAAACATCCTATCTTAAAAGATGGCGGCGACATGGTTCTCAAGTTTCCCCCTGCGTAGACCTGCTCGATCCTACATCTAAAGCCTCTATTACGAAGAGGAGTTCGCGGCGGTGGAACTCGATTAGTGCCATCAAAGACATCGGAGTGGCTTGGCTAATTAAGCGGAAAATTGCACGTACAGGGGGCGCACAGACAACTTCAGGGGGTTGAAGCAGCTGAAAGTCGTCATGCACTACTATGTTTTGGACTTAGCGTTCGGCTTCATCCGCGTCCCAAAACTCCGAGGCTTGATTGATCTGGAAATCTGGGAATGTCCCTTGGTACTCCCCGGTACCTGTCTCGAAAGAGTGATAGTTGGCAGCCCTACCAACCGTCTTGCGGAGGATCTAAAAAGCTTATCGCCAAATTTCAGACTGAGTACTGTGTGACTGTGATTGGAAGGCGAAACCGAGTGGAACAAATACAAGAGCAGAAGATCGATTGGATGTAGCCAAGACACGACATTTAGCCCAAAACCCCGATGACTTTACCGACATCAGCTCACTCAACCGAGCAACATGCGACTGGTGAACCGATCTGCTACACCGGCCAACTACCGACTGAGTGACATGCTTTTGGAACAGGGGCAGAAAGATGAGGGCGCTAATCTGGCTAATGAGTCGTGATAGTCTGACAGGCACTGGGTCGACAGGGGTTTTAGCGACTTAACTTACTTGTTATGAACGTCTATTTCCGGTGCTCTCTAATCATGCCCAGCTGAGAGGCAGCCGTTTCGCTTAGGATGACCAGTTCAGTCACTTAACCCCCACGTCAACTCCCAGCGATTTCCAAGCAAGTATGCGTTGGTGAAACAGGGGCACACTTAAGAGACACTGGTGGTGTGCGATGGGTGGAACGGCCGTGACATGCGGATGAGAGCAATGTCCATCTGGGGAGGTCAAGACTCATTCCAACGAGCCACGACACATCACTTCATCTGTTTCTAGGTCCGCCTTGAACCAGGAAACAGTGTGACAGCCATCATCTTGTCACGTCACTCGCCACGAGGAGTCGGGTCTACGCCCGCACCTTATTTGATCCTCAGGTAGTATCGGCCCCGCGAGACTTCACTGCTTGCTGTTTAGTGCTGTGTTTAGTACTGCTAGGTTTCCCCACACTTGTCTTAGCCGAAGAGATGGTGGCTGGCATTGGCTCCCTTTGGCTTTTGGGGGCACATTGTGGTGCACAGTTGTGATGAGTGGCCATCAAAAGTCCACTCACATGGCACAAGTGTGGCAACGATGGGGCTCAACGTGGCTATCTAACCGGATGAGCCTTAATCAACACTCTCTGTAGCGCAGTGGTACACAAATACAGCTCGCAGGCATTACGAATGGGAGTTTGTGTACAGCATCTTGTGGGCCTAGAAGGTAAAGATGAGCGGTCAAGTTAAGGAGGGATTCCGATTGGTATCTTATTTACAATACCGTGGGCGGTAGCTGTGCGGGCAGTCGAAATTTGCTCAGATAGCAAGTCTCAGCGCACCGATAGTTTCGGCCGCTCCGAAACGAACTCCATACCGACACAGGTATAGCTTTTGGTGGAGTTTCTCGGCTGTTTGCATCTCGGTGCGTGAAGCTAGGCACGTTTGCGCATTTTGACTATAAACAAGAAACGTCCAGTAGGGGGTTGCTGTTCTTCTGAGCTAGGGAATCCGACATGAGACCCTGGTTCGAGCCTGGAAGCAATTTACTGGTTGTCAAAATCTTTGTCGGCTATCCCGGATGATCTTCTTCATCACCTTAGTCATGATTATGCTAGCATGGGTTCATGGAGACAACGGTTTATGTATCAGGTTCACGCCATGAACTCGTCGAAAATTACCATCTCGTACATACTCTGCTTATTCTGCAACTGAAGTAAGTACAACGCCGCCAGTCCTTCCAATTCTCCGGGGCAGAGTGTTGACAAGTTGACAAAAAAAGAGAATCATGGCGCCAAACTCAGCGAATCCTGCCCCGCAACGACAATGCGAGACCGAACCCGAGGATTCAGCCACAGCGGACGATTACGTGATGGCGTTGGAGGCAGAGGTTAAGAGGCTCAGAGAAGAACAAAGCTGCGATCCCACCATCAAGGCGTTGACATTACGCAACAAAACACTCAAAGAACAACTGCATCGTCTGAAAAGGGACCTCGAATTTGATGAGTTATCACGAAGTAAATAGCACATCGAGTAGATTTCGAATATTGCCATAATATAGGCTTATGTCTTTTTTTTTTTTGCCCATTGTGAAAGTATTGAGAAGGAAATGACGTTGCGTGTTTTGCAGACGGAGCAAGCTCGTTCCACCCCCGTAGCCTAGTCCATACTGATTCATATTCTTCTTCACTATCGGATAAGATCGGAATATCAAAAGTGTCATGCACGGAGCACATGCTGTTCCGACGACGCCATTTGAGTGGCAAATGATCTACTACGTAGTACGCAACTGCCTAAACGGTATCAATGAGTGGAGCGCAGGTCCGCAGCAGGTCGTCAATGGCCTACTAACGGCCAACCTGAGGGACATTCTTAGCAAGTAAAGCTAACAATGGGACAAACTAAACGCAGTATGTAAGTGGTATAGTAGATACCTATTGCATATTTAAAAAATATTAATAGATTTTAATAGCCTTTAATAGTAGCACAGTAGCTGTAGAAGCCGTATCTGCTAAAATACATTAGAGGTGAAAGGGTCTTAGTACAAAGACTTCAAGAGGGAACCAGAGGCTCAACATTAAAAAGGTACCTTGAAAATAGTATTAGAGTATTGCTATTCGCACACATTCAAAATGCTAATCGCACACAAGTACGACCTTTACGCCTAAGCTTAGTGCCAGGCTTAAGGTATCTTATTCTGAAGATTGTCCAGTTTCTCCTTTAAAATAAATTAAAAGATAAAATTTAAATAGTAAAACTTAGAGGATAAATACTTAGAATAAAATCTATTTAGTTTTTTTTAGATTTAACTTACTAATAGGTATATTATTAAGGCTTCTTAGTGAAATTAGCTTATATACTTAAGTATACGAGTAATATTTTGAGTGTGTGCGAATAGTAATATTCTAGTATTATTAGCGCAGATTAATTACCCAGTTAAGATAGAAATCTAGGGGTTTACTTAAACAGAGTAAGGTTTCTAGCCAAACTCAAGATGATTTGGAACAGCGTTCAGAATAGTGATTTCAATAATACTGCTAAGAATAATGTAAAATAAATTAGTTAATAAATATTAGAGCTTTGGAAATACATGTTGATCAAGCTTTTCATTCATGGCTTGCTTTAAAACTACACACAATACTTTAAGTAGTAGGTTTATGTAGAAATTAGTAACGAAGTATATGGCATAACCTGCGTTAAACTGCCACTAGTGTAGATCTTAGTAGTAGCAGTACACATTTTGATAAGAACTTGAAGGATGGAAGCAGAGAAACACTCGGGAATATATGTATAGCGGTTTATCTCGTAGAGAGTTGTAGGGCGGGATGATACTATTCCGACGGCCGAGAGCCATAAGGCGATCTCTGCAAGTACTAAAAATATTTAGAGATGGGGCCGTTGAGATACGGCTATGTGCCCACCCGTCTAAACTAGGAGGGTAGGATTTTCAGCTGTCGTCAGGGGTGGAGGTACCCTGCTGCGAATCTGGGAACAGAGGCAACCCCCTCTAGCTTGTCTCGACATGGTATGACCACATGTAAGCCAAGAAATTGAGATCTACAATACAACATACAACGAATCCATCCTTCCATAAAGCTCCTATACCTACCTGTTTTGTAGGATTTATGGTCTCGGTCCACTGATGCAAAGCGGAGTGAATAACAAGGGCACATTATAAGTAGCCCTCTCCACCCAGACCATGTAAGCGCGGGAATTCCAGCTCCCCGATCGAACCAGAGATGACACAGGCCTCGCTTCTCACGCGCTATGAGCCTACACTTCATGGCTTTATCGACAGTGCCGGCGACGCCATGTTGGTGTTAGAAGCCTGTCTCCGGGGACATCTTCTCCACGTTCCAAGAACATTGCATCCCGATGAAGCCCAATCTGTTATCCAAAGCGGTTCAATCTTTGTCTTCGAGTCCCAGTGCTCAGGGATGAGAGAATGGAACGATTTCCACAGCTGGAGTAGTGGAACGCAAGTGGGCGATTTCCGTTTATGGCATACGGCGCGCCACAATCTCGCCACGGACGCAGACGCAACTCACGCGGAATCCCAAAACGCACAAGGTTTCCTGGTGAAACAAGCCATCGCTCTTGGCTGGAACGGAATTCAGCATCATGTCATTTCATATTGGACGTTGGGTGGTGTACAAGAAAACTCGCGGCGAGGTTCTGATGTGCTCAACAGACTCAGACAGGCCGGCCTGAGTGTACGCGAGGGGCTGGTTCAACAACAGAATCTACTCTACCCGATCCATCATGAACCTTGGGTCGAATATATGCTTAGAGCAAATGGACAGGTGATTGTGGACGCAGCACCACTTTGGACAGACTCATTGTCAGACTTTGAAGAGCGAGGTTGGAGGATGATCGATGAAGTACCTGTACTTTTACCCGATTATGCTAGAGAGGCAGCGGATGCTCTCCTCCACATTGCTAATGGAGAGGGTGATTATGTAGAGTAGGCTATGGCTGTTGGTCGTTGCACTACGGCATGTTTGCACTCGATATTTGTCATGTCTCATCAAATCCCTCCACACCGTTCGGCTTCTTCAATTAGTTCTTTCATCCCCTCACAGCAAACCGCCTAGGCCCAAGTCACCGGACAATAAAGATGTCCGTGCCATGACGTGGCCGTTAGACCCGCCATGCGAGCATACCCTCTTCAGGTTAGAATGAGATCCGTAATTTGGGCGTAACGGCCAGCAGTAAACTATGCCTGTTTAATCCTAGAAACAGATGGTAAACCGCGCAATCACGCATAATTAATCACCAACAGTGGGCTGCCAATACCTTAGTGTGCATTAGTTGCCAACTAAAGCGTAGATGGCAATCGCACTCGGATAAGAAAAAGTGAGCTGTTTCCCCTGGTCAAGTGGACCGCAACACCCTAGCTCATTTTAACTTCAAAGAAACATACACGAGGGCTCTTACGGAGTAGAAGTCAGAGAATCATTTTAGGCTATGCTACGCAATATGTTAGTGGCGTTATGTGGCGGAGTAGCGGGTTTGTAACTTTGGTTGGGAAGCTAAGTCTAGCTGGGCAGTGTATCCAACAGGCCATTAGCTTCGTGGCGTTTACACAGGCGTAAATTGATTCCAGCGGGATTTTCAAGAGATTTCATAAGACCTGTCAGAGACCTGTGCCACAATGAAACATTGAACATGACTCGTAGGCTATTCGTTCGCTCAACATGGAAGAAACCCCTGCCTCCCTGTATACCTCTCCGCCTTTTCTTGTCCGTACGCGCTATTCCTTTCGGCCAGAACAAGTCCACCAAACCAGTAACATCATCTCGTTCAAGCAAGGTCAACTGGGATTAATACACGCCGTGGATGCTTCAGGATGGGGATACTGCAGTTTGTTGGAGTCTGGTGCCTGCGGATGGATCCCAACCAACTTTTGTGCAGAGTACCAGTCACGAGCGATGAGAACTCTGCTGAAGGCCACGATAGCATTTGAGAATGCTCTTCGCCCGAATAACAGCCTAAAATCACAAAAAACCTTCAGAAATGTCTCTACGGCTTCAATCATCCGTAGCATCAAGCAAATCCTGGTGTGCATCATCGTTTTCATCATTTTCGGTTGTTAGAGCTAATTATCTCCATAGGACCTAGAGCACCCTACAACCTCCGGTCGACCATCACGGACGAATGCTTTGCTTCGATCGCACCGCATGCTGTTGATGAAACAGACTTACCTTTTGGGAGAGTACGTTTGGGACATAAGAGACGAAACTCTCCAAACCTCATCTCAATGGACTCCCCTCCACGAAAGCCAAATACAGTCTCTTGTTCGGGCTACTCGGGACGTCTTAATGAGGGCCGCTACCTTAATAGACCTTCTCGAAGGAGCTTCAAGTCCAGCATCGTGCAATAATTCAGGTACAGTCGATGGGGATTGTCGCCCAGTGATGGCGGACCTTAGTATCCACCGAGATAGCCATGGCTCTTTCTATACGTTGTCTGATACTCCCGAGATCTCATCTTCAAATGAAAAGGACTTCATAGGACCATCACCCCATCATTGGACGGAAGAAAACATCGCTCGCGAGACGCGCTGGAGTCCAGAGAAGGAGAACGACAGTGACGGGAACACCAACTGCCAGGAACAAATCACGCCAGCCATGACAACCACATTCCAGCCTTTGCAAGAGTCAGAGGATGAAGGCCACACCTTTGAAGCCAGTAACAGTTTTCACTTGCATGTGGAAAAGCACTGGATAGAAACAGAGCAGCGTACCAGCATCACATTACCACCACTATTCTACGAGGAACATGGTCTCAAGGAAGGCGAGAATACTCCGTCGAATGCCACCCAGACAACCCAATCCGATCATTCAGGCCAACTCGACATCTCTAGCTCCAGCTCGTTTCTTTATGCCAAGATGGAAATTACTGGTGGCTCGTTGACAGCTCTAGTTAAGTATCTCGCCGAATGCGAGTGCAGCGCAACGAGGGAGGGTTTCGTGTCCTCTTTGCTTCTCACATTTCGCCAATTCTGCAAGCCAGGAGAGCTTGTCGACGCCTTGATTCATCGATTCGGCTGGGTTGACTCTACGAACACGTCGCTGGCCCCCCGAGTCCGACGACGAGTCTGCGACGCCTTGGAAATATGGCTCACGTCCTTCTGGGTCAAAACAACCGATGGTGTAGCACTCGAGCCCATTCTATTGTTTATAAACTCCAAAGTACGGCCGCTGCTCCCTAATACGGCAGCCAGCTTGATAGGAGCTGCAGAGCGCCTCGAGTTCAAGGAGGCTTTGACAAGGCCGACAACGGCCCTGGTCCCTGAACGAGACACTGAGAAGCAACAAACCGACATTGGTTCTCCGAAATGGAGCAGACTGAGTCCGCCAAGATATAACCAAAGCCAGCAACTGTCTATACTCAGGTTGTCTCACGTTCACCTAGCCCACCAGTTGACCATCAGCCAGATGAAGCAGTTCTGTGCGATAGAGTCTGAAGAGCTACTGGCTCGCAGGTGGACAAAGTGCCAGTCTACAAAAGCTCCGAATGTCACGGCAATGTCTCGCCTGACCAACAGTATTTCCAACTGGGTGAAAGAGACCATCCTGGAACAGGCCCATCCAAAGGCTCGCGGCACTGTCATCGAAAAGTGGATTCAAGTCGCGCATCAATTGTTCCAGCTGAGGAATTTCGATGGACTGCTCGCCGTTGTCTTCGCCCTGGGGGATAGCTCCATCTACCGAATGAGAGATACGTGGGACTCGCTTTCAACGCTCCATCTCGAGTCTCTCCATTCATTACAAATGGTGACGGATCCGTCGCAGAATCACAAGGCTCTCCGTGCCTTTACCGAAGGCGTTGCGAAACCATGCCTCCCATTTCTTGGCACCTACTTGACTGAACTGGTCTTTATCAGTGAACGCTTTCAAGAGGAGAGCAGTGTTGGGTTGAAGGGGGAAGGAAGCGCAGTTTCGAGCACTCTCGATCGCGTGGTGAATTGGGAGAAATATGCACGAACCGCCGCCATTATTAAGAAGATTCGAGATTTTCAACATCCTTTCCCCATCGCTGAAGATACAGAGGTGCAAGAATTCATCGGCGGTGAGCTCTTGCAGCTTGAATTGCAAAGACAGGAGGGCCTTCAAAAGGAGTTTTACCAAAGGAGTCTGGCCTTGGAGCCACCTGCAAGGAAACCAAGAAAGCAAATTAGCTTATCATCCCTCTGGACAGTAACGTCCAGGTAAATGATGTAGGCTTGGATAACTGATACAATCCGTTAATATTTACCTACGTGGTACCGTCTATGGAAACTTTAATAACAGTAATCGGTCACTGACTTTGGACATTTTCCCCAGGCATGACGACGAATGCGTCTAGTCAAGACACGCATAAAGCCGTATCATGCAGGAATTTGGTAGCACCCAGACACTTATTCCTTATGAGGTTCCCGCACTTGAGGCATATTTCTTGGCCCCTAGCGCGTTTGGAGGAGACCCGAGTCGCCGTCTGTTTTTCTCAGCAGCTTTTCTTCCCACCCTGGAGTCTGCAACATTGAAAATCGACCAGCCGGAAATGGCCCGGGCGAGACCTGATACTGGGGTGGGACCATCAAGGCCGGCGCGGGGTCCCGGCACGGAGTGGGGCGGCACCGGCGAATGATAAGATAAGCCATGATAAGATAAGCTCGAATTGAGCCACTTTTTGCCTGAGGCATCAATACGAAGTGGTTGTCATGGGCAACATACCCAAACAGCGCTGAAGCAACCACTTCCAACCGATCAGTTCGCATGCTCGTCATGATCGGAGACGGCATAATGCACCATGCAAAACGACGGCGACATTCGCAGTTGGATCGACGCCCTGCCTGATCCAGACGAATTCCCAGCATCACCGCCCACGAAGCTCAAACGAAAGGCGACGCAGGATCAACCGCCGAGTCCTCCAGCGACAGTCAGGATGGACATGGACGTCACACCGACCTCGAAGCGACAGCGAAGAAACAGTCCCGATGCAACGCCCCGTCTCCATCGCGATGGCCTCCCGAGATCGCCCACAGCAGCCTCCGTCTCCGACTCCAACGCCTCGTCTAAGCAGTCGCGCTCCTCGTCGCCGCTGAAGAAGCAAATCATGAGCCTCCAGCTCGACGACGCCGGCCTGGAGCTGCGTCCGCTCACCTTCGAAGCGCCGCCGAACCGCGAAGCCGCCCGTCTCCTGTCTCTCCTACGCGACATCGGCAGCGGCCTCGAGTTCCTCCCCGACGACCGACGCGACGAGGTCCTCGACAGTCCCATGGTCAAAGGCGCCGAGATCCGCCCCTGGCGATTCGCCTTCACCAGCGCCTCCCGATTCGAGACACTCCCAGGTCGCTTCCCGTCGCCGGAAGAGGTAGCATCCGTGTATAAATGGGCTGGAAACTGTAGTCAACTCGGACATGAGGAAGCAGGATGGAACCAGGAGGTGCACCATCGCCTCTTGGAAGCCACTCTCAGGAGCTCCGGGGAAAGCACAGAATCTCCCTTCGACTTTACTTCTTGGTACACCTCCACGAAATACCACCGACCTACGTTTATACTGACCCGCTCATAGTACCACTGCTCGGCTCCACCGGAGCTGGATCCCGAGATCGGCTGGACCCAAGATGGTTGACTTTAGCATCTATTTAGCCCCGGGTTACAAAAATGCTCCGTCTCCTCGGGCCCTTAAAGCCCTTTGTCGAAGAACAGCAACGCAGTCTGTCAATCATACTGACTTCAAGCGCCTCCAACTACGCCCCATCGTCCTGAGCATCGAGACTAAGAGTCCAGGGCAGCGGTTAGACACAGCAGAGGTGCAGATGGGAATTTGGCACGCGACCCAGTGGTCATTCCTTCGCTCCGCCCTTCTCTTGGCTCCAGGACGCACGGAAGCACAGGCAGACGAAGCCTTGTCTCGGCTTCCACTTATACCTGCCGTCATCGTCCAGGGCCACAAATGGCTCTTTGTCATGTCGACGCGCGAAGGTCCAAAGACCATCTTCTGGACCGAACGCCAGTTTGGAAGCACCCAGAGCATTCTGGAGACCTACCAGACGGTCATGGGTCTAAGGCAGCTGACTGCCTGGGCCGAGACAGTCTATTTGCCGTGGTTTAAAGCCGAAGTTCTAACGCCGCTTGGAGGTGACGGGGATGACGAGAATAGCTGAACCTTTGTATCATGAGATAGGTTAGAATGCCCACTAGTCTTCTCATCTCGATTTCAACGACATGGCCAATTCGGACAGGCCATGGGTTACCATGTTTCGTCCAGATCGTGCATTCGGTGAGGAGTTCACCAAGCGCCGTTCTCAAGACTTGATACAACTTGGAAAGCAAGACAACTTTGCTCTCATGGACAGCAGAGTTGCTGCGGAGGCATGCAATGCTAATCTTAATGTATAGTCGACTGGATCTAGTGCCAGGCCATACCTCATGCTAGTCTCGGGGACGGGCCTGGCAATTGTTGGCATCGCAGAGTCATCCCAGTTCAGCGACAACGAGTCTTTCCTGAGCATGGCGCGTGCTCATGCCGATTGACTTATCCCCAAGCTGTCTGAAAACCATATTCCTCCGTGCGATTTAATGTGGCAGAGATGGGAAAACAGCCGTTTGATACCACATGACAGCGAAACAGGGGAATTGTCAAATGTCGTGCCAATGTTCGGGGAAATGTATTGGTTCTTCAACGGAAGCACACCTCGTCGTATCCGTGGCTAGGTAGGAGCTTTTGACCGCCCACATATCCAAGTACTCAGAGCTTCAGGATATCTTCCGGGCCTAGCTCCGGGAGTGCCCACGGAAAGGCTCGGTTTCGAATGGCATCACTACGAGGACTTGGCCAATTGACACCGCTGGTTATTGGCTACACCTCCATCCGCACTCAGCTTAACAGTTGAGCTTGATGATATTTCCAATCAGTGGAACGCAAAACGCACCATGATGAGGGTCGGTTGTAGAGTCCCGCCACGCCACATCATATACATCGCTAATTGCCCTGTTGGCAAGGCCCTTGTCGGCCTGCAGGTTCTTTGTCCGTATTACCTGTGATTTGATATAAATTGGCAGGCGGTTGTGGAGGTTGCCCATTAATATTGAGTCTGCATTAGTAGCTTTGGGGCCAATATTGGTCGCCTTGAGGGAAATGACAGTCCAACGAAGCTGTTCTATGTGATGATGGCTGTACTACTTGACTTTGGCATTGGTGGGATAGATGTAAATGTCATCGCTTAAATTGTGGATAAAAATGCGACATTTTGACTCCGTGGAGGCGTACCTTGATAGGCTACAACGCAAAATATTAGGACCCGGTCCTGGGCATCCTCGAGTAATTTATGTTCTGCCACCAATCCTTTTATGGCAGTGCCATCCCATAAATAACTTAAAGAACTCACGGCCATCATCGTCACTAGAGGGGCCGTAACGGTGAACCCATATCTGTGATCTTGAATCAGGAACGGGGAGGTGAGACCAAGAACTAGTCACGCAAGGACAATGCAGTGAAGCGATCTAAAAGGCACCAAGCTATTTTTGGACGCCAATAAAATGCAAAGGAAACACAGAAATTGGATGAGCTACAAATGTTTTATTGAAGGAGTATCAAGTCCGAGGTAGGCGTGACACTGAACTTGGCCGCCGCATAAATCCACAGATAGGCTTGCCACGCTCGAGGATTAACAAACGCGGACAACTACCAAGTAGAAATTATTACAATTTGCTGGCAGAAGCTGCTCTTGGGATCCCAAACTTGGATATATCCTCGCTTGTCTTCCCATCTATCGCGAGTTCGGCCAGGACCCGACCAAAAGCTGGGGCGAACTTGAAGGCGTGGCCACCACCCAGGCCGACGATGATGTTCTTGTGTTCTTCCAGGGGGCTTATGATGAACTGGCGATCCGGGGTGATTGCGTATTGACAAGTGACTGTACGCAAGGGCAGTCCCTTTTCTGGTATGATTTCGTCCATAAACGACGTCAGTTCCTCCACCAAGTCGGGCGAATGGACGAAGGTGCGCTGCTCGGGTGCCATGAAATTGTTTGAAATGTCTCGGCCCGCCTTGATGGTTGGCTCTCCGTAGCTAGGAAAGCCATAAAACCACTTCTCGCCGCCCCAGATCCAAACAGGGAACTTGGTTGGTTCGAAAGGGGCCGTGTCATTTGGCTTGAAGTACGTGACTTGCTCTTGCATGACGGAGAGAGGAATCTCGGCACCAAGGGGCGCAAGGAGCTTGTTGATCCAAGCATCGGCTGCCAGGATCACCTTGCCAGCGTGAAATGCACCGTTGGACGTCTCAACAACAACGCCGTCGGCGTCCGGCGTTACTCGATCCACTCGCGTTCTCTCCTTCAGTACAGCTCCGTGGGCTCTCGCTTGATATTGCATAGCTGTGACGGAATGGGACGCATGGACGATGCCCGAGTCAGCCGTGTACACAGTATCCACGCTTTCGGGGATCTTGAACTGCGGCCAGCGTCGGTTGACTTGATCAGAGCTGAGAAGCTCGTACGGAAGCCCATTCGCCTCGAGGCTCTCAGTGAAGTCGCTGGCGGGATTTGGTCCATCTCGGGGGAAGAAGACAACGCCCCCAGTTATCGTGAGCATCTGCAGACCGCTTCTCCGTTCGAGATCTGCCCAGTCCCTATATGCAGCTTGGGCAAGCGCCACATATTCGGGGGCGCCGTACGAGGTTCTCACGATGCGCGAAGTGTCGTGAGAAGCGCCGTGTACGTGTCCAAAGTCGAATTGTTCGAACCCGATGACCTTGGCCCCCTTTACTGCTGCTTGGTATGCCGCGGCACTTCCGAGGGCGCCAAGGCCGACGACTGCCACGTCAAAATGGTCCATTTTAGGTTGATGAAGGAGGTTAGTGTGTGAATAGAATCATAACAAGTCGAGTGAATGGCCGTTAGTGTCTGGTTCTGGTTCTGAATCTATATGTACACATGATAGTGAAGGGAGCTTGCATCCTGGATAATGTGACGGATTCATTCCCGATGAATCACATTGTCGCCTACTACCTCTTACGGGAAGACTCCCGGGAAGCTGTCCACCATTCTTAGACTTGTTACCAACAAGTCAACCTTCGGATATTCCGTTCCCACTCACTGGGGCGGATTATATCCGAAGGTTCACTGTCCCGCCAAAACGGAGATTCCGTCCTCACCCGCTCCGCCCCCTTCTGCATTTGCTCTACAGGAGCTACTCCAAAAAATTGGTTTCGTCATCCTGGTCTTACAAGTGGCCACTCAAAGTCAAGATCTCACGACCCTGCAGGATTCGCGAGCTTCTGTGAATATCCCGGAGGAAGATACATATCGGTTGCGAGGGCTCTTGGGAGCTTCGTAATTCTTTGCAGTCGCTCTATACGCTAAAATTCAATTCCGATGATAAACAGCACTGGTAAAGACGGCTTATTTTACTAAACGTCCATCTTCTTGTCGCCGATTTCAGCCACATTCAGACCGACATTACTATGCAGCAGATGTATGTATAACCAAAGGTGCCGCTTCAAGCTCAAGTCCGTGGTGTCGTGAAGTCATGAGATGTATTATTTTTACATCGGAACATCACCGTCTATCAGTCTAAATTCGCTTTGAGCAATTTAACAGACGAGTTGAGCGTCCTTGATTTAACCCTATCAAAGTCTAGCTTTAACCTCATCAGGCCGTAGCTCGCGCCTCTCCGGTCCTCCTCGACTTCCATCTCCTTCGAAAGCATTGGAGTTACCTTTGAACTCTTCTCTGAATCTCCATTTTTCTGCTAGGTTTGCGGGAAGCAAGCCTTTTAACCCAAGTGACACGTATTCTCCCAGCACTGGCAGGAACTTGAAAGCGCTGGGCACCGTTAGCTTCCCTACGCAAGTAGTGTCTCTGTCCTCGGCTCCTGACGACCGGATCAACGTTTGTTTCACTTACTGCCCGCTCCCTCCGTCTGCAACAAAGAGGTTCTTATAATCAGGGTGGTAGTCCATGATGAAATCACCACTGGGAGTGTCTGTGTACCAGCAGAGTGCCACTCGCTGAAACGGACGGTCGGCCAATTCAGGCAGGATCTCTGCAAGTCCTTCCCTGAGCCTCTCCTCTCCATCCCGGGGCACAAAATTGGCCCGCTCGCGAGGTGCCTTGAGCGGGGGATTCGAAACGTCTGCGTTGAGGAGGGCCTTTTCTTCAGTCGACGGTGACCGAGTATAGCCCCAGCCGTGGATTGCCATCTTGAGCATCCGCGTTTCCTTGTGGGGAGGGAAATTGAACCAACCGGTGGAAAAGTTGATGCAGATGGGGAGATGCTTCAATCGCTCCATCTCATCGTCGGTCAGCTCCATGTAGCCAACAACCTGAGCTGTAGATAACGTGGAGTTGTAGAAAGGAGCAAGACTCGATGCCCATGCGCCGGCTGCAAGAATGAAGTGATCGCCTTTGATCTGATTAGCAGCAAGTGTCCGGACGGCGTAGATCTGCCCGTCCGAGTTGGCCTCAAAACCTATGGCGGTCCCGGCTCTGCCAGTGATAAATGACACGCCGAGCTCAATGCAATCATCCCGCAGCTGGCTAATTGCCTTGTGAGCATCTGCCCATCCCGCTTGAACGTTGGTATAACCAAAGAACCCAGGAGCCGCGAGGGGGCCACTTAGGGTAGGGTACATTTGCTTCGCCTCCCGGGCATTCTCCAGCCTTTTCCAGCGAAAACCTCGCTGATCCAGGGCAGCAGTGCATTTTTCAATATACAAACGTCCAAATGGCCGATCTGAATTCGAAGTGAGGATGAACGGCGAGGGGAAGAAGATGTTGTGATACTTGAGCATCTTGGACCATTTCTGATAGGCATCGTAGGCAAGGCGCAAGTAAGCGTCATCGCCATAATGGAATCGGATTACTCGTGAGATGTCAACACTAGAGCCATCTGGAACCTGCGAGTGTTGTGCTTGTCAGCTCCTCGAATACAGAGCCTCTCCACGGTGTATTAAGAATCATGGGCACCATACTGGCGGCATGTTCCTGTCAATCACGGTGACATTCTCATAGCCCTCAGAGGCCAACTGGCGTGCAGTAGTCAGTCCAAACACGCCGGCTCCCACAATGACGATTCTGTCGGATTTTTTCATCATCATGCTTGTCGGCCTGTCGGGGAGATGCGGTTGTCGGGGACGGAATATGGCCAGAATACTCCAAGGATACACAGCCCTAAGACTAATGAAAGCTCAACGAGAGATTAAATTGCTTCTTCGTTTTATTGCGGAGTTCCTCGATTAAGCCAAGCTTCCCTTGCTGAACGCGCAAATTCCTTAGTATCTGATAACGAACACCTACTAATCACCATGGTAGGCATCAATCTCGAGGAATCCTTCTGCTCGCGAAAGCGAGACGGAGATCCCGGTCAAGATTCCGCTCACGTGGTTGGCCCCATCGGGATCTTCGGGATCTTTCCGGCCAGTCCAAATTTGGCCAAGTCAAGAGAGTGGAAATACAGAGTCAGGAGTGAACGATACATCCGGGTCATATTTGTGTTCCATTGATTCATTCCCAATCGAGTTCTGCCTGCAAGAATGTAGATGCCTCTCTTGCCATCTCACCAGAACCCAAGGACTCCGAGATGCTCAAACGTATTCCTTCGGGCGTAATTCGCCCCCTTGAAGTTTGGTGCTCATCACGATGAAGCTAGATGAGCCTAAAGATGGTAGTGGAATTGTGGGGAACCTTATCATTTTCTTCCCCGCACTTATCTACCCCCAAGCCAAGTCACAGCTTCGATATCATGTCTCATATCTGAATCATCTGCTTGCTGTATCTATGCCTCCTCTTCATTCGACATCCCAGTTTAATGGTACCATGAATCCACGGAGATCAAGACAATACCGGCGTGTGGCCCAGGCCTGTGAAAACTGTCGGTACGCGTGACCTCAGCTGATCCACATCTGCACATGGACTGCTAGGCTGTCATGCTCACATCCGTTTACAGTCGGAAGAAGATACGTTGTCTCGGCCAAAGGCCAAAATGTTCGGCTTGCACCAGAATCGGCCAGCAATGTTGCTATCCCGATGACGATTATAGCAACGACCAAATTGCTGACGAAGTCGAAAGCCGGGTCGTAAGCATGAACCTGTGTGCGAGCCTGGATCTTGACTGACACAACCAGGCTGGTCGACTTCGGCAGCTTGAGCAGAAACTAGACAGAATAATCGGCAGAACCGAGTATGTTTGACAGACCCCCTTCCTGCAGCTTTATGTCCCTGGATCGAATTGAAGTCTTATACAACATAGAAAACCTCAATCCACAGATCAAGTCACCCCTGTTTCAGCGTTTGGCGCGGGGTCCAGTAATTCACCTTCATCGCCAACTACAGAGCTAACCAGCCCCCTTGCCTCGTGAGCTGCATTTATCCTATGCGACTTTACATTACGCTGACTTTTCAGAACACAATTGCCCGCCGACATTATTACACAGGCCCTGGGTGTCTACTTTGAGCATATCCATCGTCAGCCATTGTGGCTCTTCGATCCATCCAGCTCTCCGACACCGGAAAATAGTGAAGAGCTCATCTGTGCTATTCTAGGCCTGAGTCTTACTTGTAGTCCCACGAGTTTCACCAGCGCAGATCTACGAAGCCCCGACTTCTACGCTGCTAATTCTCGAAGGCTGATCATGGTCAAGATAGCTGATGGCAACGTGAAGCTCCAAACTCTGCAAGCATTGTGTCTATTGGCTTTCTTCAACGTTGTTTGTAAGTCTCAAATCCCTCCAAAGGTATCTTATATGGTGCTAACACCAGGGCCATTCACAAAGCCGGCGATCTTCGTCTGGCTGGTCTCAACCTGAGTATTGCCAAGAATCTGTTGCAGTATTCAATGCTGCAAAATGGCTTTGCACAAGAGTCGCCGTCACCGGAAGAGCGATCAAAGCTATTCTGGAGTATCTCCTTCTTGGATAAATTTTACGGACTCCCGATCTTAGTCCCCTCCGTGACTGACGACATTACTTGTCCGCGTCTCTCATCAATTGAGGCGACCTATAGTTCGATACCTGGTCCACCACTTCCTCAGGAATCTCGTACTGATACTTCCGGGGACGGCCTCCACGATGTGTGGGCACATGCAGTCAGAATATGCGCTCTATGGGGAGATGTGAGGAGGTTCGTCTCAAGGTGTGTTGAAGGCATAGCGAAGGCACCGTGGCAACCAAACTCGGACTACATCACGCTGTGCTCAACGCTTTTGGAACTTGAAATCTCGCATCCCAATTCATTAAGCTACAACACAGTCAAGTACGTGGATCGAGCTAGCCAAAAAGTTCAAGAAGATCGGTCAAACTGGCTTCCGTGGGTTAGGCTACAGGTGACCTATCACGCCATCCATTGTGTACTCAACCACCCGTTCGTGTACTCTTTCCAAGCTTCAAAGCAGAGCCTCGGATCAAACACTTTTTGGCGGACGTCCTCGGAGACAGCGCTCCGACATTGCACATGGATCTCTCGACACATCAGAATGGCTAGAGAAAAGGGCCTCGAGTTAGCCGATCCTTTCTTTGCCCAGGCGGCAGCTATTGCTGGTAGCATGCACTTGTATTGGACACGAGCTGAAGATCCTGTGCTACGGGCTTCTGCATCGACCAATTTGAATATTTGCACCGCGCTCATCACGGAAATGAGTCTACACTGGCCAGTCTGTCGATCAATTGCAAGTCGCTCGACCCACCCTACCAAGTCTTCACTAACACGGTACTACAGGGGAATACTTTGCAAGAATTTGTAGATATCGTCACTCCCCCAGACCAAGGAACCGCATCCAAGACGCCCACAGTCGTAGCGACAACGTCCTTAATGTGGCTACTACTAGATGTGTCATCGCCCCAGTTCCCTGGCTATGTTGCCGACAAATCGGGTAGCAAAAGGAGTAGAGGGGTTGGACTTGACATTGGTGAATTTACCGCTGTGGATGATTCAGATATGAACACGCACGAATCCGACATGCGAGAATCGACGGCGCACTATGCTTCACCTCCCGAGTGGCTCTCCCCCAGGCCGGGCGACCCTCTATCAACAGACGATGCACAAGTTCCAGTCAATACTGGACAGACAGAAGAGTTTGGCAATTCCTTTCATCAAATGCTATCCAGCCGGGAAGATGGCACGACTAGCTTCGATCCATCATGGGGCCCCTGGGAGCAAATCATGCGCATAGGAGATGGCTCTGCTTCTGGGATGAACTGGTGGGATTCTGGCAACCTCTAAAGTCCATGTATTAGGGTTTGTATTGCAAGGGGGACAAGAGGATATAGCATTTTATAGTACCTCGTTAGCTGGAGCCTAGTCATTGAAGTGTTAATTCAAGCTTCAAGCGAGCGATGCATGCGGATGCTTTCTCTATCGGGACTATAGTATACAGGCGCCACTATTTAATTTAATGCACTCAATATCTCACGAGAATGAAACTGATTGCGATAAGCTCCTCTTACACCTTGACGTTTGGTATAAGCCCCAATCGTAACAGAAGTAAGATTTAGCAAAATCACCATAAAAATATTTGGTTTTTTTAGCTTTACTCAATATCATCAGATAGATCAAAGCCATACAGTAATCTCAAACAGTAGGAATAAACAATAAGGGCTACACCCAGCACCAGAAGAAACAGTAGCTGAACAATAAGGTTGTTGCCCACCGGTCTCTGCCTGAAGCTTCCATTCAACCCCTCTAACTTCAACCCTATTGTCTGCAGTCAACGACCTTGCTGTCTGCAGTCAACGACCTTGCTGTCTGCAGTCAACAACCTTGAGATAGTAACCTTATTCCGAGCAATAGGATATAAGAGAGACTGACGTCTCCTATCGTCAAGGGACCAACTTCCCTTCTGACACTTATCCCATCTCAATAAATTTCATCTGAATAACTTGTCACTATATCGACTATCAATCGCAAGGCCCTTGTTACATATATCCCTGCACATCAGGGATACGAATCTGGATTCCGGCACAGCACAGGATTCCATTGGAATCTTCGAGACGAAAGGGAAAGATGCAAGCTGGATAACCATCTAAAATTCCTTAGAGAAAGAAACCTCCTAGACCTCTCACCACACCACCCAGAACGCCTGGATAGAAACTAAAGGATTGCGTTAGCTATTTTCGGATGCGGTCTGTTTCTTAACGATAAGAATAGAGCCAATCTGCAGGGAAGTCAGGCCACCGGCATCGATATTATATTTATCCGGATAGAAATGGGCGTATTATATAACCTGGCCGATAATATCGAAAACACCGACGACGACAGGGGCCAAAAGTTCCTCGCAGAAATTAGCCGTGAAAAATACAACCCCTGGTTCCAGGAGTTATTGTGCTGCGTCGGGCTGGTACGGATGCTAGCCACCTAGGGTGCTGGCTGGAGGGGGATTCGAATGAGGATCTCGGGGCGTTAGGTCGGGTCGTGGGAGTTTTCAGTGCATTTATCAAGGTTAGACTGGGTTGAAAAAGTTAGATAGGATTCCGGCAGAGAAGAAAAAAGCAGCTTGAAACCCAAAACTTGGGCCTTGGCAACTGTGACGTGCGCGCAACGAAAATGCAGTAAATTCAAATACTAGGTTCCCTCATCGAGGGTTACTATAAAAATATATACCATAAAAACATACACCAGAAAAACATATACTATAAAAACATATACTATAAAAACATATACTATAAAAATATATACTATAAAAACATATACTATAAAAATATATACTATAAAAATATACACCATAAAAACATACACCATAAAAACATACACTATAAAAGGTAGAGGGCAATGGAGCTTAAATATGCGATAATTATAGAAGGTCATTCGAATCTGAGTATCACCATGTTTATTTAAATTCCTCAACCTCCCATAATTCTTGCAGACCATGATTGTGGTCTGTTGCGGAGTCGCGGACCACCTCACGAGGAATTTCGCCCCTGAGGCTCATATGGAAGAATAACTGACACTACACCCAACACGACAAACAGAGCTGCCGAAACGTACAGCGGAGTCACAGTCGCTGTATTTGCCTCGACGGCTATGAATGCTGAGATCAACCCCATCACCCTGTTCATAGCCACCGCGATGCCATTTCCTGTAGCCCGCTGAGGCGACGGGAAGACTTCAGCCGTGTACGCATATAGTGTTCCGTAGTATAGGTTGATGCAAACAGCTACCCTCTGCGTTAGTACGGACCTAGGGATTTATGGATCAACTTACAAATGCAGCAGCTCAGCGCGAGGTTCTGGGCTGGTGTCTTGATAGCTGTATAGCCAAAGAAGAAAATACCGGTGACCATGGCGCCAATGCTCATCGTGTATCGACGTCCAAGGACATTTATCTCGGCGAGGCCGGCAGCAATAAGAGGGCCAAAGATGGAACAAACGTTGGTAATGGTGTAGTCGCGCCACGTCTCTGTAAATGAAGGCACATAGCCTGGAACTCGGGTGCTTATCAACGAGCTGCCAATTTGTTTTCATGGTTAGCCTTTTCTTCCCTGGAAATTGTGTTTGGAGATGGATTACTCACGGAAGATACAGGAAGAACAATGGGTATCCAAGTCCAATCAAAGTCCACGAAAGCCAGATCAACACGGTTGACAGTCCCAGCTTTCTTGTGGCGAAAAGACCTTTCGACTGGCTCACAAAAGCTCTGCCGATGCGGAGCGGCATCGACTTGTACGAGCCCTTTTCAATACGATGGTCGTCGACTGAGCCACAAGCCTGAAGTTGCGCAACCGACAGGGCGCAGGGCCGGTTGTGTTTTTGGGCGAGATCGTGAAGCAGAAACACGAGCTTCTCGTCCTGTCCGGTGCTAACCAGATACTTGGGTGTCTCTGGGAGTCGAACAACGAAGATACGTAGAATAGACATGATGAAGAATAAAGAGCCGCCGGTGAACATGATAAGCCGCCAGGCCTTGTTGTTCTGCCAGGTGCATCTCTCGTCAGCACCATCACACGTCCAATCACTACGGGCTATAAAACGTGTTTCAATCGTCAGCAATGACCTCGGGATATGTAGAAAATAGAGGAAAACTTCTTACAGTAAAACCCCCAGGCAATTAAACCGGCAGAAGCTTGTCCAACGCCCCACCAGCCTGCCAGAGCCGTAATAACCCATTGCTGCTTAGCTGGTGTGAACTCGAGCATAATTGTGGGATCAAGGACCAGATTTCCGCCAGCCCCGAAGCCGAGAAGGGCGACGAAGATGCAATAGGCAACCCAGTTCGGCACGGCACCCGCAACAATGGTGGCAATAGAAGCGATGAACAACGTCGTGTTGAAAGCAATGCGGCGCCCGATCATGTCGGCACTGAAGCCCCAGAAAAGAGCTCCAATTAGAAGACCAACGTACAGAGCCATCGTCGCCGCGGTAGGATACCGGCCGGTTCCGAATTCGAGATAGGCTTGCGACGCTGCGACACTCTGCAGGAACGCGGCGAGTGAGTCGACGGCAAAGCCGAAACCCGTCAAGAATGAAAGCTTGAGATGGAAGCTTGTCCAGCCGATCTCGTTGAGGGCCTCACGCGAAAATGTTAGACAACTCGAAGGCTCTCATGCTTGATGTGGATTAATACCTCGTTGACAAGACAGGTCTTGGCTGTGAGCACCGGGTCCAAAGCATCTCCGAGGACATCCTGGGTGCTTCTGTGGGATGCAGGGCGGAGAGAAAAGCTGTCACCGCCCATGGGCGGCTTCTCCTCTTTGGCGCCTTCTTCGAGACCAAGGTTGATGGCAGCGTCTTTGGACGTCATGTTTACTCAGTATATGAGAGGTCGAGAGGTGGATGGAAGTGGATTGAATAAATTGGAAGACGAACGAGGCTTTTTAACTGCTAGCTGTGCTCCTTTACTTCATACCAAAGCATGGCAACCACCCATGCTCCACTCCATCCAGCTTAGCTCAAGGAGTACTGGAGAAGATGTATCTAAGCTGAGACTAGGTTGATCTTCCAAGGGCCAGAACGCGGGGTACAGGGTGCGTGTGGCTGATACCAAAGATATGGACTGTGATTGTCAGCGGCTTGTAATCTCGGGATCTCCCCGTGTTGCCCGTGGCCTGGCCAACTGACTTGGGGTTATCCAATGATGGACCATTTAGTTCGATGTCTAATCAAATCCGGATACCAATTGGCGCTTGCTTAGGTTAATTAGCGGGGGTTGGGTTGCTAACAGATTGTCCATTCGGTTGCTGCCTCATCCCCCAAGTCCAATATTTCCACCCTTGTATCAACGACAACAACCTCGGTCGTCGACGATTGGCAATGAATCAAGTGTACTTCACAGCGTAAAGTTCCAAGTCCACGATTGGCAAAGGAACATAATACGGCCGCGGTATAGTAGCTCTGTACTCCGATACACGTTCAATCAGAGACTAGACAAATAGCACCGACAGAGCGTAGTTATTGGTCTCAAGAGTCAAGTATTGCAACAAGGAATAACTAATTTGATGGAATCACAAATTAATAAGGAGCTCTCGTATTGTGTAACAGGTCAGGCACACCCTGGTTCTTTTGCACCGTGACTTGCGGGAGGGCGAAGCATCTCAACTCGCATCGTCTCCCAAACGGCAGTCTTCACAAGTGTTATCTGAAGATAAAAGTATGTTTGATACGAGGGCAGGGGTCGGAAGAGTCCCGATACGTAGTACTCGTGGCAAGACCAGCAAGACGCCGCCGCCTGACCACGAAAGCTGGAAGAGCTCGCATGCTACGCCCCCTGATGGGGTTAGATCGTCGTGGACTCATGGCATCCGACTGATGGTCCGAATTATTAGCCTCTCTCCGTCTGAATGGCAGGGATATCGCTTTACACTACTCGTGGGGTTGAGCCCGGATTCGTCGGATTCTTTCGGATTCTCCCCGACCCAGCACATTCACCATCGACCGATACGCAAAGTCTTCATAGTAAAGGTTGTTATCTAAAATGGTGAATGGAGTTCAATGTATTCAATAGGAGCGTCTTATCCGACCGGCGGGCATGTCGGTCAGGTTCCCCGTTCACATGACCACGGCCATCGCGGGTCACGGATTCAATCCGATCGAGGTATTCTCTCCACATTCAAAGAAATAATGCTCAAGCTTTATCTCGGCTATAATACAATAATGGTTTAAACTTCAACACAATACTAGTGACTTGCTCAGCAGCTCTCATCTTACCCCGTCTCTCACCATCATGCTACCCTTTACCATCGACCCTGTTGGTGGTCTTTTTGTTTTCGGCCTCGCTTTGATCGCAAAAATTATTTGGTCCGCCTACTCAGCACAAAAGACTAGCTCGCTAGTTGCGAACAAAACAACCAGTACTGTTCGGGCTCTGCCGGCGGCCTGGTATAGGTCTGACGAGATTTACCAACTTGAAAGACGAGCCATATTTGCCAAGAAATGGATCCTGGTTACCCATCAGCTCAGATTCACTGAAAATGGCAACTGGATCCGATTCAAGGAAGCTGGTTTCCACTTCTTTCTTGTCAAAAACAATGAGGGAAAGATCAAAGGATTCCACAACATTTGTCGTCATCGGGCCTTTCCTATCGTAACGAAGGAACAAGGGAAATCCAGTGTCATGTCCTGCAAGTACCATGGTTGGTCTTACAGCTTGAATGGACAACTTGCCAAGGCACCGGGATATACCGACATGAAGGAATTCGATAAGTCTGAAAATGGGCTATTTCCCATCCATGTGCATCTCGACGCAAACGGATTCATCTGGGTCAACTTGGATGCTTCAGACAAGCCTGAGCCATTTTCTAATGAGTTCAATAAGATCGATGAGATGTCGAGACACAAGGCATTCGATTTTACGGAGTATCACTTTGACCACACGTGGGAAATGAGCGGCGACTATAACTGGAAGACGTTGGCCGACAATTACAACGAGTGCTACCACTGCAAGACGGCCCACCCTGACGCCGGATCCGTTGCTGATCTACAAGCTTACAAGGTTGAGACAAGAGGCGGAAACATCGAGCATTTTGCCAATACCTCGGAGAAACAAGCCGACGAGGGTTTGACCATCGTCAGCAACTATTACTTTCCTAACGCATGTATGACTGTATCGTGAGTATCCCCTTTACTCCTACCGAAACCAATGCGTCGGCGTCTAACAAACGCAGACCACACTTCTTTTACATGATGCGGTGCGTGCCGACCTCACCCTTCCACTCCTCGATGGAATACGAGGTCTATCGACACAAGGACGCCAGCGACGACGACTTTAAGAAAATCGACTCCATGTTCAAACGGATTTTGGGCGAGGACAAATGGCTTTGCAATAATGCACAGGAGAACTTGAACTCGGGCGTCTTTGTCAACGGAGAGATGCACCCGAGAATGGAGCAGGGGCCTCTGTATTTCCAGAGCCGAGTGCGCGAGCTTCTCAACCGCCACAAGAATCTTGAGGAAGCTGCAATGCGAGAGATCAATCCCGCTCAAAGAGCTTTGCCAAAAGGCGCTTCTGCAACTCAAAAGGACTTGGGTCTATGTTCGGGCTTGGCATGTAGCAATCAAGAGAGAGCCTTGGAGTGGTGAGCTGGGTCTTTTTCTGGGAGGTGCTCAGATGCAGCAGCATCAAGCAGTCACTAAAGAGTGAAAGAAATAGGGCTACATGTATGGTCAAGTGTAGTACAAATAAATTGTCAGAAGCGGCTAAGTGTATGGAATTATATTTCCAAGGTTTAAGTATACTGCATAGACAATATGACCCAGAAGCTCCTCGTCGCATCTGTTAGCCTTTTCGCTATTGCGGCGCCCAGCTCTGTGTCTTTCGAGGAGGAGTCGTTTCTCGCCGAGCAAAACATTCTCCAACGCTTGCCCAAGGTTCACGACCCCCTCGAGACAAGCTGCAGCCTCTTCTCGACTTTGACTCCGACCGCTGCTACAACACCGCCGCTATGGACCCTTCTGGCCGTATCAACTCCGGCAAAGGCGCAACCGGCACGCCTTATGGCCAGTGTTGTGATCCTCCCCAGCTGGATAACAGTAAGGCCTGTTCGCGTAAGCGATGTAACAACGGCTACTGTACCGTTATTTACGAGTACTGCTTCGAGAAGGACCAGGCTGTCGGAGGTAGCTGCGCCGGCGGACACCGCCACGGCTGGGATAACATTGTCGTCTTGTCCAAGGGCAATGCCGTATGCGTTCGTTGCGCCCTCGCGCTACGTCAAATACAATGGCACCAGCAATTTGTTCCCTCTTAACGACCACCATCCCTTGTTAGTCTACCACGAGGACGACGGCGGCTATTGCTCCCGATCGGCCAATAGAAATGATATCGCTCATCCTGAGAACCCATTCGGAGGCTTCTACTGTAGCCCGCTCGTCGGCTGGAACAAGGGGCCCAGCATTGGCCTCCGCAATAAGATGCTTAACGCTTGGAAGGGCAGTGTTGGTTCTAATTTGGATCATGAGTTTTGTGATTCGCTCGATGCTGCCGCCGGCAATGCTCTGCCAGGCTTCAACCTTTATATTGACTCGCAAGGGGCAAATTGGCCGCATCTTTAACATGACATGATCTAAACTTCTTGCGATAGGCGAACGTTAGCTGGGTAGCCTAAGTGCTTGGCACTCACACACTTTCATAGAACCCACTACCTACGTAGACTAGATAAGTGTCTCTTGTTGGCGATTGGCTATATGCGGTCGCCCTATCCACCTGAAACGCTTCCCATGGCAGACCGGGCGCTTATTCTCAATGTTAAAATAAACCCGGCGCCAACAGGCTCAGCTTGAACCCCTGCAAGAGGGAGCGTGACGGGTTGCAGTGCGGCTGAGCGACAAATACCCTGCCCGTGGTGATGACTGAGCTCTACGAGAGGAACAGGCCAAGTCGCGAACTAGATCGTCCTGGCCAGACCAAGTTCTTCTCTCCACTACACCAAAGAACCGAACCCACGCTACCTCCCCAGCCCAAGTAATGGAGCCCCAAGATGTGGCCCAGCCCGATAACTTCGCTCCGATCCTCCTCCACTCGGGGGTTTTGGATGCAAGGGGCATTGCCGAATTGCTTCGGGATGCTGATGGCAGGACCTACTCAGCAGCCCGGGCCGCCCGAGAGGACCCAAGCATCTCGATCCGTCTAGGTCACGACGGCGTGTACGTCGGGTGTAACCACGACGGCAATGGCGCGGCTGAGGCGTCTTCGCTGCGAGCAGAGGATCGTTGTTGTCACTTCTATCCCCATTCCACCGGGGAGCCAGACCAAGGTACGCGGCGACGCTACAGCATCATCACGCAGCTACAGGCCATCCATGGGACAGTTTTGCTGTTTCTGAACAACCTCTGTTCCATCAACATCGCCATCCTGGACGAGCGCAAGCAACGAGTCTGGTCGCGGGAGGCACACCTCAACAGAGGCATTCTCGGCAATTTGGCTATGCTTCGCACCGAAGAGTCTAAGATCACGCCTCCGCCCAAGACAACGATCACGAGCCGGTTCCACGTCGTTTCGTATATCCCCTCAGGCGTGTCAGGCCATGGCAAGCAGCCGATTGGCAGCGACCCGAAGCGGTTGGTTGATTCTTTTTCGACGCGAGTCACCCTCGCATTCCCAATAGATGAAAACGGAGACCCTGGGATGGAGAAGCAGGACTTGTATGTGGTCACTCCCATCCGGAAAGGACCTTTCAATGTGAGTCTGCGCTGTTGATTTCATCCTTATTCGGGTCTGATAGAAGCAGTTCTTGATGGACACCAAAATCCCTCGCTCTGCCGATGGCGATATCTTCTCGTACAGCTCGGGAGAGGGGATGTTCCGACAGGCCATCGTGGACGTTATCATCACGGCCATCCAGCAGCTCTGCAGGCATACCACACTCCGGTACAAGTGGATGCGTTATCTTCCTAACCAGGCAGCTCTTCGCGGAGATCCATTTTGGAGACAAGACACAACGTCAATTGCTGACGCGTTAAGCCGATTTCCCTTGCTTTGGACCGACAGTGGCGCCAGTCATGGACAACTGTGCAGAATTTCCCAGCTGCGCAGGCTTGGCGAGGACGAGGTCGACGTTGACGGCCGTCCTCTGTTCCCAGACCTACCAGAAGAGCCGATTTATCCATCCGTCAAGTATGAGCGCAGAGATGTTGATATTCTCGCTGAGTACGGCCTCGCAGCGGCGCAAACCCAGGATCTCATACCAAGGCTGCGGGCTCTCACAGAGCGTGAGGCCTGGAACGTCAAATTCTACCAGAATCGTGATGAGGACTGGCACTCGCGCGTGGCTCGGTGGGTGCTCGGCGCTTGGGAAGACCGACTCGAGGATTGGAAAGATGCCCTCAAGACGATGCGGCTTTTGCCCCTCGCTTCTAGGCAATTGCTGGCTCCGGCCAATGTCAGCTCAAAGGTCTACTTTCCGGATATCGACGGGATACCCATTCCGCCAGATGTTTCTCTTGTCATGATACATCCCGCGGCAGCCGCCAATCCCGATTGTCGGAAGCTGTACCAAGCGCTGGGCGTCGTCTCCGCGGACCCTGCAACAGTTAGAGCACTGCTCTCACCCAAGAACACGTCTGCGCGGCAGACATCGGGTCCTCCATCAGCTCCAGAAGTTGCAGTTCCGGACACTCACGTTGAATATCTGTATCTCATGCACACCGGAGACGGCATGTTCGACAATGACACCGGCGACCTCACCACCGAGTGGCTCTACATCGCCAAAGACCAGCCGGAACGGCTCCTCTCACGTCTTTACAACGACTATTGCCACCCTGCGGGCCGGAAAGGATGGCAAGCCAGCGAAGACAAAACAAGCGTCATTCGACAGACAGAAGTTACATGCTCAAGCGGCGTCAGCCGATTTGTTTGTGAGACATATCTCCCTTTGCCTTCGCTGCTGAGGCGATGTGCGAACTGGCTATCGGGCGACCCAGACAAAACACTGCCTTTCCTGAAATCGGAAAAGCCACTGACGGAGCTCGCGTGCAAAGAAGAAGCGTGGACTAAACTTGGTATGAATTTCGACATTTTCACTGAAGACAACCTGTTCTTCACCCTTGAAGTTCTTGAAGCCGTCATGGCGGAGGATGTGCGGCCTAAAGAAACACTAACGCAGACGGTTATTGCTATTTACCTGAGACTGCTTGAGCAATGCGACGACTTTGTGGGAGCTGAAGAAGAAAATAACGGGTTCCGACGCGTAAGGTACGTATGCAATTGCTTGAGTCGGGCAGTCGCGAGATGCCAAACGCAGGCTGAACTGACTTTTTGCACCAGATCTTGGTTTTCTGACAATCCAGGGGTTCTCTGCACGCCCAAAGTGGGAGGTCCGGACGACGACGCTTCTTCTGTCATTCCAGAATGGACGTTCCCATCAGCTTGCAGGTGGAGTGTCTCCTCATTCTCGACGTCGAGCGCCGAGTGGACGTTGAAGGATGTCTGGGACCCGGTTCTTGAAAGTCTTCAGCCAGAGGACCGCCAGAAATTGGAGCATTTCTTCCGCGACGTGCTGAGGATTTGGAACGTTGCTTACGTCGACATAAAGACACCCCTAGACTCTTTAACCTCGTTGGCTCAGCCTCGGTTCAGGTTCAACCACCCCGATGCAGAGACAAGAGCGTATCACATGTACACCGAACTCAAGCAGCTTGCCCAGGGAGCAGACGAACCGGCCCTCAATCTTATCAGGTCAGTTACTGTTGCGCTGCAGATTGATTGTCACCGACGCGAAAGAAGCCTTGCTCATCCAATTAACCTCCCAGGAACACCTTTAAAGACAAACCACTCATCTATGTGAACTCTAAGGCAGTTACAGGGAATCCGTGGTTCAGGGCATCCGAGTGCGTGTGGGCGAGTGATGTCGCCGCAGCCCTAGACATGCCATGCCTCGAACCAACGTACCGCGACTTGTCAAGCTTGTTTATGGAGGTTCTCCAAATATCTAGTCTAGGCTTTTCGCAGATCCTCCAACAACTCGCCACGATTCGAAGAAGCAAGGCCGATCTCTCGGTCAACCAAGCGAAATTGCTCCTCGAGTCTATCAATGATCTTATGCTAGCGCTACCGGGCGAGTCCAATACCGCAGAGCATCGAATTTCCCAGTCGAGCATGGAGGTCTTGAGAATAGAGTTGCGAGACGTTCGTGTCTTTCCCGTTCGCATGCGGGACGGGCCAGTACAGCTCCTGACGGCAAACGACAACTTTGCCATCTCGGATGAATATACCTGCGAGGAAATGGTTCGAGGCAAGATGGACATACTTGATTTCGACGTTGACACGGTAAGGCGTCTCGATCCGCTTCTCCGAGCTACCGGCTTGGCAGAAAAGTACATGTCACAGTCCATCTACGTGACGGGTCAGGCTTCTATATACAGAATATTCGAGTTGGATCAGACGCTCTCCTCTACCATATGCCGCAGAGCTGCCGTTTGGACAAGGTAAGTCTTCTTGCTAATCGAATCCGCAATCGTAGACCGGACTTGTGTGTCTACTTTTCCATGATGTGCTAACAACCATATCTGCGGACAGCATCGCGGCCCATTACAACAGTCCTCGTGTATCTGGGGGGACATCCGAGCTTCGTGATACCCTTAGCAACTTGAGAGTCTTCAATTTCATCAAGCCAATGCCAGCATCGGTCTTGGCTCGGAGCGAGGCCGAAACCGATAGCCCGCTTCGCATAGAAGAGGCCGTTAGCGGCAAGCTGAGGATTTATATCCCCGCGGCCTCGGAGTACTTTGACGACAGAGAATACTGTCTCGCCTCACGACTTCCGCTGGAGCTTGCGGCGTATCTGATGAAGTGCAAGCCCAGTATAGTCGATCCCCGGATCGTATGCACCGTTGGGAGCGTCCTCCAAGTCCAGCCCAAGACGGCCCTCCGAATCCTCCGCGACAAGGCGATTCCCTTTCTAGGCCCAGCGTTTGATGAAGCCGCTCTGATGGCCGATCAATCGAATCCTCGTATGAGCGTGGCTCCGAAGAAGAAGATCAAGCCTCGCGTCCGGCTTCCGCCAGCCGCCACGACGCCGAAACTGCCCAAAGACAAGGCGTCAGTCCCGCCGAACCCGAGTGATTCTCAGAGCAAAGATGCATTGCCCCCGCGGGATTCTCCTCTAAGTCTGGACGACTTACTCGGAATGCCTTACCCGCCTCGAGTTGTTTCGACACGGCAAAATCATGATCTAACAGCAGACCCAGCATACGTCCACCTTCTCGAGCACGTTGTTGCAAAGGCCCGCGTCGCGCAGTTGCCGTACGAGAGCGCTGCCTTTGACATGTCAACACTCCTTGATGTGGTAGATAACAAGTCGACAACAGAAAAGGCATTTTCTTTTGTCACCGACGACCAAACTGACTGGCAACGTATGGTCGGCGCGGCGGGTGAACTCTTTGTAAGTCTCGAATCCACCGTCAACACTCCAACGCAATCAATTATTGCTACGAAGAAAGTCTTTGACTAAGATTCGCACGCAGACATTCGAGCTCCTCTTGGGACTCAAGCCGAAGCTCCCTGACTTCTCAAGGGATAACTGGGAGAGCGTAGTGCGCCACTTCGCCGCAGCGCACCCAGAGTATGAGAAACTGACCAAGAACTATGTTCCCGAGCAGTCGGACATCTTCTATCGGGATTCAAATAGTGTGTTGACTGCGGCGTTCATCGAACGGGGCTACCTTGATGAGACCTGGCGCGGCTCCACGCCAGATTACTACATTGAGGTCAAGGCCACCATGCGGAATCTTGAGAAGTCGTTCTATATGAGCAGTTATCAATTCGATCAGGTGAGTCTGACAGCCAAGTCATGGCTCCCAACGTAGCTTCAGGGATGTCACCCCGTTTGTCTCGCGTCTGGACCGATGCTAGTTTTCGACAAAACATGCCACGACAACTCCCGTTTTCTCTCTATATTTATCCAGGCGGGTGCTGATATATTGAACGCAGATGAAATCCATTAAAGAAAGCCAGGAATATCGACAGAAGAAACAGCTGTATGTCATTTTCCGCGTGTACGGGCTGAACTCTGGCCACGTCGGCGTCAAGGTGTACGCCGACCCTCTTCGGGCTAAAGAGGAGGAGAGATTGGATTTCGAATTGACAAACGGAAGTTGGACGGTCACGCCGCAAACATCACGGACGCATCCAGCACCACAAACACCGGGTCTCTCTACGTGGGCGCCCGTCGGCGGAACAGGTTCAACGTTCGATTTTGGAGGGGCTTCCGTTGTGTTTGGACAGTCACCTGGTTCTTTATAAATATATGTAGTGGTGGTAAGTTGAGTACTAAATACATAACTATTTTATAAAGTCTAAGTTTTAGGTTGATTCAATCCTTGGGATATTTATAAATAAATAATTACGTTAAATTTATGAACTATTTCAATATATACACAAACTTATTTAGTCTTTTTAGTTACACTCGATATTATCAGATAGATAATTACGCAACAGTATTTTTTTTATTATCCAACTTATGCCTACAGATTAGAAGTACTGGTATGATATTATTCTAACCCTATATAAAGATTATGTCTTGAGAGATTGCCTTAAACGATCAAGAGCTAATTGATCCCTCTCCCGGGAATCAGAGTCCTCAATCTTTTCCTCTATAGGCTTGGAAAACTCCAGTATAAACTGTAACATCCAACGATCTAGACGAAACGAACTATTTGTGCTTTTTAGGCAGGCATTGTGAAAGGCTCTCAATCGACCGATTGAAGCTGACACAACAGGCCAGTACGAACGAAGAGTTGTAAGTGCCTCAAAGTTAGACTCGAGGCGAGATTTTGCCATCGATATCTCTTTGTTGTCGGCACTGAAAAGCACAGTGTGAAGTTGTGTTGTTGAAGCGAGCACAAGAACATGTCCGAGTAGGGAGTATAGGACATCAGTATCTGGTCGCTCCTTTGCCTGAGATACAATTTTGCAAATGTTTGCAGCATGACTTTTACACTTTCTAGCATTAATGTGTGCAGAATTGACGGGCATTTCTTCAGCAGCAGTTTCGCTGAGATGCAGAAATTGGTAAAAGAGAAGCTGCCCAGCATGGTTGTAGTTGATGTGGAGGCTTATAAATATACGCCCGAATCCTTTGCCAGCCCAGTATTTTAAGTTGGCTTCGGTGTACTGCATCTGAGGCGGCATCTGAGATACCCAATCGTCAAGAGACATAGATAGAGGATGTATCAGGTTTTCGGCCGTTTCGGTATTTGGTTGTTCGGCTACAATTGTGACGCAGAGATTGTTGATGTCGTTTAAGAGACTGTTAAGTCTCACCATATGAGCAAGCACCGAAAAGTGAACATCCTCTCTTTCAGTCAATGTTATGTCGATGGAGGGGCCCAGCTCTGCCAGGTCACCTGGCTGAAGTTGTGCAAAGGTCAATTCGCTCATTGGCAGCGGAACTTCCTCCCTTGGCTTGATTGTCCTCGGAAGACAAAGAGCAGAGGATATCCAGGTATCTGATGTGATCAAAGACCACCAGACTATAAAGAGGAAACGTCAGCGTGTTGTCTGGTATGCATGTGGCTTACACACCTCTGCGATTTACTTCTCGCTCAATTTGCGTCATTACTGGAACATTGGGGAGATCAATCAACATAGCCATTCGACAGGCGATGGCATAGTAGATAGACTCTGTGCTTGGCTCCCCTTCATTCACAAAGTTGGCCGCCAATAAAATGCATGCCTGAACAGTTGTCAAAGATATCTCGTGCAAGTCAAGGAGTCTCTCCGCTTCCCTGGCATAAGGGCGGCCGCGAGCCCATACATCAATACCAGCGAGGCTCTGATGTGACGAGAACCGAGCAGAGAGAGCGATAACTCCAAAGAAGAGGATCTTGGGCACGGAACCATCTTTGACAGCTGCTGTAAATGTTGCCTGATGAAATATGTTGGGAAAGGAGACGTGGATATACCGAAAATACAATTCTACCAGTTCCTCGCACAAGGCTTGATCCGGAATAAATGCAGCTGAAGTCTGAGCTGTGATGGTACCCTGACGATTGACAAGAGGTTCGTAGGCTATGATGACAGACTGCGTCGCTTGACGACTAGCAGAACACGTCAAGTTTCGCTGAATGCAAAAACTGCAACTCGTACCCTGACGAGACTGGTAACATTTCTTTCGTCGACTCCTGCAAGCGGTGAGATGTGTGTTGAGGGTGGCACAAGGTGCAATGTGGACTAGTACCTACCGACAAGCCAAGCAAGCTGATTGAGGTCTCATGAGTACGAAGATTGTACTGGCACAAGAAGAAAAGTGGAGGTCGTTACAATGAGATCTTGTTCCCCAATATTTCACTGATCAATGCTTGTTCATCAAGACTTTACCTTTCTAATCCGTATAGGTGAGGGGTTGGACAAAACTCACCTCGGATGTCCTTCTCAAGTCGGCTTTACTGGCCCGTGATTTCTTCCAAGCTTACCATTCCTCCCCAGTTTCTTCCCGCCGGACACATGGATCGGCGTCCACATCCCTGGAAGCCCTTGTATCATGCCCCCCTCATCGCTCACAGATCCTCCGGGTTCTTCTGTTAGTTGCTGACGCTATGCCACAACTAGGCTGGCGTGGTGTATCTGCAGCGAAGGAGTACGCAAATACGCGTATTCGTGTTTATCGTACAAAATAGCACTTGCATTCCCCATCTGTGTTATTCAGGGATTCAAGGGTGGGAGTAGGGTCCTTACGGTAGCTTACTTGGCATATTTCTTTCTCATTCAAGCTTGCGTTCAAATGTTGAGCCGGTCGGTTGACTGCGTTTGGCCGTTTTACCCTCGGAACGGGTTTCTGAAGCATCGCGCATTTGGTCCTAACTTCCTCGTGCTCATCTGACATGTTGCTCACGGTCAAAGGTTTAGTCGACCAAGAAGAGCCCAGTTTTACAATACGTGGTTGATTGTAATCCTTGCAAAGCCGCCAAGTTTTCCGACGTGCAGCGTCCTACGACCCCACTCGAGCAACACACCACAACCCCCTTCTTTCTCTCGGCATTCGGTGTAATCCATAGCGTCGGTTCGTTCGCCAGGCCGAGCCCGAGCTATGGATCGACTCTGGGATGGGGTGTGGCAACTTACATATTTGCGTATGACCTGTATTACCCCGCGTCGTTCCCCAGACCGCTCTCACGGGGTCCGCTTCGGCTCTTCAACACAGCCAAACGTGCCGAGCTAAGCACAAGTTTGAGACTTAGCTATGACAAGACGAGTAAACCGCTACTCTCGGATGTTGACTTGGAAGTAACTCGAGCGGGGTGAGTAGGCACATGTTTAGCCGAAAACGCTGAAGTTCAGGACTCTAAATGCAGATAAAAGGCAGTAGGTTCGAGTCGTAGTGAAGTCCGGGAAACTACAGCGAACATCTTAGAAACCAACAAGCTTCACTCTATTCATCATGAGGATTCACATTCTGAACTCCGCTCTCCTAGTCTGTCTCTTGTCCAGTTCCGGACAAACATTCGAAACTGGGCCCCAGAACACTGACAGAGGCTCAAGGTAAGGCAGAGTCCACATCACTTGCCCGTACCATCGCTTACACTCTCCAGGCAAACTCACTTCCATCCAGTGGGGCTCGCGTTAGGTAGTCAACCGTCAATTAATGGTGGAACTTTCCACCAATTCTCATTAAATCAGAGCGTACCATTCGCGACCTTAGACTATGGCGTTGAGGTTGCTGGCTATCCGTCATTTGAGATCAAATCTGTGTCAGGTCCGGTGCAGATTGAGGTCAAATACTCCGAAGAAGCGTCAGGACTCAGTCAAAACTTCTCGGATGGGCCGTTTCCCTACGCGGTTGCACTCGCAAACACGTATCGAGTCGAGACGTTTGAAATCACAAGACCAGGACGAATCGACGCCTTCCTGCTCCAAGGTGGCCAAAGATGGCAGTCGATTAAGCTCATCACAAAGGGCAGTGTTACTTTCAAATCGGTCGGCTTTACTGCAAGCGTCCCGGTTGTCGATGTGGATGATCTCCCTGGAAGTTTCTTATGCGACGATGAAGTTCTTAATGAGATTTGGAAGGTAAGTCTATCCCCGAGCGTCTATTCAAATAAGAATCTAATTAAACTGATGCAGCTTGGGGCAAGAGCCGCTAGTATGTCATGCGTAGAATCTGGAAGTCAAAAGACCATGTGGGAGATTGACCGTAAGAATGGTGCATTCGTTCGAGGTATGCGATCAGGCATCACTGCCTTGGGGGCCTTCTTTGAGAATTATACACTGGAATTCGACACAAAGGTCGACAAAGGTGGCATTGGCTGGACCGTGGTATGAGCTTCTCCCTTTTATTGTCATGTTTTGCATCCACTAACAATTGCATCTAGGCATTCCCACTTGCCTCGCCTGCCCAGGGTATTCAACTTAACTTAGTCGCCGACAATCAACCATACGCAAACGCAAACAAGACCTTGATGCGTCCAAACTCGATTCTCTTCGGCTACGGCTACTCGTTCGTCAATGTTACGACGCTTCCATCATGGCATCTAGACACGTTCAAGGTGCCTTTTTCTGTCAAGGACAACAAGTGGTATAGAGTCAAGACTGTCCTCAATGGCAAAAGCATCTCCGTGTCTATAGACAATGTTGAGATTTTTGATGTTCCACTGAGCAGCTACCCAGTTGGCTCCAGCCGATTTCCAAGTGGCATCATTCCTAGCAAGGGTTCATTTGGCTTCGGCGGCTGGCAGGACCAAGCGGGTTACTTCAAAAACGTTGTTGCCTACGACACTGCGAACAAAACTGAGATATATCGGAACCCCCTGACAGATGCTTCCGAAGATGGTGTGGTGAGAGAATACGGCGTCCGTGCCAATTATAAGGGCGCCTGTCTGGACGGCCCAAAGCGTGATCGTCTCATTTGGCTAGGCGATTTCCTGCATACCGTCCGGGTCATTGGAGCCAGCACTTCGAGATTTGACTTGGCTCGAGAGACTCTCCAGACTCTTCTTGATTGGCAAACGTCGAGTGGGCTGCTTCCCTACGCTCCTCCGCTTGGGTATGATCCTGTGGAGGCATCGTACGCCTTCGCTCGGGGTGGAGCATCTTACTTCATGGGCCAAGAAGTGTATGGAATTATTCTACCCGACTACCAGATATTAGGCATATTGTCTTTTACAGAGTATGTTCGGATGACCAACGACTTGAAATTCGCAAAGAAGACTTGGTCTCAGTGGAGGTCTAACTTGCAATACCTCACGAGCAACATTGCCTACAAGACCACTGGACTACTCTCATTGCCTGGGGCATTCCTAGGCCCTTCCCATGAGGGCTCTGCAATTAATTGTGCCCTCTTGCAGGCCTTGTCACAGATGGCTGATGTCGCAACAGCTATCAACGAGAAATCAGATGCAAACAACTACCGAGGACTAGCGAGGAACCTGACACTGGCTGTGAATGATCATCTCTGGAATGAGAAACGTGGTTCATACAGCACCTCAACCACCGATTCAGATGGGGTCTCTGTCAACAGTATTGCGTTCTGTATCACGTCAGGAGCTTCCAGCCGGGTCAAGGCGGCTCGTCTTCTTGCATCACTCGAGGGTCTGGAGCTTCACCCTGGATACAAGGATTCAACTGCCAGCGATTCATCTGATCCTGATGTCAATATTTCACCAAATACGAATGGGTTTCTACTTTCGGCTCTCCTCGTTCAAGATTCAGCAGCTGCAGCAACCACGTCGATGAGTCTGATCAAGAGCCTATGGACCCCGATGATATCAAACAAGGAAACAAGTACCGGAGCTAGCTGGGAATACGTGGGTCAAACAGGCAACCCTGGCCTAGGACTTTTTACCAGTCTCTCGCATCCTTGGGGTGGCGCTCCAACCTACATCTTAACTCGTGCGGTGGCAGGTATCCAGCAAGCTGAGGGTGTGGATGGCTTCGGGTATAAGAACTGGGTCATTTCTCCTCAAATGGGACTTCATATGGGCCTTAAACGAGCGACAGCAAAAGTCTTGACGGCATTTGGTACCCTTGAAGTCAAATGGCAACTGAGTGGCGGCGTTTTGAAGGTTACAATCAGGGCTCCCAGCAAAACAAGAGGTGTCTTCAAGCTTGGAAACACAATCAAGAGACTTTCAGGGAGGGATTACTATAGTTTTACCGCAAAATTGTAGTGCTAGATTTGTTTTCCCACGAAGCACAAAACAGAAATGTCCATCAACGTTACATTCTACAGTGTCGCTGCACAGGATTGTGATGGTGCCAGAGTGCCCTTGAAGTTCAGAGTAAACTATGATTTAGCCAGCTAGCAATGTATTTTCTTACACCCGCTGCCTCTGCGTGATCCTCAACGAACAAACCTACTTTCCCCTTCATTCTCTACCAGAACGCCTCTCTTCCCCCCCTGTTGCCTGGCGAAGTTCCCGCAGTAGCTTCTTTATGGGTTTCTGTTTCCCACCTGCGCTGACACTTTGGGGATCGTTACGCGCACTACTTATAGACATACTCTACCTATTCCTTGACCAACTATTTGTTCCCATGCATCCCTTCAACGTAGCTATCCGACCTTGAGGGATGGGCTCTGATCGCAGCAGCTACACCTGCAATCTACGAAATATCCACTCACAAAATTTGAGATCAGCGAGCTTAGTGTTTATACAGAAGCTGCATAGAAGATTCCATTAAGAATGAAGAACCTTTGCTGCACTTCACCTCTCGATGAATGATGGATCTCAGCTATAGGGTAAGTGACATCTCGAAATTGGAAGGCTTATATTCCATGATCAATTGGACTGGTATTTCACGCGTTGAGGTGACATGAGGAATGCCTAATCCAGCATAACTCACCACCGCCAGGACTGCAGGGTGTCTCTAACAAAGTGCACCGAATTGTAAAAATCCATTCCGGGGCTCGTGACAAGATGCGTTGTTAGCGCTGTTGGCTCGTTGACTTGGCATCACAATTGTGGGCGAGCTAAGGGGATCCTGGGCAAACTAGTATTTCGCAATACGAGTATTCGCTTAAAGTCGGCGCTGACTCCGCGCCAGACAGGTGGGATTTCCAAACCCCCTGCTACAGAGAAGCTCATCCATTGATGTATGGATCATGTCACTTGAGCACACTACTGCCTGCGCTCGTATTCCATCCAATGCACGAGCGAGCTTTTAGCAAGATGGCTCGGCAATGGGCAGGCCAAGCTAGTGACTCACAGTATTGAAAAGAGCCAAAATTATCTCGTGCTCTTCCTGGTACCAAGTAAGAAGCTCTGAGCACCGAAACTGAGAGTGGATTTACGGCTGTGTTGATCGCCGATGAGCCAACACTTGAACAGATTGTAGATAAAATTGCTTGAAATTGGCCAGAAAACTACGAATCTGTCAGACGAACAAATCAGACGCAAGTATTATGATGCGCCCGAGCAGTTATTTACGGTCATACAGTAATGAGCCGTAGAGATAATATTATCCTTGGTGTTTGTTATAAACTTTTTACTCAAGGTGCACAAGTAACGATTTCATAGAAATTGTGAATAACCCATCGCCATGGTAATCTCTTGCGTAATTTCTCCAGGTGTCACATCAAGGAAATAATTAGATATAGTTGGATATCGATGAAATACTCACGGCGAAACCCCGCTTTCTCAGCATGATTTCGTTATTCCAAGCTCTTATCAAATCCGGCCTCTCTGCGCCTCTGAAAAGATTGCTTCAAATAAGAAGCAGACTTTTTCGGGGTTCGTACCAAGGTTGTGTAATCAACGTGAGTTATGCCAAACCGTGGGCCATAACCGGCGGACCATTCTAGCAGTTTGTCAGCTAACGTTTCACATGATAAGCCAAAGAAGATGCTGGCAGCATACCGTAATTATCCATCAAACTCCATGCGTAATAGCCTTGCACCGTCACGCCATCGTCGTAAATAGCTCGGGATATGGCATCCAGGTACAAGCCGAAATACTTGATACGGAACTCATCATTCACAGCTTGCTCCAAACTCATGGTGCTTTCACCAGGACATGGGCAACCATTTTCAGTGACGACAATAGGCAGATGGTAACGGTCCCAAACCCACTTGAGTAGCTTTTGGAATCCTGTCGGTGCAACTCGCAGCCATGACATCCCGGACACAGGCCCAATCTCCTTACCCTCAATGTTGGTGGGCAGCTCCTCGACATTTCCTGTCCAGTCATCGTCGACTGGGGGTTCCGGTAGCGCTCGTGCATACTTTGTCGTGTAGTGATTCATACCATAGAAAGCGTTTATGGGGGCAGTCCGGCGAACAAGGTCCAGTTCCTCGGATGTGAACTCTGGAAGTCGATCGGCGAGCTGGGCGCGCATCGCTGGAGGGTAATCCTGGCCCAGAAAGATGGGATCGCCAAACCATCCAATATAAAACTCCATTCTTCTCTGTGCAGCTGCCGTATCGGCCTCGCTATGAGTATCGTATGGCTCATAGTAATGGCCGTTGAGCACTATCGAAATGGTGCCTTGCTGGGATGGTTGGAAGTCTGATGCGTATGCGTAAGTCGCAGCAGCATGTGCTAGGATCATGCTATGCCCAACACGCCAAGGTTCCGTCTTGCTATCGCCGCCTGTCTGTGTACTGCGACCAGGAGCAAGAACGCCACTGTGGTGCCCAAACACCGAAATGATATACGGTTCGTTGAATGTAATCCATTTCTGGACCCTGTTACCAAATGTAGAGAAGCAGAGTCGTGCGAATCGTTCAAAATCCGCTTGAAACTCTTTGCTGTTTAAAAAGCCTCCATAGCGCTCGTAGAGCGATTGAGGAAGATCCCAGTGGTAGAGAGTGACAACCGGCGCAATATTGAGTGAGACGAGACGATTGATGAGATTATTGTAGAAGGCGATTCCAGTCTCATTAACTGGATCATCTCGTCCCCCCAGAGGAATAACTCGAGTCCACGCAATGGAGAAACGGTAGACGTCCACTCCATATGAGGACATTAAATCAACGTCCTCGGTCATGCGGTTGTAGTGATCGCAAGCAATGTCAGCATGCTCCCCGTTCGTTTGAGAGGGTACCGCGTGAGAAAAAGTGTCCCATATTGACTTCCCCTTGCCATCTTGGAAAGCCCCGCCCTCGATCTGATATGCTGCTGTAGCCGTACCCCAGACAAAGTCGGGTGGCAGCGGGAGCTCTTGGGCGTTGATACCATCGAGAGTCGATTGGCTGTTGCGAATGCTGTTATTTTCAGCTTTGAACATTGCTGCAAAGGGAACGTAGGAAAAAGGGTATAAGTAATTTTATTGTGTGAGATTGTTGGGAGTACTGGAGAATGGGTGCATTTGCGGTCGGCAGAGTTGGGAAACGTGGCTCCGATACTAATATTGTCTTGGGCTACGTACCTGAAAGTACTTGGTAATCATGATGTCCCCGCTAGAATTGAATAAACGGATACAAACGGGGCGAATTTTGTTGAACTGAGATCATATGGTATGGGGAGTACTGTTGAATATGAAGTCACCAATAGAACCCTTGCAATGCCGCCAAATTTCCCGACGCAGAGTTCTATCACACATCCGCTGCTACCTCGTAGGCCTAAACATACAACTACTGCAGGGATTAAGTGCTTCTCCGCGTGATTTAACCAGTCTCAAGTGAAATTTTCCGACGCAGAGTTGCGCCAAAATATCCCAGTCTCATGCACGGCGAGAACGGAATACACTGCTCCACCCTCTTCGCTTCCTTTTCCGCTCCCCGCACTCTCCCCACGCTCTCGCCGCCCTGTACCCTGTCAGCACATCACGTTGCCATGGGTCTATAGCTTAGTTAGTATCCCCAGAAGTATAGGTACAATGCTTCGTCTCAGCAACTTTGTACTACCGGGATACGCTATTCCTAAGTGGAGTTGTGGTGTGGTATTCTCGCCCCCATTTCGGATTGGAACACACCGGCTATTCGTAAGTCATCAGCTGATGACCTCTGATCAGTAAGCCACGACGTTGGCACTTTGGACTTGAAGGTTCGGCGAGCAACGCGTTGAGAACTGTTCTCGGCTATTGAATCTGTTTACGTCGGGTCCTCCTATGCCCACAGTGCATGGAAACTTTGACGCAGAGATGTTATTGTTATGGACTTGGTGGCCAAGCTCCGGACCCAAGTGCAAGGGCAATTGTGCACTAAGAGGACTCAATCGTAGGTTTGCGCCATCTTCCACGGTCAACTTCCCGTTTTGTAATACCCGGTCAATTTAGTATCTTGGAGTGATTCTCGTAACAAGCTGCATCATGGGTAGACGTGCTGCTCAATTCAGGCTACAAATAGGTAGTTCAACCCTACCGCCAACTAATGGGGGAGAGAATCTTCCCATAGAACTCTCTTTTTCCTCTGGTAGAGGCAAACTTCATCATCATTGTTCATACGTATCTCTATATCCATCATGGCTACCTTCAAAATGTCTAGCAGGGTGCCATCTCTTGTTGGCTTTACGGCCTTACTCCTACCACTCCTACCCGTGGTTCCTGGCACCTTCATACCACCCCCTCCAAATCCAGAGGCAATCGAGGTCACCGAGCTTCGATTGCCTCCAGCCATTACGAGCCATGAAATTGGCGCTTGCAGTGATGAGATGAATCCGCACCGTACAGGCTGTATTCACCAGACCACAAACTTGCTCGGAGGAGGTTTCACTCCAGATGGCTTGGGGGTTTGGGCTGGTATGGACTTTGCTGGTGCACCAGAGTCGCCCGACCCAGGCAACATTTACAACGGCACGCACTTGGTGTTAATCAAAGCTGACGGCTCAAACTTCACCAATGGGGACTCGTGGAAGTGCATCACTTGTGGTGTACCAAAGGAGAACGGCAAATTCAATGACGGAGATCATCTTGAATATCCACAAGCCTTCAAAGATGGGACTCGGGTCCTAGCTGGAAGCTACATTATCGATTGTGGCGGAATCAGCTTTGCCAGTGAAGAGTGCACGCCCAAGCAAGTACACATCTACCCGATCTATTGGCCAGTCACAGTGGATGGAACTGGAGCAAGTGGTTCCATTCGCGAACTGCGTTTGCATCCAGATGATGTCCATCTGGCCTGGAGCTCATTGAGTAGCGCTGGGCAGACAGCCTTTGTTGGTCGACTGAGCTTGAATGAGTTGCCCACGACCGGAATTCCATTGGCACCAAGATATGACCTCACTCATGTCAACGTCCTGTTCGACCCGAGCCGCAGTAGTTCGATTACTGTCGAAGGTGGCAAGATGCAGATCAGACCTGACGCCATTACTATCGGAGAGGTCCGTGGCTTCAGCGGCACTGGTGCTGAAGTCACCTACGTTGGGTATCCCGCCGAGTCGTGTAACATGGACGTCTTCGCCATAAATCTCTACACGGGAAAGATTCGTCGATTGACCAGACATCCGGAATACGCCGATCCAGTTGATATTTCCCCCGATGATAAGTGGACTGCAGTTATGGACACTCGTGGCAGCAATCGCCAAATGTTCATGGCAGGTATGAGGCAAATTCCACCAGTCATCGACCTGCTTGTGACAGCGGCGGCCTCTTCCACTCGCAATAATGGAGAGAGGCGCTTTTTTCAGCCGTATTTGATCGACAGTTACGGAGATCGTGGGTCGTACTTCGGGCAACAGATCAATGCAGCTGGGAGCGGCATCCCGGGCAGTGGTGCCATCAACGATCCGGAGTGGAATGGAAGGGCTGATCCCAAGTGGTCGCCTGGAGGGAACCGCATCGTCTACTTCCAGGCACTGACTCTGTCTCCTGCTTGTGGAGGCGAGAACCCACTCCCATGCTACTCATCCACTGCAGAGGGTGGACGTGACCGTCGTCTGATGGTTGCTGATCTGGTTAGTCGACAGCCTAAGGAGCACCCGCCAGTTGATCTCCTACCCGACACTATCCCCTGGGCGATTCCATACGAGCTTGGTAGCGCTATGCCAGTGGCACTGCGTCCTCCGAGAGGAAACTTCACGCTAGAGGGCTTGGAGACGGGATCTGCAGATGTCATGATTGTGGAGGATGATTCCAGGACAAGCATCACCACTGTCAGGGTCACTTATCATGAATTTTCCAACGACGGGCTTCTCTTCTTGAATGGGAACGAACAAGTGACGTATAGAGTGGAAGGAAATTCTCTTCCGATACTGGAGTGGCATTCCAACCTCACCCAGCATGGAGAGACTAATGGTACAAAGATGACAAGTCCGGGAGGGTTCTTTTTGACTGTTGATATGTTTCACAATGTATTTGAAGCGAATGGAACACTAACCACCACTCTGGACGGTGTTGTATACACCCAACCTCAAAATGGAGCCTAAAAGGTGTATGAGGTGGCGTCATTCATTTTTAGCTAAGACACTAAGCTCATAGGTCCTAAGAATGGGCTGCGTTGAGGCGATGATTTTACATCATGACATCCATCGAGTACTCCAACAAGTATTTGAAGCATGTTCAACAGAGTGGTAGAAACGGAATTGATCAATTTGTTTTATGAAATGGTGTAACCGTTTACGCCTTGACTCAAGTCCATGTCGTGCTACAAGGTTGTCTTGGCCCAAGTTGTGACCTGATCATTTCTCAAATCTAGACGGTTAACCCGGAAACTATTCGCTAGCCTCGCTATAGTTGATGCCGAGAATCCTTGTTTCTTGTTCCGAACCCGGGGGAACTCGGGGATGACCAGGTTCGATCTGGAGACAATTCTGCCATGTAAGTACGCCGTGGGTGGATTTACCCGAAGACCCATCTGCTAATGCTACCCCCCATGGCCCCATGGGGCCCCATGTTTATGTCCATCCCCCTCACCATGCTGCAGTAGCGTGATAAGAGTGACCAGGAGTTTTGTACTAGCCCACCCTCCCGATCATATCCGACTGGATGTGTTTTCTATTGCCACAGCTGATCACGGCCATGAGTTGCCCATGGTAGCAACGGGGAAATGAGGCTGCAGGTAGCCCAACGACGAACCGCTACCTGCTCCTGGTAAGGTGCGCATATGAGGCGTTCTTGAGCAGCCTCCCCTCGTCGAACTTGCAATGTGGTTCAGTCAAATGATACGCAAGTTGTGCAACGCGGGGTTCCGGTCTCACGAACCATAAAAGCGCTGAATTCCCTGCTGTGCTAGAGGAAGTCTGATTTTAACCACTTCACTCACACTTGATCATCACCCTTTTATTTGCTACGCCTACAAGTAACCCCTTACCAGTAGTTCCATTCTACTACCATCATGGCCATCGATGTGGAACCACGCAAGGTTGTGGCGACCGAAATTGACCATGTGTCCTCCAAAGATTTCGTTGAAACCAACCCAGCTGGGGCTCAGCTTGCCGCCGTCACTGAGGCGGACAAATCTTCGATGATGTCCAAGGGCATGAGGAAGCTCTGGGCTGTTGTGAGTCCCATCCTCGACTAAGTTCCTAGGTTATCGACTCTGATATTGGTGCAGTGTTTCGTCAGCTATTTCATCTCTACCATGAATGGTTTCGACGGTTCTCTAATGGGATCTGTCAACGCAATGGAAGAATATCAAAAGACCTTCGGCTTGGATGGCGCTGGTGCCAGTACTGGCGTCATCTTCATCATCTACAGCCTTGGCTCGGTGGCTGCGTTTCCCTTTTGCGGTATGATAGCGGATGGCTTAGGTCGTCGCAAATGCATTGCCATCGGTTGTTTCATTGTGCTTGTCGGAACTGCTATCCAAGCCCCATCCAACACCAGATCCCAGTTCATGGGCGGTCGCTTCGTTCTCGGGTTTGGAGCCGCCATCGCTCAAGCTGCCGGGCCAGTCTACATCGTCGAACTAGCCCATCCTGCTTTCCGTGGGGTTCAGGCTGGAATTTACAACACGTTCTGGTGGCTCGGGAATAGTGAGAACTCCATTCTATCAAACGTGCCGAATGGGTGCTTATAATATACTAGTTCTCGCAGCATGGACGACTTACGGATGTAACAAGAACATTCAAAGCAGTTGGGCGTGGCGCATCCCGACTACGGCTCAGGCCTTTCTCCCTGGGATTGTTCTCCTCATCATCATGTTCCTCCCTGAATCTCCACGGTGGCTGATCGCACATGATCGGCATGAGGAGGCCATCGATATTTTTGCCAAGTATCATGCGGATGGTGACAGGGAAGCTCCAATCGTGACTCTTCAAGTCGGCGAGATTGTTGAACAACTACAGTTGCACGACCAGCAGCATCGATGGTGGGATTTCCGGGAGCTCTTCAGCAGTCGGGCGACTTGTTACCGATCCATGATGGTCATCTGCATGGCCTTCTTTGGGCAGTGGTCTGGAAACACAATTGTTTCGTATTTTCTGCCAGCAATGATCGAGAATGGGGGCATTACCAACACTTCGACGCAGCTGCTCATTACTGCTATCAACCCAATCTTCTCTATGATAGCAGCTGTGGTGGGAGCATCATTATTGGACAAACTCGGCCGCCGGGTCATGCTCCTCGGCGGGCTAACGGGTGCTCTTGGGTGCTACATCGCAGTAACAGCATTCACTGCCAGATCAGTCGACAACCCTAACCTGGTCTACGGGTTGATTGTCTTCATTTACCTCTTTGGTATTTTCTTTGCAGGTGGTTGGACGCCTCTGCAAGTTTTATACCCCGTCGAATGCTTAGAAAACCATACTCGTGCCAGAGGTGCGGGAATGAAGTTCCTCTTCCTCAACATTGCCTCCATGACCAACACATATGGAATTTCTGTGGGGATCAAGAAGATTGGATGGAAGTTGTATTTGGTTTTCGTTGGATGGCTTTGTGTCGAAATCGCAGTGGTCTATTTCTTATTTGTTGAGACGGCTGGGAAAACGCTGGAAGAGTTGTCGGACATCTTCGAGGCGAAAAACCCGGTCAAGAAGAGCCTCGAAAAAGTCAAGTTTCAAATTAGCACCAACAGTAAAGCGTTGAGCTCGGAGCATGACGGAACAGTGTAAGCAGCCATGCGAGTGCCAGTGCTGCTTGGTGGCTATGCGCCAGAGTACTGTCTTCTCAGCACGGGACGGGCATTTGTAGCATTCCTGTGTTGGAAATGATCACGGCAACATTTCGAGTAGTTCTTCTAGTTCTATTACAACGATCATTCCTCTTAAGCTACCTAACATTGAACATAAATCGAGAAATAATGCATCCTCTGTCTGCCATGAAATAGATAATGATGGGCATGAGAGCCTGCGCGACCCAAATACTGTACTCATGTAAAGTCTCTATATCGTTATGATTATATTTTGACCGTAGCTTGAAACCCAAGCCTTCCAGGCATAGTCATGATCATCAACTGGTTTCTGCTGTGCAGTTTAGCTCTGTATCTGTGAGCTTGGCCTTTCCTAGATGTAGCTAGCCTTGTTCTCAATTTCACGTCAGCAGGTAAGTAGTACAAGTACTGTAACAAGAGCAGGCGATGCGCCCACCCCAGTTAACTTGACCCTTGCAATTCCGCTGCATTCCCCGACGATGAGCTACAGACACGCCCCCAAAGTCCAACTGCATCTGCGGTTGGAAAAGATTCTCATCTCATGACCCTTGTAAACAATATGACCGATAATAGAGCCGCAATGCAGCCACACCGCAACTGCAGCACCATACGCGAGACAGCTGCCCCTGCAATACCGCTGCGTTTCCCGACGCTGAGCTGTGAACACACCCCTAAAGCTGTTCAAGTTTCATTAATCCGTCGACTTAAAACTCTACACATAATGTGACCCGTTAAACACCGCATCGCACCCTGCAATACCGTTGCGTTTTCCGACACTGAGCTGGGGGGACACGCCTCTTAAGTCTAAGTACGATCAAAACTGGGGGATTCATTCCCCGCGTTGCTGTTTGGTCGGTTGAATACTTCCGAACCTTGAGACCTATCTTCGTGCAGTAGCTCCTGGCAGTTTGTCTGCAGAGAGAGCCCTTGATGCCGAGCTCCGGGGTATTCGTCCCCCCCTCCTTACCCTGCTCGTATATCGCAGCATCACGAATTCCGTCGGATTTTCCGACGTCAAGCAGTCTCATTATCCACCCTTGGGCAATTTGAATTACCTCGGCTACAGTTTAGGCCCGTCAGTGCATGTCAATGCATGACTCAGTGCCCGTTTCCCAGAATGAATTTAGCCAACTCTGATGTCGAGATTTTAGAACCATCATCATCCCGGAGAGCTCAAATAACCTGCGTTCCGTAGCAATCGATCTGCTCCTCTCAAGCCAAAAAGGATTTGTCGAGATATTCATAGTCTCAACTCTACGAAAATGGTGATGATCCACGGCATCCCCTCTCAGGAAGTCCAGGGGAGAAATGATTATGAGAACGAAACCGTCTTTCGGAGGAACTGTCTTCCTACGCGAGCCTACTACATACCCGCTGATTCTTTATTGTTGAATGGCAAGTGGGACTTTCATTATGCATCAACCCCCCTCGAAGCTCCTGGCTCTGAAGCAATGCCTGGCCTTGAAGCGCCACCCGTATCGTGGTCTAGCATTCACGTCCCCGGTCATTGGCAGCTTCAAGGCTGGGGACATCCCCACTACACGAATGTTCAATATCCAATTCCTGTATGTCCTCCCTATGTGCCGACGGAAAATCCCACCGGCACCTATCGACGAGTCTTTCATATCCCAACAGGGTGGGAACCGGACTCGCAACTACGACTCAGGTTCGATGGAGTTGACTCTGCTTACCATATTCGTGTAAATGGCGTTCTTGTCGGCTATGCCCAAGGTTCTCGAAATGCATCCGAATTTGATGTGACCGCCTACGTCAACTGGGAAGGCCATAACGAGCTCTCGGTCACTGTCTATCAGTGGTCTGATGCGACTTATATCGAGGATCAGGACCAATGGTGGCTTTCTGGTAAGTGAGCTACGCACGAGTCTGCAAATGTCACTAATACCTGAGTAGGCATTTATCGGGACGTTTATCTTCTCGCATTTCCATCGAAGCATCGAATTGAGGACTGGTTCATCCGCACAGACCTGGTCAACGAATACCAGGACGCGACATTGACCGCAACCGTTGACATCCTGAATCAAGGTGAAGGGACCTTGAAGCTGACTCTTGAAGAGTTGGCCAAGAATGGAGGCGGTCTTATTGGAGAAACCCAGGTTCTGGTTGACTCTGACACTACAAGGGTCAACCTAAGTCTTTCCGTCTCCGGCCCTAAAAAGTGGACAGCTGAAACACCGCACCTTTATCGGGCGAAGCTGCAGCTTGAGAATGGAACCAGAATACTCTCTGTCTTCCAGAATGTTGGCTTTCGCACTGTTGAGCTCTTGAATGGCCTCATCTCAGTCAATGGCAAAGCCATAAGGATTCGGGGCGTTAATCGCCATGATCACCATCCTCGCTTCGGACGTGCAGTGCCAATCGACTTCATCAGAAAGGATTTGATTTTGATGAAGTCACACAACCTCAATGCCGTCAGATGCAGTCACTATCCATCAGACCCTCGGCTTTATGATATCGCCGACGAGCTGGGGTTATGGGTCATGGATGAAGCTGATCTAGAGTGTCATGGGTTCTCACGTGCTGTCACGCGGCCGCTGAATTTGTCCAAGGAATTGACTTATGGGGCAAGAAAAGAAATGGTTTTCAAAAAGTCTGCGGTGTACACCTCTGACAATCCGACATGGAAAAACGCATATGTGGATCGAATACGCTCGATGCTCCATCGCGACAAGAATCACCCCAGTATCATCATCTGGTCCTATGGAAATGAGTCATTCTTTGGACGGAACCACCAGGCCATGCATGATTTCACCAAGATGGCAGACCCCACGCGACTGATACACTACGAGGGGGACTCCGCCGCCAAAATTGCGGACATGTACTCGTTCATGTACTCACCACTGGATGAACTCGTGGATTTGGCCAAATCAGTCGGCGTGACAGAAGATGGCAGGTATGACAAGCCCATTGTTCTGTGTGAGTATGGTCATGCCATGGGAAATGGCCCAGGTTTACTTGACGATTACGAAGAGGCCTTCCGTACATATCCGAGGCTACAAGGTGGTTGGATTTGGGAATGGGCCAACCACGGACTGTGGAAAGAAGACGACCAAACTACAAAGGGCTTCTACGCATACGGAGGGGATTTCAACGATTTCCCAAACGATGGCGCATTTGTCATGGACGGACTCTGTGGCAGCACACACACTCCGACACCTGGTTTGACCGAGTTCAAAAAGGTCATTCAGCCTGTGCACCTGTCCAGGGATGGTAACCAACTAGTCATTCAAAACCTTTATGACTTTGCTAATTTGGACCACTTGATGGTTTCCTACAAAGTAGAAGAGTTCCATCAGGAGTAAGCAGCATCTCCAAGTCCTCATAGACGGCAATGATACTTATACGACACAGGTCAACTATTCTGTCATCCGGAATGCTAGACGCACCACGAATAGATGCTGGAAAGACGGTCAAAATCCCACTGCCTCAATCCGCGATAAACATTCAAAGTCAATCGGAAGTTATCCTGACAATCACCCTGCAACTGTGCAAGTCTTTTCCATGGGCACCATTCGGGCATGAGATCGCCTGGGTCCAGTTGCCTCTGACCGAGCCTGGGAAAATACTCTTGGATACACCCCAGCTCTCGATTGCTCGCCAGCCGAGGTCGAAAATCTCGAAGCAAACTTTGGGCACGAACTTGACGGTCTGGGGACCAGATTGCAAATTTGAATTCGATCAGGCGAGAGGTTGCCTCAAAAGCTGGACGTCAGGAAACACCCCAATTCTCGAGTCGGATCCATCGACAAACGCAGCCATCATACCGTCCTTCTGGCGGCCACCAACCGATAACGATGTCCCCAATTCACTGCCATACTGGAAGCGCTATGCGCTTGACAAGATGACTAGCCAGCTGCGCTCTTTTACAACTCACAGCATTAAAGACGGGCTAAGGGTTACAGCTAAGACATTCTTGTCCCCTCCAGTCCTCGACTGGGGATGGGATTGCAGGATTGACTACACAATTCTCGCAACCGGAGCACTTGATGTATGCGTCCATCTTCAGCCCACAGGCTCCTACCCCAAGCATGTTCCTCGGGTGGGCTTGAACCTCCGCGCCGATCATGCTCTTGCTCAAGCACAATGGTTTGGTCTCGGGCCTGGAGAAGCGTATCCTGACAAGCGTAGCGCGCAAAGACTCGGAATATGGAGCGTGGATTCCGTCAGGGACCTTCACACGCCGTACGAGGTGCCGCAAGAAAATGGGAATCGTATGGACGCGAGGTGGCTTTCACTCACAAACACTCACGGGGCTGGACTACGGGCTCGAATGAGCGTCGAACCTGGTAGCGAAAGCCGCAATTCGCCATTTACTGGTTTTAATTGGGCCGCAAGCCGGTATTCCGCAGTGACGATTGAGGAGGCGAAGCACCCGTGCGATTTGATTGAGGAGAACGCAACGCTGCTCAGACTCGATGCGAAGGTCGCCGGCGTGGGTTCGGCTGCTTGTGGACCAGGCGTGACTGGGAAAGATCTTGTGCACGTACAAGAAGTGACTTTTGGATTCAGGCTGGAGAGTGTCAAGTAGGAAGAAGAAGAATTGTTGAGCTAGATATTGAGAGGGAGATGATTGGAACTTGAGGACACAGACGGCTGCAAGGACACATGAGGTAACAATTGATAAATCTTTTACGTCCCAACACAATCTCTCACCATGTCTGCTCAGGAAACAGCAAAGACATTGTTCTTGGTTGCAAATAGAACCGAGTACGCATACCAGTGATATTCCGCTGCTGCTTATGCTCAATTATATCCGATCTACAATTAATACGTAGAACCCTGAGCTTATTAACAACCTGACTGCAACGGGTCGTTAACTTATTATGTACGACTATACTGGCCTTGGCTACAGCCGCGGTGCCATTACTCCGAGCATTAAGATTTTTGCTCTCAACCTCTTGGCTTTTCTTAACGTCCTACTCCCAAGCCTTAACGTCACGGAAGTCGACGCCCTTGGTTTCTCTATGGGTGATTATATTGCTTAGCAGCTATTGCTTGATGCTCCTGCCGTTATTTGCAAGTTGGTTCTTGCCGGTACTGGTCTAAGCCTCGGCCCTGTTGGTGCGCCCGATGAATGAGGTTCAGTCTACTGTCTTCAATCCAAACCCTGGTCTGCCCACGATCGAGGCTTTCTTTCCCTCCTTTACGACAGGCGAAGAGGGAGTTGCTTGGTTCAATAGAAGTATAACATCGACCAATAGCTAGCCTAGGAAGTCTTGAATGCAAACACCATATTAGCTGAGAAGTATAACATCGCGAAGTGGGGTCGCAGGAAAAAATGGAGAGCCTGAGATCGCCCAGTTTACTACCGGCGAGGACCTTGTGAAGCTCACCCAAGCCTATCAATTTACTTTCGCTACCTTATGGGAATAGTCTCGCTGGAGGCTGTGGATATTCTTTTCCCGCTATCTATATATATAAAGCTTAACGACGAAGTAACCTCGGCTTGGTCTACTCTTGGCCTTTGTATCTCCTGTTGCTACTCACTTGGCTTGAATAGACTTCAAGCGCCAAAAGTGTGGGCGATCTACAGCTATAAGAAGCTATTTTCATTTGAGCTTGGATATGCGTCTTGCATTATAGACGAATGTTACGACAAGATAGAGCCGACCACTTCCCTTCGCTATTCCTCTCGCTAGAGCTTCCACACCTGCCAGCAGTGGCATAGATACCGTACTCCATATGCCCAATACTTGTCATTCGAACTTTCATACTCTTTCACCCTGAAGATCTGTCCTGTCGGCGTCTCCGGGTTGATGCTGTTCAGCCATCGAAGTGTCTCGTTCGGCACCCGCTCCAGTCGCCCTACATACCTTTACATTTCTCGGCCGAAGGTTTTGGCGAGCCGCGCAAGCGTCTCCTGTTCCTCGCGCTCCGGACCGTCTCGTATGCTCTTCCACACAGCTTTGATTTCGGTCCCAACTCGAGCTGGTAGATCTGCTTGAGATCTGATTCCTGAAAGACCTTCGCCCAGCCCGCCTTGTCGATCCACCTGTTATCGTGGTTCACGCTGCCCGGCCTCTACGCGATCTTTTGCCTCTGGTCCTCTTCTACCTTCAGTGCGCGGCCGTACTGGGCCAGCATTCCGTCCCACCCGCGACCAGCTCCACCTCCTTCTTTATTGGCTTTATCTCTATCCCTGTCCCCGTTACGGCGGCCCCCGATATCTGAGTACCGGTTTCCTGTGGTTCTATCTATTATTGCATCGGTCTGCCGCCCTGGTATCTTAGCGACGTCGACGATCCAGTACTTTGTATAGCGCCCCTGCGAGAACGACTGTAGCATCACCTCCTCCCAGCCGCTCCCGACGTCCAAGTGGACCGACGTCCTTGGATGCCCCAGCATGTTCTTCCGATTGACTGTGCGGTACTTGCATGCGGTGCATCTATAGCCTGGAAGCATCTTGAGATTCTCAATTGGAGCACCCCTATCAGCTGGCTTCTCTATATCGCGTGGATCCTTTGATGGCTATTCTGGGCAGTATGCTGTTACCTGAGCTAGGTCTGCTCCTTTGAGTCGGTGCTGCTTGCGGAAATGGTTGACAATCCCGTTTATACCGTCCTTCCCTGGCCGCACTGCTCCCTTGTATGCCAAGTAGATATATACCCTGTGTCGTGAATTAAACCTCACTTGCTGCTGCTGCTGCTGTGGTTGTTGTTGTGGCTGTTGTTGTGCGCAAGCTCTCTCCCGCTTACCCCTCCGGGTCTGTTTCTCTATTACCTTCTCTGTATTTATTGCCTTACCTTGCCTCACCTCCCTCTGTTATAATGAGTAGAATAGATAATGAGAAGGTGAGATTGCTTAACATCTGTACTGCAGTCTGCGCTTTACTTAATAAATACCTACTTCTACGACCCCTTAACTTTATTAATACTTACGTCACATATATATTACACAGCATACAGTGGGGATTGCCTATCACACCCATCACATATATATCATATATATCACAAGTCAGCTATCACTTCAATTAAAAGAACGCGCCAGAGGTGGGGAACGGGAAGACGAGGAGGGGGGGTTCGGGTAGAGCCTATAGTTCCAAGGGATGTTTCTACGTAGTAGTGCCAAACGGTGCCAACGACGTTTTGTGGAAATAAAGGGGTTCTTTTCTTGCTTTTTTCGCACGCTTTAGCCGACAACCCTGCTAAACCCAAGTGAACTGAAGTGGTTGTTTGATTCGGAAAACCACCCTTAATAGCGTCCAGAAGAAGTAGAAAAAAAAAGAGAGAGAAATACAGGCAGTATCCAGCAATAAATATCTAGCCCCTTTTATTTTAGCTCTTATAGCTAACTGCTGAATATATAAAGTTAGATACCAGCAATTTAGTAGTTAGATTATACTGCTCTTTATAGAGTATAAAGTAAAAGTATTCTTTATTAAATATATTAGCTATATTTATTCTAGCACCAGTGGAATATTCCGGAGTTAAGCTCTAAACTATACTCTTAAAGGCAAACATATTTTTTTCTAAATAACCGAAATGAAAAGTGCTTTTCGTCGGTTTCGGTTTCGGACCCGGACTTCATATTGCACCCGTATGCCCTTTATACTGCAGCAAGTTAAGTGCTGTCGATCCGCCAAGAAATTTAGATGCTTGGCCAGGCTTCTAACTGGGTAATAGAAGGCCAAGACATCAGTTAATTTGATTAAAGCACTGAACTCACGGTGGTGCGGAATGAATCAGAACCCCGAGCCATTAGGCTTCAAAATAAAGCAAGTGCCTTTCAACTTTGGAGAGTGTGCCCTCAAGCGTTTTGCGTATTGCTGACTACTTCCGCGTTACATTCAAGCTTAGTATTCACTATGAAGCAAAGTATACCTCTGTTGAGCGTTGTTGCAGGTTTGGGTCTTGCGGCCAACTTGCTCGCATCGCATTTCTCAGGGAAACTATATACACTGACGTTGTCTGATTCTGGGAATCTCATTATTCAATCTGAACACAACTCTGGAAACTGGGCCAAATGGACACACTTCGACGCCGAAACTCAAACCCTCTATGTCACCGACAGTGCGGTTCCTTCTCCTCTAGGAGTCACGACATTCAAAGTTGGAGTTGATGGAAGTTTGACAAGAGAGTTACCCCATGAAACATCTCTTACCGATGGTGGGGAGGTTCATCTGGCCTTGTATGGCGGTGAGGACGGAAGGAAATTCATTGCGTTTCCGCATTAGTAAGTTTCATATGTGCGCCATCGGACCTAGTGCAGACAGTATAATCTAATCGTCTCAAGTTACACCTCGAAAGTTGTGACCTACCAGTTGCCTCTCACATCGGATTCCACCCCCCATCAAACCTTCAACTATTCCGAGCTAGCACCAGGTCCATCCGAGCGCCAGACGGCAGCCCACCCACATGGGGTTCATCTCGATCCCACAGGGAGGTTCATGTTTGCACCAGATCTGGGAGCGGATCTCATCCACATCTATGCCGTTGACTCTGCCACTGGGTTCCTTACCCAGTGTAAGCCAGCTCATGCTCGCCCTGCAGACGGTCCCCGTCATGCGGCATTTTGGTCTCCGTCTGACTCCAAAGGCGCACCAGCTTCTATGGCCTTCAGCGTCAACGAACTCTCCAACACTGTCACAGTATGGGCTGTTTCATATCCTGCCCGCCGTGGCGGGTGCTTATCACTCACTCAACTCCAAGACCTTTCAACGCTTCCCAAGGGTGCCTCGGTGCCATCAGAAGCGAAAGCCGCCGAGATTCGGGTCAAGGGTGATTTTGTTTACGTGACAAACCGACTCGACCAGTCGTTCGGTGCGCTGGGCGACTCTATTGCAACATTCAAGATCAACAGGTCTCGCCGTGGCATCAAGGAATCCGCCAGTCTCCGTTTTGTCGAGCTCACGAACGCACACGCAGACATTCCTTGGGCATTCACGATCAATGAATCAGGAGACCTGGCCGCTGTCGGTGGACAATTGAGTTCGAATGTAATTATTTTGGAGAGAAATGTCACCACTGGTCAGTTGGGTAATGTAGTCGCGAATCTGGCTGTTGGAGAGGTTGGAGTCCCTAATACCTTGTCAGGACTTAGTTCAGTGGTTTGGCTTGAGTGACCACCTTGATACCCTAACCCACCAGCATGTACGTAACGCTACCAAAGTGGCGTCCGGCCTACTAGACAGTCCGTTAGACAGCTCATAAGCAACCCTCCTACGATTTCATTCCACTGCTAAGACCCGAGGCAATATCGAGGTCCGCTGGCGCCTTGGGCATCAGGGGATTGAGGGAAACGAAAGAGCTGATAGCGTACCTAAGCAGGGCTGCAGCCTCCCTGACCTACCCGATGCCCAACCTACACTGGTCGTGGGCTGCTGAGCATGTGACTCGTGCAGGACGATCCTTTGGACCTGTTCCGGATTACTGGGCAAAGGGGCCAGTCGCTGGGCCCTGGACTCGTCCTGCACCAATCAGCCGAACCGGAGAAGGATTGCACATCAGTAGACGAATACCAGGCTCTACGGATAAACGAGCCTCACCGAAATATCCTCTCGGATGTCTCTGGACGCCTCTCAGCACGCGTATGCATCTACTCATGGGTAAAGCTGTCCGAGAAGCCTCTCTTGGCAAAGTTGTCTCCTGGACTGGTAAGCAATCACCCTGACATGTGGATACTTACCAGTCAACACCCTCCCTTTCCGACTACCGGTACCTAATGACGGTGATTATCATTAACGCTACGACGATTAAGACTACTAGTAGAGTCGATCCGCTCGATAAACGTCGGAAGACATTTCTTCTTGCCAATCCGCTAGATTTGAGAAAAGAAAAAAAGCAACGTCTAAAAAGATACTCATATACAGGTGTTGGATAAAATTCCGTCTGCACCGTTAGCTCTAGACATCCATGTCCGGCGGGAGAATAGCCAAGACTGCCAAGTTCCTCTCAGATATTTAGTCTAGCTCGTGTGGTCAACGGTTTCGCGCGGACCATCAACGGCTTTTTAATCCATAGCGCGAAGGACTTCTGGTCTGCCCAATTCCGACTCTCGTCACAGAGCTCGAGGTCGTATTTGAAGAGCAGCGTGGCCAAGATGAGTCTCATCTCGTGCATGGCCATGTTCTGTCCAAGGCAGTTTCGAGGCCCGAACCCGAATGGCTGATGAGCGTCCAAGGCGTCCCCAGCGTATGTCGGATCCGTCTTCAACCATCTTTCAGGTGCGAAGGTGTTGGCGTTCTTGAAGTTCGCTTCAGAGTGGTATGTTGACCAGTGGTGAACTGACACTCGCGTTTCAGATGGAATCCACTTGCCAAGGATCTGTTGTCCTCCTGGAAGAACGACTCTTGGGCTGCCAATAGGAACTGGAGGGTAGATGCGTAAAGCTTCCTTCAGGCAAGCGTTCATGTATTTAAGCTCCGCAAGACGCTCAAATGTTAGATCGTCCACCTGGGTGAAGTTGCCCCGAATCTCCGCGAGCAATGTGTTCATCTTGTCCGAGTAGGTAAGCAAGTTATAAATGCAGCCGCTCAAGAGTGTGGCTACGAATGCGCGTTTAGTAAGCTTCATTTCGCTCTGTTCTCAACATGGTGACTGTAGTCTTTGGGTGTCCGATCAATGGTGGTGCACTTACCTGTTGTCTCCGATCCAGCAAGCATGAAGATCTCGGCATTAGAATGCATTTCCTCGAGTGTAAGACCTTTACCCTCCTTGGCCGACAAGACCAAGTTCCAGATATCCGGCTGATCCGAACCATCTTGCAGACGTTGATTGACACGATCCTCTGAGTGCTTGCAGTGCGTGACCCGCTGTTGAGTGACGGACTTTGGCTCGAAGCGGGTGAATATGGCGTTCAGGATAGGGTAGTAGTTGATCATAGAGGCAATGGGAAGCATCTTTAGCGACTCAAAGATGGATCTGACCCAAGGGCTGTATTCATTCTTCGCCAAGAGGTCGAGAGGGTGCCCAAAGCAGAGCTCGGCCATAACATCGAAAGTTGTATAGTTGAGTAGTTGGGTCATCTCCACTGGCTTCTTCCCATCCTCGCCAACCTCGGACATTTTGTACATAAGAAGATCCACATATTTCCGGAAGAGAGGCTCTTGCTGCTTCAAGGCACGCTCTGAGAAAGCAGGCGAAAAGAGTCGGCGCACTCGAGCGTGGTTTTCGGTATTAGCCGTAAGCATGCTTGGAACGCCTGCCAAGAGTCATTATTGCGAGCCAAACCATTGGACTTGAGGGAAATTTTACTTACCGTTGATAGGTTGAACAGAGAATTCTTGTGCTTTCTCTGTCGCCTTGGGTCCATGGACATCGTTCCAAGCCTCGCCAGCTGCGTAGCTCAGGTCTGTCGGGCCGAAGCGAACGACGGGTCCATATTGGTCGTGCAGCCTCTTCATCCACCGAACGTCGTCACCTCTGAAGGAAGCGAGCCAGTAGGGAATACGGCTGATCGCACAGATCTTGGGACCAGGCACATCGGCCAGCGAATGGAATGTGACGCAAAAGATGGCACTTCCGACAAGGTAAATAATCAGCAGGGCCACGAAGGCAAGAATAGTGCCCAACATGATGGTGAAATAGAGACGGTAGCTCGCCGTGCACCGAGTAGTCCTCCCTTGTGAAAACCAAATGGGATGTGATCAAAGGAGTGAGCTCGAACACACGGTTTGGGAGGCGGTGACAAGTGACTCGACCCAAGGACAAGGACTCGAGGCAGTATGAATTCTCGTACAGGGATAAGTCGAGGCCCCTGGCATGCACCCGTCTTGGTAATAACCCCTTGGCTAGGGGCTGCCTGTAGTTGCAGTGAGCTAGTCGGGCAACCAACGGCCCGCCATGGCCCCATTTTCCGATACCCGGAGACAGGGTTAACCAGCCTATGAACGGCTATGTATATCCATCTTGTTGGACACGCGTCTCTGCGGGCCTGGACAGGACGGGACAGGACGGGACAGGAGTTTGCAGTCACTATTTCTGTCCATTTACAGCTGAGGAGGCGGGAAAGGGGGCAGCCCAGCTCACGCAAGATCTCTCCTAATACGCCGTGCATGCTGAGAGGAGACAGGAAGGGTAGGTCTTTGTTGGGTCGGGCTAAAGGTTCTTCCAGGCTCGGTGAAGCCAGAATCAATCAGACCCTACCCTTGAGGTTCCCTTCCCATTGGATTTACTTAAAACCGAGTTTTGCCAAGAGCGACACGCGACACAAACAATTTCACCGCGAAATGCATGTACCGCTGATCATTCCTGGTTTTGCTGCCGATCTTTCCAATCTAGATTTAGCGCACGGCATCACCAACACTACGCCCTCAGGGATTAAAAAGTCTATTTTGCGACTTGCCACAGAAACCAAGGCAGTGTGCTAGTATGATAGGCAGACTACGCATACTATCAGAATGATGTAAATCACTACCGCAACATGGAGACTAAGAAATCCAGGTATCGTATCAGAGATTTCAAGGTGGGATGAGATATTGGGATAAAAGAAAGTCACCACAAAGATACGGCAAAAATAACTTGCTTGATCCTCAGGGGCTCTAGTACAGCCAGGTTGGTTCAGCCGTCCCCACTGTCCCGAAACTCTTTTGCTCCAGAGGGCCCAGATTGACAGAGATTGCCCAATTTTCGCGTTGGTGTATGTAACGCCCACTAGTCGGAATTGGTAACGAGATGGCGGATCATGGCTGGGGACTCCCTTCCTTGTCATGTTCTCTACCAATAGGTGGCTTTCGCTGGCTCGCCAAGATAGTATCATCACAGACCGCAGGAATAATGTGGAGTTAATGTTACGCTGAAGGGAGACCCTGCTAACTCAAAAATCCCTTGCGTATGGGATGGAGACCAACGAAAGCTACTGCGTAGTACGAGAATTCCCCTTGCTGGCTTCGGGAACTGGGACCTGTCGCCTCCCGAAAATGCCCATAATTGGACTATGTATCTACAATCTCAGATTATCTTCGATGCCTTCGGTACAAGCTCAAGTCGATACACCCGTGGGAATTTCTTCTCGCCTCTCGCCTGCGCTGGAGACATAAGACGGTCACGGCGTGAGGTGTGGCCAGAGGCCATCTATTAGGATGGCAACCTCCATGACGGGCGAGCAGATTCGGGATCTTGCCAACAAGCTTGAACCTTTAACCCCCAAAGGCCTCGGACCTGCTGTCGAAGTTGTTGCTATTGTCTTTGGCATCATTAGCGTCATCTCTGTGTCGCTTCGAGTTTATGTGCGCGCTGGCTTGTCAGGAGCATCCACGAGGCTTTTGGGTGTTGAGGATTCCCTAGCAGTGCTTGCAATCGTAAGTTCTATCCAACCTGGAATTGCCCCTCGAGAACACTGTTGAATGCATTGCTTCTCCTCGTCGAGCTGGTTAACAAGCAGTGCAACAGATCCCATTCATACCAGCTGTCGTTTTCACAGTCTACGCATCTCGCTATGGCGTTGGATGTCACGATGTCGACATTCCCTCACCGCTCTATTTGATACGCGCCGTCGAGTATCAGACCTACTGGGAGGTGCTCTACTTTATCTCCTCGACTATCATCAAGTGCGCCATTGGGTTTACCTGTATACGTTTGGACCAGCGAAAGCGAATTGTCGTGCCAATTGTTGTCAACATGGCCGTCATGGTGCTCGTGGCTATTCTTGCTCTGATCTTCGTTTTTGCAAACTGCAAGCCGTTTGCAGCAACATGGAATCCAGCACTGTAAGTCCTCCTCCACATTTCATGTGACGAACCGCGTAGACCTTGGACCTCACATAATCGTGAGATACACTTCGCTAACGCTGTCCATCAGAGGAACGTGCCAGAAAAAAATCAGCTTGCAGACTGTAAGCTATATCGTCTCCGCTATTCAGATGGCGACCGACTGGGCATGTGCCACAATTCCCTTCTTAATTGTAGCACAACTCCAAATGTCTCGACGCAGAAAAGTATCAGTCATCTGTATCCTCGGCCTCGGTATTTTCGCAAGCGTCGCTACATGCATCCGAATGCCTTACTTGAAATACTACGATACCGCGAGATACCCTACCGAGATAGCGTGTACGTCTCCTACGTCAATATTTTGCCCCTTTCTGGTAAATACTGATTCTTAATTCTTGTGTTCTAGATCACCTCGGTGTCATCAGTCTCACGTCCAATATCGAGTGTAGCTTGGGAATCATTGGATGTTCCCTGCCTCCTCTCCGAAAATTATTCAAATTCTACTACGGTTCTTCTCATAGTGGGACCTACGAATTCACGGGGGAGGTTAGTACCATCATTTGCATGTTGCCCTGTGATTTAGAGGACACAGCTGCCCTAGTCCCTAGCAAGCTTTCACATGGTTTATTCGGCCCGTTTCATTGAATCTGTGCTGACAATTTTGGGTTTGGTAGAGTGAGAACGTACTGGGGAACTCTGGTCTAGGCATCAGGCTTGAATCGCTCAACGGACACAATAAGACATATCACGCATCAGCCAAGCGTGCACCCTCGGGTACCAGAGAACACGAAACAGACGACGACGCCTCGAGCCGCAAGGGAATCATACGCAAGACCGAGGTATTCATTAGTTAATACGCATATTGTGTCTCGCCTCTTTCTTTTCGCCGATGGAAATCAGAAGACATAGTGTCAATGACTCCATTCTCAGCCGCAGATCTTGTCTCAGGCTACCGGCAGCTGTTAACCGCCAGAGCAATGGCGTCACTTCGCACAAGCCGGACGTGTAGCTCGATGATGGAATTAAAAACACGAAATACAGCACGGAGAACCTTCCAACCGGCCGCCACTACGCCGGCTAGCGGAGTGGGAGTCAGGAGTACATCTTCAATGGGTCAGATGATTGCGATAGAGTTATCACAGATGTGTCACTCTCGGCCTCCACTAGTGGCTCGCAGGATGCTGTTGGCTAGCTAGGTAATCTGGAAAGCGCCACGGCTTTATTATTTCCTGAATGTATTAAACTGGTTGGCACTTAGTTGCGTTGTAAAATACGAGTATTACTCTTCGTACAACCGATGGTGGGCGACACAGCAAAATATAGAAGGCACAGACATTTAATTTTACACCGATAGAAGGTGGACGTCGATTGATTGTTGTAGTAGCCCATTACCGCGACTTTTTCCCCAATTATATTCCGTCTTTCTCAACTCCCATGCCCTCGACCGAGCCTCCCCCGGAGTAGTCGACCCGTCGCCTCAGATACAATGACGCAAAAGCAACTGGTCGGAGCCTAGTAGCTACTCTCGAAAGTCCACGTCCAGTTCCTCCACTACGAGTCCTCGGTATGGAGACGGTCTACACTGTGACTTGGGCTACCGATTACCAAATGTAAAAGTTATTAAATTAACTAGCTGCGCCATCTTATGCAAAGTCGTGGGATACCCCACTGGTTATTGTGGCCAGTATTCATCCAGGTACGTGATCTAAAACAGCTCATTTGTCCAGAGACGGTTTAAAACCCCACCGTACCGTACGGAGCATCAACTCGATAAATTAGCCTTGTTTTATGGATTATATTCTGTCATGGTGGTGGCATTGGGTAGAAAATGCTTGAATTGTGGATTAAACTGTGTTTTTTTGACTCCGTGCCGGCAGCTTGCTCACCTTGGGGGGCAGACAAAAGTTAGATTAATTTCATAGACTGAACTTAAACTATATATGATTTAGACTTTCTGAATCATTATGTATAAGAAAACACGAAGGCAATAAGTTGGGGAAGGAACTTCTTCCACCTTTCTCTGCACATGCATAGGCCAACACAGCTACAGATCTCGAACTTCTTGCACCAAACTTCCAAAGCCATGCAGAACATCCTGACTCCGTCCCAGCGACATAAAACAGACACAGACGACTTGTCTTCTGACAGGTGCATCACATACATCACAGAATATCACACTTCATCTTTCTCTGCTATCACGCCCTACCTGACAACTTGCCCTCCTTACGGTCTATCAACTGATCCCGATCGCGTGGTCTACCGTCAAGAGTGTGATGGCTACGATAACCGGTATCTCAACCCACCCGCCCATGGATCTCAGCCAAACAATATCCTCCTTCTCATCCGAAAAGAGCTGGAAGCCATTTTCTTTGAAGAATCTGCCTCTGGTCTACGCCACGAATCTCCGTTCAGGATCGGCTGGCGTCAAGATGGAACGATGACAACCTTCAATCAACTACAGCTCCCTAGAGAAGCCTTCACGCAGGACCACAATCCTGGGGAATTAATTGAGTACTTGAATAAAGAGATCATGATCTACTTTCCATGCGAAACAATGCCACGTGGCCACCAGGAGGACAAGTTGGGCCGCTACTTGTATCGCGAATGGCTTCAATTACACAACGGACGGCCGCCATTTCAGCGTCATAGCTTCTTTGCCAAGCCAGCATACTTCGGAGAAAATGGTCCCCGAAGCATTGAGCAAATTTCACTGTTTCACAAGACTCTTTGCAGTGGCATATCAGCTCGTCTCGACGACGCCGTTCGTTTCCGTTTCCGGGAAGCTCAACCTCCAGCAGGCAAAGCAGATGCCCCACCAATGTTTAACCCTACACCGAGCAAGAAGATACGCTCTTGGCACGATCATGGTTTCGTTGTCAAACACATTTTTCGGTCGCTATTTATCGTCATAGATGATGAAGAATTGGCGGTGAATCGAGATCTACCGGCACGTCGCGCCAAACGACCACATGAAGACGCGGTTTGGTATCTAGAAGAGTCCCAAGACCGGCGTTTATCCCGGTACACAGCACTGCTGGTCAAGACAGGAGACGAAGCAAGTCTGCATTCTCCCATCGACTTTCAACCGCTATTCGAAGCTGGGTTAGCACTCGAAGTCAACCGAGATGATTACACAGGCGCACCTGAGGAGGCTGTTGTGCGTGTCAAGCTTGACGTTGCGGTGCGCTTTATATATGACTTGCTCCGCAAGGAACAAGAGGCACTTGAAGATGTTGGCCAAGCAGCCCAGGCACTGGTCGAGGAGCAACAGCAACTATGTGACGTATGGGTAGAAAACGTCATGAGCCACGCTCAAAGGGTTGGAGTTGAAGAAAATGGCTACACTTGGATTGCTGCTCGCCGCGCTCGTGCAAGAATAAACGGAGAGGCCTTTGATGAGGATCAAGTAAAGCCATCGTGGGAGTATTTGACACATTGGGATTTTTAAGAAGGGCATTCAATATTGAAAGGACAACGTACTATTTTAATCATTAGATATTAGTATGATACTATTGCCCTGGCATCACTGTCCTTGCTTGTACTTGTAGCAACATAATAGCTTGTCGCATTAGGTTCCAGGGCGTAACTAGCACGAAGTGGCCGTATAGGTTAGAAATTTCGATATCATATAACGCGAATATCTGTTGGAGGTAGCAAAGACATTGACTATCATGGTATACTGCCTGAACATATCGAATTGTATGAAGAGGATATTGAGATGATAGAGCTGGGAACAGGCAAACCTCCCAATGGAAACTTAAAGCCTTTATATCAAGAGGAGCATTGTTAATATTCTTATCTGTGTTTTTCTTTAACTGTTAGGCTTTTAGTCCCCCCTCTAGGTATATATACTAGGGCACCCTACCTCTTAATATTATAAGACTAATAATTATATTTATTTCTTAAAGACTGGTGTAACAAGGATACCAAGCCTCACGGCCGACACCCTGTCACACACCCATATCCGGTACAAGGAGGGGTTAGCCCTACCTTGCCTTGGTACACTAGAATGCTAACCTAGACACGCGGCCCTCTGCAAAACCCAACCGCGCGGCCTACCTCAACGAGCCCGGGGCCAGCCCTTAGGGTTTCGCCGTAGTATCTATATAATCTCAGCCTGCCGACTAGAGACTGAAATAAGGCAAGCTTTAGTCTCTATCTTAATTGACTACTACCTTATTCTTATCTGGTTACTTCGTACCTCTTCATTAATCTTATTACAATTCTAAAGCTTCTCTTTTAGCCACCCGAGATTGAAATAGCACTAAAAGGTAAGCAAGCTACCTCTGCTATGGCAGGGTTCCCTGAGTCAGCAGCAGAGCAATTAACACCCTTAGGCACCCCAAGTAATAGCAATATGCCTACTATTAAAGAATTAATAGAAGAACTTATTCCGACTCTATTTCTAGCTATTATAATTTAAGGTAAAACCCTAATTATACTAACTAATTCTATTTCTATTAAGGATTAATATGCTGCTATAGTTATTTATATTATCTAGCTAAAGGCTTTAGAGGAGTTTAGAGCCTAAGAAGTAAAGCTTATATAATAACTTATAGGGGGACTTTTATTTGAAATTTATATATAATATTATTATAATTTAATAGAATTTATATTAAGTAGTAAAAGAGAAATTAAAATTTAAAATATTATTTAATTAATTCTTTTAACTACTTTTTAAAAAAAAATAATTAATTAAGTAACTTATAATATATTTTTATTAGAGTATATTATTAATATTAATAAGATTATAAGAAGATTCTTTTTACTTTAAATAATATAAAGTAAAATAGAAGATTAAAATAAAATAATTTTCTTAAAAAAAACCTATAAAAACTTATTAAGATATAATTAAAAATTAAATAGTATTTAAAAATTAAATTCTTTTTCTTATTAAAAACTTAGCTAATTAGAAGCTAATATTAATATACTAGCTAGAATAAGCTTATTAATATAACTACTAATTTTCTTAGAAATTCTATTAATATCTTAACTTTTTAGAAAAATACTTTTTAAAAGTTTATAAAAAGTAAAAATATTATTCTTTTTTATTAAATTATAATATAATTTATAAGATTATATAACTATATAATATCTTAAAATCTCTAAAATATAAGAAGAGATTATTACTCTAGTTATTTACTTTTAAAACTTTATATAGAATAAGTAAAAATAAAAAAGTAATAATTTAAATTAAAAGAGATCTTTAAGAAATATAAAAATAATAAAATTAAAACCCTAATAAAAATAGAATAATATTTAAGATAGATATAAAATACTAATCTTTTAATCTTTAAAAAAGGCAACTTAAAGAAGATTAATAACTAAATACTTATATATTTTAACTATAGTAGTATTAAATATTTAAAAAATAAGTATATATAGCTCTTAAAGTATAAAAAGTTAATTTGAAAATAGCTAGAAGTTAGTATAGAAATTCTATAATAGCTAATATATTAATTATTTAAGTTAAATTCTACTTTAAGATTTTATTATACTTTATAGCTAAAAACCTATTAAAATATATATATATCTAGACTTTATATTAAAGCTAATCTTATTAGTAAAAAATTTATAATTAGCTAAGGCTTAAAATTATTATAATATACTACCCCTAACTTATAATTATAGTAAAATAACTCTTAAATATATTATAACTAATTAATACCTCTTATAATATAAGACTGCTAAGGCTATATATAATTCTTTACTTAAATTTATATTAATATTAATAAAAACCTAAATATAGAGAAAATTCTAATTCTTTTATTTATAATTATATAATAGATTAATATATCTATTTATATTCTATAAAGTAAAAGTAGTAATTTAAATAAAATTAAAAAAAGATTAAGAAAATCCCTTTTTATAAATTAATATAAATATATAAAAAGAAGCTTAAGTCTAAGTAGTAATTTTAATACTAAAAGATTATATTATCTCTAGTAAAAAGAAAGTAATAGACCTTTAAGTAAAGGATATTCCTAGAGAATTATAAGATTTTCTAGATATATTTAAAGCTAGTAATACTAGCCTATTATCTACTATAAGATAACTAACTATACTATTAATATTATTAATAGTAAAATACCTCTATATAGCCTATTTACCTCTTATTATAAGTAGAGCTTAGGAAATTATAAGATTACCTCTAGAAGAATCTAGCTAATAGCTATATTTAACTCTTAAAGAGCTTATAGAAGTATCTATTTTTTTATATTAAAGAAGAATAGCAAATTATAACTATATATTAATTATAAGAACTTAATAAAATTATAAAGAAGAATTACTACTCTCTTCTCTTAATATTAAAGATTCTTAATAGAATTTAAAAGTAAAATACTTCTTTAAACTTAATATTAAGAATACTATTACTGATTTATATTAAGAAAGAAAGATAAGTAGAAGATTATATTCTATACTTAATATAGGCATTTTAAATACTAGTTATATCTTTTAGGCTAATTAATACCCTAGCTACCTTTTAGAGCTATATCTATTAGGCTTTATAAATTTAGTAGATATAATTTATATTATCTATTTAAATAATATTCTTATTTTCTTAAGAATTAAGATTTATATATATAGTACTTAAATAAATCTTAAAATAGATATAAAAAGTAAAGCTATATATAAAACTCTTAAGTATATATTCTATAAGAATTATATAAATTTCTTAAGTTTATTTTATTAATAAGGTATTTTAGTAGATTCTTACTAAATAGAAATTATAACTTAATAAAAAAACTATAAATTATAGAAAGATATAAGTTTTTTTAAGCTTCTATAACTTCTACTAATAATTTATCTATAGATATTCTGAATTATAGGCCTACTATATAACTTACTAAAAGAAAGTAAGAATAATAAGAAGCCTGGCCTATACTGCTAAATAATACTAAAAAAGTAGTATTTTAATAGCTAATTAATATATTTTAATTAGCCCCTTACTAAGATATTTTAACTTTAACTTTTAAATTTAAATAGAAATTAATATATCTATATATACTATAGTAGGTATTATCTTATAACTAAATTTAAAAGAATATTATTACTCTATAGCATTTTAATTTAGAAAGTTTAAAGACTCTAAGTTAATATATAGTATACTTAACTAGAACTAATAGCTATTATTAAGTTATTTAAATACTAGTAATACTATCTTAAAAGCTAGTAAAGATAGTAAAGATTCTAAGTAATTACTATAATCTATAGATTTTATAAAGAATATAAAGTTAAATAGCTAATAAGCTAGATAGTATATATATTTAATATTTATAATTTTATTATTAAATATCAGCTTAAAAGAATAATTCTATAAATATACTTTTATAATATCTAGATTATAATAGTAAAAAGATAAAGAATAATAAATTAATCTTTAAATTATAAATAAAATAGAAAAAATCCAAAAAGTAATATTATAAAATAAAATCAAATAAAAGCAGAAAGATAAACCTACTAATAATTAAATAAGAGATAATAAAATATTCTTAGGATTAATTTAGCAGCAAGAAGAAACAGAAAACAACACCCAACTCATTAACTTACCCTAGGGGAAATGTACAGAGAGTCATCACACAGGCGTCTTAGCCGGTCAGCCCGAAGCTGCACCAGATTACGCGTATAAGGTCGGGCCAGTCTGAGGCTTATGTCTCCTGATAGGGAAGCATCTCATGAGATAGAATATCGGGTCGGTCGCAGGAAGGTTCGCTGGCAAGGCATCAATGGGGCCTGCGGCAGCCCGATATCTGAGGGAGGTCGAAGACGGAAGTTAGACAGGGAATGTAGTGACGGCAAGAAGGCTCAAATAAATCTCTTAAAAATGAAGGCAATTAATTAATAGACTCCCTAGCAGCCTCGAGCCCTTTCGGCCTCTCTGACTTCTAGGAAGAATCTCTGATGAAAGGAAAAACGATGATTTCCCCTAGTAACGGCACTGACCTCCCCTTTTAACCCCATCCGGGTCACCCTAGAGACATCCCCGCTAGCAACTAGCTAGCTCAAGTGTCCCTAACTGCTTGTTACATTAGAAGAAAATCTTACTTATAAGTATAGTAATAAGCTTTTAGAAATAGATAATACCCTAGCTTCTATATTACCCTTAAGTAGCAAACTCCCCCTAAATTTAAAATAATAAGTAAAATAGATAAGAAAATAGCCTAAATATAAATAGTAAATTTCTTATAAATAAGCTAGAAGAGCTATATAATAGAAAAAAAATTATAAGAAGAAAATCTTTAAGCTTCTAGAGAAAGTTATTTAATATCTCTAAATTACTAATAAGAATACTTAATAGTAAAAGACTAAAGTAACCCAGCTAGAAAGTAAGAAATCTAGTAGTAATTAGTTAGTTAGAGGTAATAATCTTTTTTAATTCTATAATTACCTATTTATACCTAATAAACTTAGTATATAAGAGGAGATTCTATAGCTATACTATAATAA